CCCCACCGTGACCATCCGCTCCAGCACACGTGCAGCCGCCGTGGGGTTGTACTGCGCCAGCATCTCCAGCACGACGTTCACATCCACCAGGTCTGGCACCTGCCGCCGTTTCAGCATCAGCTGGAATATCTGCAGGCCCTCCTCCAGCCGCCCCAACATGAACGCCGCACGCGCGAGTGCGTTGAGCTCGAAGTGGTGCGCATGTATCAGCGGTCGCCGACTCGCATAATACGTTTTGAACACGCGCGTTGCGAACTCTTTGAAATCGGCTTCCCCGTCCTCGATGACTGTCGCGGTCGAGGCTGCGTCCGGCGCGGGTACTTTCTCGCTCGGGGGCGCTCCCACATGCTCCTGGGGATGGTCGGCGGCTCCTGACGGGCAAGTATCTAATGTGTCATGACCGATGGGCTCGCTTGGGGTGGCACCATGGACCTCGCCGAGCGCAGCAGGATCAACAGTCGGTGCTCCAGCACGAGTGACATCCGCTGAGGATGCAGGGTCTACAGATTGAGGCTTGTTTCCAGTCGAGACTGACTTCGCTGGTTCAAGTCTAGGTCCCTGCGCAGGCCAACAAAACTCCCGTGGCGGGAATGCTTCGTCCTCGCCCTCGAGCGGCATCGATGCGGCCATATCCACCACCTCACTATCAGGCAGCTTCTCCTCCTCCTCAGCATTGTCCAGTCGCGCAGATCGCTCCCGTCTCGCCAAGCTCGTGAATAGACTCACGACACGAAGCATCGCACCCGCGGAGCCCACGACGAAGTTCCCATCATTGCTGCTTTCCACCAAAGCGTACCTCTCCCAAAGCGCGCGTGCCTGCGTTGCGAATCCCTGCGAGGCGATTAGCCCGATGAAGCGCCCGCGGTCCAGCACAGGTAGCGGGATCTGTGCTTCCACAACATGCGTCGCGAGCTGCCGCGCTAGATGAGCGTTCTTGCTCTTCTTTGTAAGGTGCTTCATGAACCAGACGAGTAGACGCCCTTGAGGAGGCGGGTAGGCGATCTGTGGCGCAAACGAGACAGAATAGACGACCTCAGCAAGGTGAGGTTGGTTGAGAAGCTGTGTACCAGCATAGAAGGCTTGTATCAGGTAGTGAGGAATGGGATACGAACTGTAGCGGGTCATGAGCTGCACCAGTATGGATGCGGAGAATCCAGAATCCGACTCATCAGGGACGTCGACCAGCATCCGCAAAACCTCCGCGGCGAGTGCGGCTATTTCGCGACTGTCTTCTGGACCCTCCAAGAGAGCCTTGATCATGAGTTTACCAGCTGTTGACCGCCATCCTAAGTGAAGAGCAGAATGCACCGACATAGTCAACACAATGAGAGAGAAGTCCGTCGACATGAGATTCGCATGGTATACCGCACTGGGAGGCACACTGTGAGTCTGTACGAGCGCATTCACGATCTCCATCGAGCGCACGCGCATCCCCGCCGCTGCGAGGTCACATGCGATAAACATCAGCAGCTCGGCTGCTTTACGGGAGCGCTGCCTTACTTCGTCCGATTCCGACCGCGCTCTTGTGTCCGCTAAGACGCCGATGAGTAGAGTCGCAAGACTGTCATTGATCTGAGGGTCAAGCCTAGGATGAGCAGGGAGGTTCAAGATCGCTATCGCTATAGGTACCCGGTTATTTTCGTTAATGGACATGAGCTGGCCGGAAGAACGCAGAGCGCCGAGCAAGGCAGCAACCTGTTTCTTGTCCAGGAGGTTTTGCTGCACGAGAAGGAGGATGTTTTCGAGCATGATGGAGCGATATGTTTGTCCGACGTGGTGCCCGTTCGACAGGATGTCCTGGACCAGCAGACGGGCGATCCTTGCCTTTTTCTTCTCCGCAACTGCCACCAGTATGGGCGTGGCGTACTCCAGATTAGTGTCCTTGAATAGGGAAAGGCCCTGCTCACGCAATGTAGCGTAGAATGCGAGAGGGTCGTCTTGAGACGATGGCTCAGCTTTCCGGCGCATTTTCGTCTGCACCGCGGGCGTGTTAGGAAACCATGGCAAGATATGGAGACCGTCAGTGGCAGAAGATGAGGCCACCACGTCAGCGGCAGCTGATAAGAGTTTCTGCTGCTTCGTAAGAATGACGGGTTCGGGAGCTCCTCCGCTTCTTGCGTCGGTAGATTTCTGAGCATCGGTCGTGCTCGAATCCGTCTTTTTCTCGCAGGCACCGTCGGTATCGGTTTTTGGGCGCAAAGCATCTGGGGCCTCCGCAAGCAAACGTCGGTGGATGTGTGTTCTTGAGGTCCGACTCGGTATGTATGTTCGGAGCAATGCGTGCCGGCAAATGAACATAAAGTCAACTGCGGGCTGCATCAGCTCAGTATGCGCATTTTCGATCGATTGTTGGCCAGATAACGCGACACTCACCGCATGCCGCGGAGCTAGTGCGTTGCTGAGCAGTCTGAACGCGACGCTGGGGCTATAATGGACTCTCTGCGAGGGAGGTTCGGTTGGCAAAATCTTCGAGAAAGCGCACAATGTCCCGCATCAAAGCGTCGTGGGAATCAGGGTCAGGGACGCAAGGCACGTGATGTCCTCTCGCATGTGGCGGCGAATGAATGCACGCCCGTTATGCTACTCGCTAGCTACATCACACTTTGGAATATCGAGCTGGTCTGCAGTACGCTCTGATTTTACCATAGAAGATGATGCTCATACGCCTGCTGTGCTGTCGCGCACCGGCCGCTTCGAAACGTGAAAATTAGGCGTTCATCAATGTCTCTGCAGCCGGTGGCAATGATCTGCCAGGAGTTTTTCGCTGAGTTGTTATTGGTATTTGCCTACTTCTAATGCCACGTATTCACATTCGGCGGGGAGAATTCTTGCTTCTTTCTGGAGCGTGGTGCGTAGCAATGACCGTAACACCTGTCACGTCAGCTGTTCGCTATCTCATGGCATGCCGGAGTGGTTATGTTTTGTAGAATGAGGAGATACTGCATGGGTCGCTTGTAGTACTTATCGATAACCCGCTCCCTGCCCATTTGGATTGCCGGATGCAGAGCCGATCCTGTCAAACACAGCAGCTATATCCGGGCCCGCATTGCTGTGAACATAGCCTGCGATGCCGCCTTTGGTTGCCTGCCTTCGTCTTCCAGCATACACCTGAGCCTCATCCCGCTGTTCATAATCGGCGGAATACAGCTCACCGTCCGAAAAGGAAGTTTATTTACATGAGGGTGAGAGCAATACCGGCGATAGCCGTCTCGCAGATTCTTCACGCTTACAGCCGTTCTTTGGACGGATCCAACATCTCGATCTCTCATGTCCGATATACCAGATTACTTAGCACGGGCTGTTTGATTGGGCAGGTAAATGCAATCCCCAGAACGACCCGACGTTCGAGGTTTCGCCGGTCCACTGACGTTCTCGCGCATCTGGTATCCCCATTTGCGCAAGTAATACGGTCCCGGAAGATACTGTTGTCCGGCTAATTATGCACTCGCTACGTTCGTCGTCGCTTCGAGACGATTTCTCCGAGAATTATGTGAGTCGAACTCCCTAAAGAACATACTACTGACCCCGGAGTGGTAAGCAGACTTCTTGATGCATGCAGCGTGGCAGGCGCATCCGATCATCGCTGCAGTGAGGCATTATCCGTGGCGGAGTCGGCGGCCCATGTGTGTATCGTTCCGACTTCTCAGAACAAATGTGCCGACTCAAGATAAGTAAATGTCTTGTCAAGAACTTGGAGAAGTGCTGGGCACAGGAGTGCGGCATGGAGCTCCAGAAGAATTCTTTCCGCGTTGCTCCTACCTTCAGGTGAATTGCACGTCTTTGTGCAGCATCCGTCGTCATTCTTTCCGAGTGCGGCTCATGTGCGAACAAATGCACATTCATCCTTTTCCGACATGATTGCGGCTGCTATGGATCGTTTTCTCCTGTGTCAAGAGCCTGACGACTTGAGTTGCAGAAGGGAGTCTCCTAGCAACGCCTTCGGCATCATTGTGGTTCGAGAGCCTGCACATTTTGCTAGGATCCGTAACTCACACAAATGTCTGAGATAAAATGCTGCACTTCGTCACCTATCCAGCCACCATATGCACCTTACCAACGATATAGCCTTGGACAATAACGACTTACGGCGTATGTTGAGAGATTTCACTGTCCCATTTGAACTGTATCGGTGCCATAGCTGCCCACACCTGACAAGAAACACCTCCGAACAAAGATGCCGAAGGGGTTTCGCTCTAATAGTCATATACTACGCCTTGTCTAGGTCATGCCGGGTTCGCAATGTTCAGTAGAGAGGATATTAGCGGTTTGTTTTGAGTCATAATGACATGGTATATTTCGTTACCCTCCGAAGAACCCATAACATTATTTGATGACAATAAATAAGGAACAGACGAAGGAAAGATGAAGCGCTGAATATTGGGGCCACAACGATTCGGAGCGCTGAACACGTGCCTGTCCGGATTGAGTAGGTGTGTAAGAAACGCCCTTCCGGTCAGCGAGCATGTTGCTAAACGGCTGCTCGACGATCCTGACGCTAGAACTCGCTCTATCCCCGCAGTGCACGCCTCGCACACGCTGCACTATCTAGCTACTCGTGGAACACATCTGCTATCGACCACTGAGTTGCCGACATGGGCGCAGGACAGTCCACTGCCGCGTCGCAAGCACCTCCCCGCGCGCTGCATGTTCTGCGCGTTACACCGTCTTCCCCGGCATCGCAGACGACGATCGAGCCCTTCTTTGACTTTGTAGTTGGCTTTCAGGGCGACAACTTCTCGCCTCACAACACGGTGGACGCTACTGAGTTGGAGAAGATCGTCGAGAGCCATGAAGGCAGAACGCTGAACCTCTTGGTCTGGAACAGCAAGAGCCAGCAGACACGAGGTACGTCTTAGTCTCTGCTTCCATCCCTACACAGCATTTAGGAAAAGCCCGACCGGGCAGTGGTACCCATTGTACCCTCTAGGGACTGGGCGCTCCCGTACTCGGCAACTCCAGACCCGCAGGAGCCAGAGGCGGAACGGAAGCCATCTTTGCTGGGCCTGAGCATGCGGATGTGCGAGCCGGAATTTGCACTGGACAACGTATGGCACGTATTGGACGTTCTGGAGGGTAGTCCCGCCGAAAGCGCGGGGTTGGTGCCATATGGTGACTGGATTATCGGCTGGTCAGGAGGCGCTCTGAGCGCTGAAGGAGACTTCTATGACATTGTAGAAGCGGTAAGTGTCTCCACTCGATCGCGTGACCGCCGAAATGTGACGCTGACCACCGAAACTAGCATATTGAGAAGCCATTACGGGTATTTGTATACTCATATGACTTCGAGTACGTCTCGCACATATTTGAAATGTCTACATAACAATAACGATCGATCTTTCTGTCAGCACTATAAGAGAGGTGGTCCTGGTACCAAATCGACATTGGGGAGGTGAGGGCCTGCTGGGTTGCGTATTCGGGTGAGATCAGGTTTTAGTAGATATATGCGCCTTGTATCTGACAGACTGAGCAGTTTTGGCTTGTTACACCGCATTCCCCCCTTACCACCAGACAAAGAGCCGGGCTCGCTGCCTCCGGAGCTTGCTGAGAGTTCAGAGTACGAAGAACACGAACTGTTCGTGCCAGCTGACCTGCATGGTGAAGAGGACCCAAAGTACTACGAAGACAATATGCACACACAAGATGACGAATGGGAGCATCGGCCGCAAGTACACCAACCACATGATGATGCCATTTCAGACGCTCCTCACTACAACGCGTCGTTGGTGGGTTCCGAACGCTATCTTGACGACCAGCCAACCATTGGAACGCTCGCAAGCCACCAAAATGTGCGAGATACGTCATGTACAACGTGTTGCTTAATATCTCAATTGTCTCGTTACAGTCGTCCTTTGACCACCACGAAGGCCGTTCATCTCCACCTCACGATGATCCGGTTGCAAGCTCGGTTCCTTTCCAACCTCCTACCGCCCGCATATCGACACCAACCGCAGCTCACCCACCGGACTCTCACATGAATAGTGACTCGTCGTGACTGTCCTCATCGCTCTCTGCGAACGCTCAACAAAGTCATTGCCAATGTCTCGGCATCGCCCCGCGTATGCTCTCGTAAGACGGCAGAGGGAGCGCGTTTCACGCCACATGCAAGAACGCGGTTGCGGCGTTAGAGTCACGGCTGCTGCGGCTACCGCAAAGGGGGCATGAAGAGGAGGATAACGGGAGGATGGCCATGAGCGTGGCAGACACGGAAGTTTCGGGACAATGGGAGTTGACAATGATGGCACATCACTGGCTGGCAGTTTTCACGAGTGTTGACTAGAGACTGATGACGAAGAAAGTGCGGGCGACCGACTCCGTTTGCTTTGTCAGTGTCCTCATTATCACCCTGTCTCACCGAGCAATGTGAAGGCTCAGCGGTTCAATATTCCGGCATGCTCGTGATAGGTCTAGGATCTAGCCATTGCGCTTCCACTTTATCTATGAATGAATCTCTTCTATCACGTTCCTTGCCGACGGTTTAACTGAATGCAGACGGTGAAATGCTGATTCAAGTTTATTCATTAACTTGCATGCCACGCCGCGTACGTACGTATCATTCGTCTCATCAACAACCGTGGTACGAGAGGGCAAGATGATTAACACCCAATGTTTCCGCCCGAAGCACCACCCTTCCCACTTCCGCTGGCTGTCTCTCCCGGTCGGGCTTTGTACTCAAGGTTCACTGCGATGACGGGCCAGACTGCCAGAACGTCGATTATTAGTTGACGCGGTCTACTGAATTGTGCACATGAACGAGCTTGGACGGAGAACCGCACCTTCTTCGAAGCCGGGATGCCTTCCGAGCCTGATCTGCTGCCACACGTTGCGCATCGAATCCGACTCACGGATCTCTTTCCAGTGATCTAGGAAGAAACGAACTTCGACCTGCACATGACCGGCGGACATTAATATAAGAAACCTCCTGTGCCCGATATGCAGAGGACGTGCCTTGCGAATTTCTTCGAACGCCGCGGAGAACGTCGAGAAGACCTCATACGCGACATTGTCTACAGTCAGCGACTTGACGATGTAATCGCGAGCTCGCTGCTTGAGCTCCTGCAAGTCAAGCCCTGTGAAGGGAAGGAGGACGTTCAGCACAGATATAGACGTAGTGGACTTAGAAAGCATCGGCAGTCTCCGGTGGTACGTACTGTCTGCCAGCCTGTACACAGACTTCGCAGAACAAGGACACGGACGTCCTGAACCGTTTTTCCTCTCCCATTGTGTGATCCACTCCCTGCGCGACTTTGAGACGCTCGTCAACCCTGCTGCGGAACTTTCCGACTGCTGGTTGCTTGGAGGCTGGCTAAATATAACGTTCGCTTGGCTGGACGAGCTAGATGCCACCGGTGAATTGTTCGCACTGGTAGCAGCAGAAAGAATGAATGAGGAGGAGAGGGGTGCGAAAACGATTTTGTCAGTGTAGATCTGCGCGAGAGGTTCAGCCCGTACAAATGATAAACGCAAGGGCCGGCAGAGAGCTCACGTAGTAGAGCACCGCACGGTAGGTAGTATAAGCGACATCTTCAACTACGATACGGATTCTGTTCGGTCCGAATACGAAAGGGTCCTCGCGGGAGGTCTCGATCGTGTTGCTATCGGGATCCTGCTGCTCGAGCGGATGGGCCTCGCTCCTAGGAGACGATGGATGAGACAGCTTGGCTCGCACGTTACGCGCATGGATTGCGTCACTGTCTACGCTGTGAAGCTGCCCCGCAGCATCTCTTACCGATGTCCGGGATGCATCCGTTCTTGTACTTGTACTGTCCACAGAAATTTGTCGCCTCTCCGTAGAAGGGGTAATTCCGATGGTCTCGGATGATGCTTCGGTTGGAGTTTTCGTTGGTAAATCATCTTCGTCTTCCTCCTCATCCGAGTCGTCAAATCGCCGAATAAGAGAGGTGGTGTCTCCTGAAGAATCCACGTCGAAGAGCTGACTGGAGGCATTGGTTAATAAGCCCTCTGAGAAGCCGGACTGGAACACTAGAGATGTTGTATATCAGAATTACATGGATTGCTTCAACGTTAGGCACCTACTTGTGGCGAAATATTCTACCCTCGTGAGCAGTTTCCGGGAAGCATATATCTTCTTCGCATCTATTCTGCTCCTACCTCTCCTTGGTAGGATGAACTCAACGTCAGAGTAGATAGGGCTGAAATAAATCAGTTATTGTGTATGACACCAGCTTACAAACGCGTACTCATCGAGCAGACCACCCATCACATCGATCAGGTCCCGTGGCACGAGACGACGGGGTATAGCTGGAGGAGGCGTTGGAGACGTTGGAGTAGTAGTGATAGAGCATATCACAAGAACAGTATCGTGCTGCTTTACTGATGGTTGATTGAAGACATCGTTCCTGCGAGCAAATTGGGCCCATCCCCAGTTCTGGGTCTGCTCGTAACATCAGTATATGTCATTATACGAAGTCGTTACCGTACATACCTGATGAGTGAACGAGTGGTCATGGGCCTCTTTATCACTGATCAGGACAGTCTTTCGCAAGCTGTTGGACTAGCCGTCAATGCGAAGTCACACGCTTGCAGAAGCACTGACTTTCGCAGCTCGAATCCGAAGTTGTAGGCGCCATCACGAACCCATCTACCCCTGTTGAACATGCTTGCAAACCACTATAGCGTGCGACTCACTTGCTGTCAACCGCATCTTCAAGTTCTTCGGCTGTAGGCTTGAAGAAAGCCATTCATGTGTACCAGCATGACCTTGAGTCGATCATTTTACGTACCTCACAAGACAGGTATAAACTTATGTACGTATGCCCTTCGGCACTGACCGAGCCAGAATTGGCGTAGAACAACACCTGAAGGCAGTGTAGCGCTTGCACAGAAGGATACCTATTTACCACTGACCTGCCAACGTCTTCTTCCGAACTTGGCGGACTTCATAACATTGGACTTCGATTCCCCTTTACTGATGACCGTGAAAAGTCAAAGTATAGCTTCGCCATCAAATGCATTCTAATATGTGAAAAGAGATGGCAAATCTCCCACCTTGATTCGTAAATCGCTTTGACGTTGCGAATTACCCACTCAAAACGGAGCGTTACACTTTCCTGATAATCGGAAGTGGCACTAGAATTATCCATGGCAGTCACGATGGAACTTGGTGCCAATAGATCTGCAAGGTTTCAGATAACTCAGGACACAGGCTCAAGGCACTTCAAGACAGCCTGAGGATAATTGAATGCTAACTCCTTAAAGGTTTCTCTCCGTAAGCTGGGAGTGGCAACCCCTGCGGCTGTGGCCTCAAGCGCAAGACGGAAAGAGAGCAAGGTGTGGCCCCAAAGTCTGAGGCTGACTGAGACGCCGTCCAGCGAACACGTGCAGCTGCAGAGCATTTATATAGCTTCTTCGCAAATCCGATTTACATGGAGACTTAATACGATATGGCAAGCAAGCAACTATGCAGCAGCTTGTACTTGTACATATCCTTACCACGGGGTATCATGTTACATATTCGACGACCTGACGTCACTTCCCACCACTCAGCATCTTCCTGAAATCGTCTTGTCCCTTGCTCGATTGCACTCCTGCTGAGACGCTTTGCGCATGCTGCGATGATTGCGAGCCGTTCTGCGCTGAGCTCGTTGCCCCAACCGTTGTCACACGCTTCTTGCTCCCAAGACCTGCCCTCGGTCTCGACACAGCTGTGCGCGGAATGAACATGCCACCTGCAGTCGGTGGCAGCGCTGCAGAGCGCGATGAAGATGTAGCTCCAGGAGTATCTGCCACAAGCTCCAGTGTATTGCCATTGTACACGATAGGCTCGGAGCGCAGGAGCAACTTGCCCACATCCTGGATGCAAGGCCATTTTCACGTCAGAAGGGATGCAGACATGTTGATCATCAATGTCCACTTACTGCAGCATTCTCGAAGAGCACCTCAGCCTCAGCTTTATCCGCGAACACTTCTATGCGCTCCAACGGAGCCAACTTTTCTAGTGCCTGCTGCAGCAAGCCTTCCTGTGTGTTGGGAGGAAGGTTGCGCACGCGCACGGATCGACTACGTATGTCTGCTCGCTTGTTTGGGTCACTGTCGATACGTAAGTTCTCTGCGACCAATCTCAAGCTATTATACACAAACCGATTTCTAGCACGAACACGCGTATCAGCAAGCGTAACGGCTATGCGGCGTCTCTTCAGCTCGACATTGTTAGCATGCAGAGCTTTCGCTGCGTCTTGCTAAAGGGAAGATACAGCTTGTGTATATGGTCTAATGGACGATGCACTCACCTCCTGCTCAAATTCAACGAACGCGAAGCCTCTTGGACGCTCATCCTTGTCCAAGGCCATCCGTACCTCCTTGATCGGCCCATACTAAGTGATAAGGCAGAGTGAGCATGAGTGCAAAGCATGTCACGGAGCTACATACTGTCTTGAAGAGGTTCTCCAGGTCCTCCTTGGTAACGAATCTACTCAACCCGGCAACGTATACTTCTCTATCATTCGCATCGACGTCTGTCCGCTCCTTCTTGCGTTCAGGATTCGAGATATATACGCTGAGGGGCAGGCTTGGCTCCAGCTCCTGGCCGTGAAGTTCCAAGGCAGCTTGTGCGGCAAGCTAGGATGGTCAATATCCAGTGACCTCACTACAGTTTATAAAACATACTGGTGATGTGTACTGCACATAGCAAAACCTCCGCGTGCTCTTGAACTTCTTGCTCGGCCATCGCACATCAAAGATCGTGCCATACTGCAAGACTATGTCAGCGCTATCTTCACTTCATGCATACGCGACAGGCCGCTACCTTAGAAAAGAGACTGCGAATATATGCATCATCGGCCTTCTCCGGGAAGTTTGTGACATACAATGTCGATTTCCACGCGAGATGAACTGCGATCTCTTCTCCGTGTATGCGCTTCTTGTCCTTAGTCAATGCCGCCGGCACACTTTCCTGTTGAAGCGTCCCGTTCATAACTCCCCGCCATACAAATTGGTAAACGTACCCGCTCCATAAACTCGACAGTCGCTACGGGAGCATTCGGCAAGTGTGTTACTTTAATTTCTCGGATAGGGCCGCACTTGAGCAGATGGTCAGCCATTAGCCTCAGTGCCAGTTAGAGCTACGCACATCTTTGAACAACGACGCTAGGTCGTCTTCCCGTGCGTCTGACGGCAGATCGGCCACGAACACTGTGCAGTTCTCGCGATCTCTACAAATGATGGTCTCCATGAGTCGATCAATATTAATTGACAGCAAATATGCTCACCGCTTCAACGTGGCCTCTGTAGCACTCGTCAGACACAACCTAACATGTACTGGCTGAGGTTAACTCACCGATCTTTTGCTTTTTGTGCTCCTCAGATGCAACTTCATCTTCCGCCTTCCGCTTTGCGCCTGTGCCAGATGGTTTAGTGGAATCGACAGCCATTGGGACCACTTCGCCTTCTTCCTGAGTTGATGCAGGTGGTGGTATCTCGGAGACCGATGTCGCATTCGCTTGCTGCTCAGCGATAAGCTGCATAGCTGCATGTTGCGCTTTCTCTGCCTCCTATTGCGAATCAATCAGCCCACGCTTACATTTTCACGTAGAAGTAAACACACCTTCGCACGCCGAGCGTTGGTCTGGGCTTGCGCATACTGGATTTTGTCAAGACAAAGATCAATCTCATCGACTGTGCCGTACAATTGCTCAAAATTGATCCACGCATCCCACATCGCCTCAGGCCAGTCAAGGCTTTTCATGCAAATATCTTGGAACACCCTCCTTGCATCCTCATAGAGGTTTTGTTTGCTGCGGACATCACGTGTCGATGAGCGCAGCATTCTCACAAAAACAGATTGTTGAAAACGTACATGAGCACCTCCGTGTAGGATGTCCAGGCAAGATAGCTTGTCTTGTAGTGCTTTGTAGTATCTTCCCATAATATCAGAGCGTGCTCAGCGAGGTCGGGCAACTTGAGACACTGGTAAGAGACATTTCAGAATATGTACAGTTGGACATGTTGGAATGCATACGACCGACGAGAAGAACTTCTCTATCCGAAGTCTTAGGTCCCCAGACGGTGACACTGCCAAAGTCAACTATGGCTCTTATGTGCGTAACGTGAACGTAAGCATACCTTTCCGCACTCGCGTGACACCGTCCATGACGACTTCAATTAAGGTATCAAAACCTTGCTCTCCTTGATCAGTGGTAAGAGTAAGAGTCAGCTCGCTATGGCATATGCACAACTTACCTGTTTCCCCTGCTTCGAATTGCCGCTTCTCGTAACCTGCACGAGCAAGGACGACGGGGACCAGCTGCTCCACGTCTGATTGGAGTGGTGTAATGGTCTTCGTCTTCTCATATACAGCTGCCATTCATGCAATGAGCATCAGAATGGCACAATCATCAGATACTTACCTCGGATTTCGGCCCGTACATCATCTTCTGACGAGTCTGCAATGCGCTCCTGCAAAATGGGAATCTCATAAGAGCGATTCCACGTGGCATGCCAACGGATACTGACTAAGAAGCGCATATAGCGAGCCCATATTTCTCCGGCCGCTGGTACGCTGCGCACGGCTCGTTTAAACGTTGCCAGTTGCAGATCATCATCGACACCTTGTTGTCTCTGATAGATGGGTAAACATGTGGACGTTCGAGCAAAGGAGCCTACTGACCAGAAAGTCAACGAGACTGATCCAGAATGATCTAAGAGCGTCCTCCGCGGTTGAATCACCCTCCCAGCGACGCTTGTCTGCCTCCGCGATAGCTCGTTCGTACAAGGTTTTCAACACGAACAGATCAGGCTTCTGTTTGCGACGCTCAACGGTGGTGTAATACGCATATGCTTCCAATGAGAAGCCGGATTGTTCCTATTATATCGACCGTTCATCCAATATGTTTCATGCTATAAGAGCAGTAGACTTACAAGAGACGTCTCATACTGCTCGCGTCTTTCGAATGCTTTCCTCGCTTGTGAGCGGAGCTTCGAGGCGCTGACAAGCAGTGCCTCATACTGGTCAGGGGGCTTGTAGCTGGTTGTGAATGAAGAGTATGCTTGAAACGTTGAATCCTGGGCTGAAAGATACATCATGGGTACCATGAAGCACTTCAACCAGAGTCAGACTTACCGGCATGAGGCTGCTGCAAGCGTTCTAGTAGCATAGACTCGATCCGATTGACGAGCTGCACCCTATTCGGGTAGAAGCTGTGAGTTTCCCTTCGCTCAAGGTGAAGCTGTAACTAACTTTTCCTCCGGAGGCGCAGTCTGAAGAACCTCGAGCTCCCATTCCTTCTGTTTTTCCCAAAGCAAATGACCCTGGCAAACGGCATCACAACGTGGTGATGCTGTCGGTCGGTGGCCAGGCTTACCTTCGTGAGATGTCCGATGCCTTTGGCTACCACCTCATTCATTTTAGATTGTGTCCACTCCGTTGAGAACAACTCTTCGAGGTCGTTCGGCTTGGTATCGAGCGTGCCGAAATGCTCATATCGCTCTATGAGAAGATCCAGGTGCTTCTCCAGGAGCGGGATGGCTTTTAATGGAGTCAAACGACAGTCCAAACCATATGTAAGATTACTCACAGAGATAGTCTTGTTCGGCACGTTCGCACAAGTCAAGCACAGCACGGAGATCGTCAGCAGACTCCAGATTGCTTGATTGCAATTTGTGTTCGATCAAAGGGATCCAAACATAGTCTCCTGCAGCCCAAAAAGCAGTGACCATTTCCAGAGCAGACTCTATTTGGTCCTCCATGCCTGTCTCACGAGAAAAACGGACGTTCTCGGCGTGCAATGTAATGTCATAGGGATTATCGGTCAAGCGAGTGAGAATGTTGGAAAGAGCCTCAAGAGCATCAGCATCGTCCATATTGTGGTTCAGTTGTTAAGCAAGTACACAGCAAGTTGGTATGGGCTGTCCAAGGTCTTCCAGCCGAACGAGCGAGATGAGAAATTGGAACGTGTTCGCGAGAAATGAAGGCTGCAAAGCGACCTTGGCTGCGACGCGATGCGTGAAGCAGTCTCGAGCGTTAACGCTAGGCATCTAAGCGCCCATGCATACTGATAAGTTGCTCCTTGAAGTTGTTTCGTTGAAGTTCAGCTGGAAGCTTGCAGTCCTCTCTCAGGCACAATCTTGATCCTGAGGTTCACCGTCGATTTCTCAGCATCACTTGCGGAACCGTTCAGCAAATGACAGTGAAGACCATCTAACACCGTGAAAAGACAGTATTGCGTTCCGAAGTCTAAATTGGTATCGAGAATCTTACATGATTCCAGCTAAGCAGATGTGATACAGGTACATTTGAATTACACACGCTATGAAGGGAAATCTACAATTTCGTTACTTACGGAGTCCGACACACAGGCATCTATCTATCGCCGAGACCATTCTGTCTGCACGGTCTGGATGAACGCAGCATCGTCTAAGACATTGAAGTGTCCGCCGGTCACCGTGATGATTTTGGCGTCAGGAGCGACGCGTTCGATCCCGTACTGCTCCCAGCCAGCCTTCCCAGTCTCAGGAATGAATGCGAGGTAACCCTTTTGTGCAACGTAGATCGTCTTCGGCGCCTTGATCGATGCCATCCACTGGCACAGAGCCTCCTGCAATGCAGAAAGCGTCGGAGCTTGTTCAGGAGGAAGGAGCTCGAAGAAGAACTCATAAATGCCGACGTGCAAGTTGTTGAACGTCTCCCACCAGTCGAGTACGTGCGCAGGTGCCTCCAAACCGTTCGCCGCGTTCTCCCAGTCCTGCGCAGCGCGGTGCCGCGCTGGCGACGGATCAGCTCGGTACAATGCAAGCATCGAGTCGAGGAGGCGTTGTATGAGAGACGGCCCAGCTTTCCGCAGCTGCATCGCCTCATCGTCGGGCTGAATCAGAGGTGAAAGCCAGAGCAAAGGGAAATGATCGATATAGCACAGCTGTACGACCTCGTCTCCGTTATCCTCCAACATCTTTGCGATTACACTCGTCATGAGCGTGCTCGCGCAGAATGCGCCGAGACGGTACGGCCCTTGAGGTTGTGCGGCCTTGATCTGTTCATAGTAGAAGCGACAGAATGCGGTGAATGGATATTTCGGTGTCTCTGGCGTGGTCTGCAGTGCCCAGAGGGATGTCGTGAACTTTTCTTGAATCGATATGAACGGCAGAGCGCTTCCACTGGCGCCATGAAGCACGATCAAGGGCGTTTCGCCATTGTCCACGAGCTTCAAAACTGTTTGTCCCGACTTGTGCACCTCATCCCACTGGAAGTATGTGATTGACGGTGCGACCTTCTCCGTAGCTTCGCTGCCGGTCTGCTTTTCTTCGAGGCGACGTTCGAGGTCCAACAAGCTGACCTTTTCGAGCAAGTCAGCCGATGCGAGCGTCACGAATGGCCGAAGAGCGAATGCAAGCCGTCCCGCTGCTAGAGAGTCAAGTCCGTATGAAGAGAGGGGTGCGTCGTCAGAGAAACTAGAGGGATCGATATCCAAACTGTGCAGTACGGTGGCGCGAAGGGCATCGCGTGGACTGTCTGGAGGTGGCGAAGGAGGTGGGGATCCGAGCTGGCGTTTACCAAATGGATAAGGTGGCAATTCGATAGAGTGAGAGATGGTGTCTTGGCCGTTCAGGATATGGAAGTCGACAGAGTTATAGCCCATCGCAACGATCTTCCCGAGGCAGCTCAAAAACTGTCTTTCCTCCTGGAAGTCTTCGTACTTCTTTGAGCGAGACATGGGACACACCACGGAGGACGGCTGCGCGCCCATCTCCTGCATGTACGTCGATAGGACGGGATGAGGGCTGACTTCGACAAAGGATGCATGAGGACATGTTTGGCAAATGGCTTCGAACGCCTGGGCGAAGTGGACGGGGTCCCGGAAATTGTGCCAGAAGTAGTTGGCAGTAAACCCTTCGAGAAGCGCACCAGTGGCAGTGGAGTAGGTTGTAACCTGCGGCTTGTGTTCTCCAGGGTACCGGGCGAAGATCTCCTTAATGCGAGAGAAGTACTCTGCTTGGCACAGATCCATGAGACCCGAGTGCACAGCGACGCGAGTGGCCAGCTTCCGGGCGGAGATCCCACGAGACGCAGCAATCTCGACGGCTCTGTCGACAAGGTACTCATGCCCAGAGATCGCAACTGCACCCGAAGCGTTGTAGCTCGCGATATCCAGGATGCCCCGCTCTCCTGTCGGGCGCACAAGGTGGATGATGGAGCGAGCTTGTGCAGCATCACAACTCAGTGCCGCCATCGCCCCGCCGGCCTTCTCAACCGCAGACAAAGCCTGACCTTGTGCAATCGCGATCTCCATAGCCATGCGCTTGGGGCCAGCACCCGACGCATAGAGCATCGGAGTCTCTCCCGCGGAATGCCCGACAAATACATCTGCGCGCAGACCAAGACTGCGAAGAAGATCGTACAGCGCGATCTGGATCATCGCCATAGCGGGGAAGATGATCGACGAAGGCCAGATCGCAGGAAGCACCTGCAGGGGGTGGACATCATCGAACAGACCAACCTGCTGGATAAGAGACATTCCAGTCGCATCTCGGTAACATGCGTCCAATTCAAGGATCGTGTCGCGGAAGACCGTGTACCTGTGGAATAATTGCCGGCCCACTATAATGGAATAAGCTCAGCCTTCAGTGTACGTCAGCACCGTGAGACATACTTACTGTTTATGTGCTGAGGCCCTTGCCCAGGGAAGACGAAGACCATGGGTTGCCTTACATGCGGCACAAACACGGGCGAGGAGAAACGGGGAATCTTCTGCCCTGGATGAGTGACAGCATACGACCGCCAAGTCATCTGCCTTACACGACGACCGCAGATCGTCGAGAGTGCTGCTAGCTGATCCGCGAACGCATCGGAGAGACAATCCAGATTAGCAGCGACGGCGCTTGCAGAGCGCGGTGTGAGGCCTCCTGCAACGAGCAGAGTAGAGTGAACAGCCTCTTGGACGTCCATTTGATCAACACCCTGAGGCAAGATGCCCTGCATGACGACATGACCGTTTGTTCCGCCCACGCCGGAACTCGATATCGAGATGGTAACCTTCCCTGAAGGAGAACGTGCCTTAATATGTGTTGGCTCTAGCGGGACGCGCAAGTTGCACTTGTCCCAGGCACCATTCGGGAAGTTGACACTGGGTGGGATGACTCCGGTCTCGAACATCGAACAGGCTTTGCATAAGGATACAAGGAAAGAGACGTTGCCAAGATGCCTGCGCGTGGATCAACAAACGTTCCTATAGGGTAAGCCGTCAAACGTACCCCATGTTGCCTGCCACGCTGCCAATCAGCACTTCTCTGTCGCGCCCAAAATTCTGGGAAATCCAGCTGTCGTCTGCAAAAGCGCCTGTGGAGGATGAACAGACGCGCATGTAATCGGGAGGAAATGCACCTACCAACTCCGTGAATCTCAATATAGTCGACATCATTCGGTTCGGAATCAATGCCAAGGTATGCCCGATGCATCGCATCCACACGCATGTCAGAGCCCGGGTGGCTAACGGGTGTTACCGCACCAGACGCATTGATACCTGTCCCAAGAATCTGAAAACGAATAGGTATTCCGAATTGCATGAGTTTCGCAATCTGAAATATTCTAGACCTGCGAACTCACATTGCCATAGATGTGGTCACCATCACGAATTGCTGCGTCATATGGTTTCAGGACGACAGCGATGGCGCCTTCGCCAATGGCGAGCCTGAAAACAGTCAAAGCTCGTTCAGAGACGGAGCGCATCGCATCACTTCTTGGGAACTCACCCGTCCGCGGCATCGAACAGCCTGGATGCACACTCCCGAGCTGATGCCGAGTCAGAAAGCTGCTGAGCGAAATTGCTAAACCTGATGCGCAAGAAATTGTGAGATGACGTCAACAGCGCAAGTGATCAAGAGTGCGCACCGAACGAGATGACATCCGGCAACCACGGCGGCGTCGCATTCCCCAGCACGGATCGCCTGAACGGCCAAGTGCAAGGCCGTCAAGCTTGAATTGCATGTCGCGTCAATCGGCACACATGGCCCACGAAGATCGAGATGCCGGGAAATCTCGTCTGCGAGGCATGGGATGCTCGCAAAGGCACTCTTTCCTTCTTGATCGTCCTATAAGTTGTCGCATTCTTACTACGAGTCTCGACTTTCACGGAGGTAGAGATAGTAACGTACCAGCTCCGCGACGCTTAATACGTCATGTGCTGTGCCTGAAGCGTACCAGCCCACGTTCTGGCCCCGGTAATTGATCCCAGCATCAATCAGGGACAAGAACGACAATTCAAGAAGCTTCTTCGTGCTGAGTGCCATATTCCGTGCTTCTTCATTAGAGATTCCGAATTCAACATGATCGAAGGATCCAGTATCCTTCAAGAATGAGCCATGCGGGGAAGTATTGCGGCTCGAGGCATCCTCCGACCAACTTCAAGAAGATCAATGAGATTTCCACAAAGGGATGCATAGGAATCAAACCTACCACGTTGAGTTTGATCGTTCGCGAGGGAGTTCTTCGTATGCCTCCCCCTTGTTGAGGAGAAATTCGACGAACTGCTTGTAGTCAAGATCATGTTGTGCATGTGTTCCACTGGGAAGCTGGGCAGCGATGCCAACCTGAAATGTCGGGCAACGTAAGCTCACCCATTCAGTGCAAGAATGAAGAGAGGTTGACTCACGATCGCCACCGGTCGCTTCTCGCTGAGAGAAGTATAGAAATTCGGGGACATGTCGAGTGGATGAAATTGGAGAAAGAGAGGCTGGTAATTCGGGTAATGTAGGAGCCTTTATATCCAGTGTGAAGCGCAGAAAAGATCTAGTTTGGCTGTTGACGGCAATCTTGAGAGCGGCCCGAGTAGATGCGATATCGGCTAAGGAAGTGCTCATAGCATCAAACCAATACCGTCACAGCAGCGAACAGCGTGAGTATGGAGGTCTCGTCTGTTCCGCGCGACGTCGTCCATAGATCCAGGGGGGCCATATCCGGCGGACGTTGTGACATTGATCAGATCGACCCTTCCCGCCCACGAATCTCTGATAGTCCGCTATGGTTCTAAAGACCAGTAAAAAGAAGCCAAGATTGTGTTCCGCCGGTCTTCTGATGCTATTGATTTCATGAGCCTTTACTCCATATGCGCATGAGGATGTCGGAGGAGACTCACCGTTCAAACATACTGCCTCTGCACTCGCACGCTCGGAATAGTGGCCAAAAATGGTAATGCCCTCGTCAACCTGACCATCAATATCCAATCGTCACTGTCAGCGCCCTCAAATGGTCGCCAACGCAATAAAAAGATATCTGTCCGTCGTCAAGTCTCGACCCTCGCCTCCGAAAAAAGGAACAAACTCCTCGATGACTGAAGCTCATATTGTTGTCCATCATTACTAGTCCTATCAAACGTACCATTCGACTATCTTTGTTGTCTTGTTTGAAGGCGCGCCTGGAAACCGTGCAGCACTCGAACTTTCCACCTTGACATTCTTAGTCTACGCCGCCTGTGGCCAAGGAGCTTAGATTGTGGTCTGGAGTGCATTCGATCATGATGTTAGCGCAGCTATTCGTTGGAAACCTCACTTGACGCGATGGAATCGCCAAGCACCCGAGTCATCGGATCCAAGACAGTAAAGTCTAGGAACAAATTAGGAGTGGCATCACAAAAGTCCGGCGGCGTTGGTGTTTCTGACAATGCCCAGTGCAAACTGATACGGTGCAAGTTTGTCAAATGTTGGGGGAAGGCCGACTGAAAGCCGGAAAATCTGCGATATACGTAGATGCGCCTGCTTAGTGAATTGAAGAAATGGAAGCTGTGACGAGAGAATGGGAGGTGTTTCGCTTGATGCCTCGTGAGCTCGCTTGCTTGCCGGGATCAGGACCCGGGACGCGCTGATGGCACTGCGTGACTCTGTGACGGGGTGTCCTGTAACGGCGTTCTTCTTGAAAAACTGCATCCGCGAAGGCCCAATGCCCTGAAGACGTCCTAAAAAGGAGACGCGCCGCCCTTCCTATGGCCACTCCGTCCATCTAACGCCGGGAACCCACAAGCGCATCCTCATTTCCCTCGGAACAAGGCGGCGTAATAATAGCTGCACATGCCACCGCGAGGACGTCGGACATGCTGGTCATGCGCCTGACAGAACAAGCGATGGAAACAAGTGCATTCGGAATTCAGTCTTGAATTCCGAATTGCCATAATTCGGAATTGGCGCACCGCCTGGTTCCCCTCCGTGATCTCAGAAGGCCGGTCGGTCTGGAACGCTGGCGACGACAAGACGACGACAAGGCGGCACCACATTGCGGCAAGTACTGCTCCATCACGCCCCCCGCATATTGGCCGAGCTCCAGCACGGAGATCAGCGCGGCTCAATGCTTCGATTCCGCATTATTTTCGCAACAGGACAGGCTGCAAGTTTTGCTGAAACGCCTGTTGGCAGGATTCTTCCGCCTTGTCTGATAGGCGTGCTGCCTGCCCGTTCCCAAGGATCAGCCGACTTCGCGGACATCCTGTGTCGGCCAGCAGTCCTGCGGTGTGACATCTCAGTTCAATTCCGAATGATGGCTCGGTCCAATGCCCGAGTCCAATGACACTCAATAATCCCGTTTCCCCCTATGAGGCGTCCTTCGAGCACCTGACTTGCATCTTCTGTCTTTGCAAGCAGCCGTTGGTCCGCGGGTCGTGCAGTACGTAGTTAACGGACCGTCAATAATATCGTTTGCTCCTTGCACTCTGATTGTCATCATGCCACTATCTTCCCAGCCTGCTTCAGAAACGCCTACTGTGGCCATGAACGAAGAGAAGCCACCATCGTCCTTTGATGCTACGCGTAAGGATGCCGATGAGTCCCAAGAGGTCGATCTCCCGGCCCTTGACGAGCCACCGGATGGCGGTCTGCACGCATGGATGGTTGTGGTGGCGACATGGCTCATTAGCTTCATTGGCTTTGGTATCGCCACCATTTGGGGAGTCTTCCAGGACGCATACGAGGCCGACGAGAGCTCGCCGTTTCACAGTATCAGCGAGTTCAAACTTGGTTTCGTTGGTGGGTGCGGTATGGGCTTCGGTTTCGCAATCGGTCCCTTCTCGAATATCCTTATCTCGAAATTCGGTATTCGCGCCCCAATCATCGTCGGCGTCCTCATGATTGCGGTGGCATTCGAGCTTGCGTCAATCTCCACCAAGTATTGGCAGCTTTTGCTCTCGCAAGGCATCCTGTTTGGGTGAGTATATTTATTATTTCCATAGCACAGTCAGACTCATCTGATTCTTTCATTTGTAGCATTGGCATTTCTATGTCATGGATTCCTGCGATTGCCTTGCCCTCTCAGTGGTTCAAGAAGAGACGCAGCCTTGCGTCTGGAATTGCCAGCGTAAGCCATATGTCTAATGCTTCTACACGCCTTCAGCTTGCTCATGGAACGTGCATTCATCCTCAAGTCCGGTACTGGCATCAGTGGCGTTGTCCTCTCACCCGTATGTCAAGCCATCATAAATCGCACTTCCCCACAATGGGCGCTGCGGTTCCTTGGTTTCCTAGCCCTGTTCGTAGGTGGGATCGGTGTGCTCCTGGTGCGCCAGCGCACGGTGGCGAAGAAGCACGTAAACTATCACTTCTTCGACTTGAGCGTATTCAAGATCCCTGGGTACGGATTCTACTTGGCGTTCTGCTTCCTCCAGTTCTTTGGTTATGTCACTCCTCTATTCCTCATCCCAAGTGCGTTACCTGCTTTTCACATAATCACGTGGTTAATTGACTCTTAAACATCAGGTTACTGTCTTGCCATCGGTCTCACGTCTTCGCAAGCCTCCGGTGTACTGTCGGTGGCCACAGCGACCAATGCAATTGGCCGTATCATTGCCGGTTTCCTCGCTGATCAAGCAGGCCCCGTTAACGTTCTGATCATCATGCACCTTCTGACCGGCCTCATGTGTATCTTCATATGGCTTTTCGCTGAAAGCATCGGAGTCATGATGGTCTTTGCCATCTTCTGGGGCTTGTTCAGTGGACGTGAGACATCAACTCAGTCAGTACAGTCTTCTTCTATTGACTGATGCGCTATTTTTGCAGCGTATTGGCCTCTCTCTGTACCCACGACCGCTAAGATTGTCGGTACGTCAACTCGCTTCGCTACGCCCGTGTGTGTGTCGTTACTGATTGATGTCATCCGCCCATACAGGGATGCAGAAGCTGGGATCGGCCGTGGCCATTCAGTTCCTCATGAACGTCATCCCTCCCATTTTCGCGGTCCCTATCGGATCCCGAATCATCGCCGACACCGCCGCAATGTACGGTATCGGCGTGGACACGGGCAGGGCGTACCGGTACTTGATCGTCTGGTGCGCGCTCGTGCCCATCGTTGCTGCCGCGCTTCTGCTTCCTGTGCGTTTGATGTTCAGCAAGAAGCTCTTTGTGAAGGTTTGATCGGACAAGGCGCCACCTTTCGCTGCCCAGTACCCTACGGCGCCAGCCAGAACCCTTCTCATACAATTTATGTTTCACTGTCATGACCTCGCATGTAGCTCGCTCCTTAGTCCCATACGCATCCCACACGTAGACCGTCATGAAAGCCTACGCCCCATACATTTAATGTCATCACCGTTGTCCTTTCAGACACATCACGGTTCGGCTGTATCTGTAACAATAGATGCATAGTTTCTGATTCTCCTGCATGTATGAAGAGGTTGCCCAAAGATAACTTCCTAGCGCCCGGGCAAGATCTGTGGGATTCACTTACTCCATGAGGCCCACAGTGCCGGCGCTGCGGCAGGGAGGTGCCGTCCTTGTCTTTGCGAAGTAGTCCGAGTGCCCGAGCTGTCATGGTATCTTCGCGACTTCTTCGATGCCAGCGTCAAGTTCCTCAAAGTTTCCGTGTCAGGTTCACGCACTAGTGCAGGAGTCACGCTGATCACCTGTACCTGGTGCGTCGGTCAGAAACCCGGGCATGGAGTCCATTGCATTGCATGTTTGTGGCAATTGGAAGCGTTTCATCTCGGCCCCGCAAGGCCGCAACTGCCAGTTAGTGACCCTCAGGCTGTCATGGGTGACTATGAAGATGATGCCGTCAGTCCACGGTCAAGTCCCTCCTATCGCACTAGCGTTCGGTAAACACCGTCGCCTTTGAGTTGCTGGGACTCCGACTAAGAGACCGGAATATCTGACGGTGCGCAGCACGTCAAGCTATTTTGGCCATCGCTGACGATGATCGGCACTGAAAGTCTGAAAAATCATTCACCAAGCCCCGAGAGATGACACACTACGATGAGAAAAATTAACGCCATTCGACACGAAATGCTCATACAGATATCAGTTTCGCGTGCTATAGTTTACTTTGTGGCAGTCTCGCGTTGAAACAAGGATAACATACTCATCCACTTCATTCGGTTAGATAGAAGACATATCAATGGAAGGCTATTGCTTTTGAATTACTAATTAGGGCCGCTAAGAGACCGGTCCTTCTGACGGCCCCCAGCACGTCAAACTATTTCAGTTGTCGCTGACGATGACATGCACTGCAACATATTACAGTACGTAAAAATACATCGCAATTATTCAACAAGCCCAAGGAATAACATAAGATACGAGGAAATCAATGCAACACAACACTCGGAGATGCCCACATGTGACATACATTCAGTGGTCGATTTCGCGCTCTGCTTTCCATCGTGGCAGTCTCGCATTGAAGCAAGAATAACATACACATTCATTGCATTCGGTTCGATGGAAGACATGACATTTTACATTTTTCACAGCAGCATAACCGCGCGGAGTCACCCTATCAACGCCAAATTTATCCTTCAGGCCGAGGCGAACATGGCATCCGCTTAAGCTGATTCCGCCTTGATACTGTACCGAGTGCCGAAGATGCCCTCCTCCGTGGCCTTGATCTCTGCGATATACGCGATGTCAGCAACAAGAGCTACGGATTACTCAATCAACGCACGCAAAGCCATGAGCTTCGAGAAGAAACGTGCCATTTGGAGGGGGCCTGATAATTATCAACCATTAGCATCAGCGGCGACGACGACGGACTAAGCGCGGCGGGCAACGCACCCATCATGTACCAGAGTCCAGGCACTCCGAGGTCGCGCCAAACGCCCTGAATCTCACCCTCTTGGTCAAGGCCCCAGATAGGGTTGCACGTGTCGGCGACCTCATCCCCGCACACAGAACGAATGGAGTTCCTGGTATCGCCCACTCTACGTGCGCCACAGTTTTTTCTCGTCAGCTATTCCGAATTATCGTGCACGCGGATCATCATATGCGTACCCGGTTGCGCAGACGACCGTGTCGGCTTCGAGTTGGGAGCCGTTTTCAAATTTGAGGCCGGTCTCAGTGAAGCATGCGACCTGGCTGTCGTTTTTGAGCTTGATCTGTCCGTCGATGATCATCTGACTGGCCCCAGTTTCTAAGCACAAAGTGAGCGGTGGTTATCAGGACGTTAATCAGCGGGTCTTACCGAAGTAGTGCCCTCCTGCCTTAGTCTTCAGAAGGATGAGAACACCCGTATCCTTGATGCCAAGATTCGTCTTGAATCCGACGGCCTCGAGTTTCTCAATCAACTCCCTGCAAGATGACGCCGTTGAGCATACACATTCAAGGAGATGCAAGGATTGCTTACTTATCGCCCTCGACGATCTTCTTCACTGCTCGCTGAGCGAGGCCATTCTCCTGGACGAGATGGGGAACGGAGTGATGAAGGAGATCAGCAATGGGAGTAGGCGGGGAGTTCTCAGAGTAAAGGGCTACAGTGAGAACGTTTTCAGTCGAGCTCATTCATTCCATAGCGGGGTGCCTACCTCCGCCCATGTGCTTCCACTGCTTGTCGAGGTTCATGACGAAGTTGGAGCTCCGTTGGAAGATAGTTACGTCTAGCACCATGGTCAACTAACGACGCCCGCGCTCAGCATGCAACCGTACGAACCTATGTTGGCTTTGGCCAGATCCGACGCAACATCATGCCCTCCATACACTTCGCGTCAGCACGACGCCCACTTCATACAGCCTATGATCCATACCTGAATTACCAGCGCCAATGACAACGACCTTTTGCCCTTCGAAGCCCTGGTAATTCTTGTACTGGGCCGAATGCATGATCCGGCCCTTGAATTTGTCCTGACACGGCAATCTCCGTCAGCAATGCAAGGCACCCTCTACGCGGTCACGTGCACACGCACCATCCCGGGGATCACAGGCATGTTTGGCGTGGCGTCGCCAAGGCCAGTAGCGAATACTGTCGCCGCGTCGACGGTCACTCAGTGGGAATCCCGCAGTGTCGGTTCGGGAACGTACCGAGATGATTTACGCGCAGAACACGCTCTGTGCCGTCACCGCGTCTCACGAGCACCGACCACTTGTTATCGGGACCTCGGGTCGCCTGCAGAGCTGTTGTCGCAGTCCAGACGTTCAGCTCGAGATGGTGAGCATAGGACTCGATCCAGTCGGCCATCTTACATGAAGTCAGTCGCGTTCATTTGCATAGGTGATCATCTCGTACTTACCTTCAGCGAAGGGGTGTACAAGGGCCATGTAGGAGGAAACCTGATGAGAAGGCGTAAATGGCAGGCCAGGAATTACTAACTGTGATATACTCACGGGACGTATGGCATGTGATCATACCCTAGGAACCTGTCAAGCGGCAGCAACAGAAGACACATCTAATGACTCACATATCGGCCAGTGAAGGCAGAGAGTGTCATACCGCGAGCGCCAATTGTCGCCGAGTCGAGCAGTCTTCTCGACAACGAGAACCGGGACGTTATGATACTTCAGCCTCGCAGCGAGCTCAAGTCCGCTGTGTCCGCCTCCAATGATCAGCACCGCCGGATCACTATCTTCGAAGGCTGCCTCTCGGCGACGCTTCTCGGCCCATTTAGTACCGGGAACGTGCTCGACGCTGCGAAGAGAACCCGTCTTCTCGCGGAAGTCCTTCAGGTCCTCCATCGTAGTGAACAGCTGGTGCGCTTTCCACGACCCATCCGCTGTAGGCACGAGGTGCACTACACCGGACGCGACGCTGACGTCGGATTCGAAGTTGAATATCGCCACGATCCAAGCCAGATCGGGATACGGCTGTTCCAGGCGAACGAAGTCCGTAAGCGTGAAGGCATCAAGCTTCGCGCCAGCCAGACGATCCGCAAGGAACTGGCGGATCGCATTAGAGCCATCAAAAGTGCGGAAATCCCAGGTGAGGACAAGGTAGTCTCGCCAGTATCCGTCTTCAAGGAACAGCTTCAAAACGCCATCGACGTTGCCAACCTTGGCTTCGGACGCGAAGGCCTGAAGCCAGTCTGCGGCGACTTTGTCAACGTCGACGTCCGCAGAGAGTGAAGCTCCGAGCTTATCGAGGGTAGGAAGGCGAGTTGACTGAGTTGTTTGGATCATGGCGTCCGAATGTCAGAAGTCGAAAACCTGCACAGAATACAATATACCCGTCTGCAAGTGCCCAGCCTTCCACCGCCCTCTCGCAAAGATGATGTGATCACAACATCACCACGACAGCGATGCGCCGAATGAACCCCCCATGGTCAGCCCCGAGCGATAGGATGGACAGCTTTTCCGGTGTGCGACCGGAGCATGCGTTGATTCAATAAATCAAAATATCGCTCGAAGGGGTAAGAATCCGGATTTGTGGATTCGAATTCTCAACTGAGGCCGAAGGCGTAGCTCGCAACACATGAAGCAGGGCTCCGGTCACAGCACTTCTAGATGTAAGCGCTGCCAGATCAATTGATCGCCCCGCAGGGTGGCGCTCCGCGTATACATAGTCCTGGCGAGGGTTCTATGTTCTTGTGAGTTTCTTGATGTGTGAGCATTACAAATTACATATCTCCGATCTAGCCAACTTGCAGGTATGATCTGCAGAATCAGATCCTCTCCAAGGTGGTAATGAACACGCTAGGCCAGTGACATCGCTTGAAAAATCCCCCGTTCGAAGAGCCATGCAGCCACTATTAGTTACATTAGCTAACAGGACGATCCCGGTGACAGCCACTTACCGAGACGCCATGTCAATTTTAAGGTGAAGCCACCTTATTCGGAATTGCCACCTCAGCAGAATGTGCTGTCTCGTCTGATGAGTGTTAAACGTGCATCAGCTCCTGCGCTCTCACAATCGATATTCGGAATTCAGGGTGAAAATTGGGTGGATCCGATGTCCGGTGGAAGAGACAGAAGCCAGCGCGATCACTACCGTGCCGCTAGCAGCGTCTGAATCATGCTTTCCGTGGGGTAGAGTGCACTGGAACAGATCAGCCGGCACATCAAACCCAACAGTTGGGACATGTTGTAAGCATCCGTGCAGGTACGCGATGCAGCATTGTATGTAGGCTGCTATGCGCTTACACTGCTGCGCAGTGCGGATAAGCGAAGGAAGGAAGGATGCCCGGGCAGATCGTCCGGGCGTGGCATCGTAGTACATCCGTATCCAGGTCTGGCGTTTGTCATGAGAGAATAACGAGATGCTGCAAGTACTTCGCACCGGCGACCGCAGAGGACGAGCGCGAACAGATCGCGATAACAGTGTATCTCCGTCTTAACTTCACAGGACCAACGACACCCCGTGACTTTCTGTCACGTACCCTTCCCATCGTGTCATCGGCGTCTATCAGAGCGCGGGAGCAGACTTCGCGCTCCTGCCATTAACTTGAGCTGACGAGGCTTTTCATTCTGGCAACAACGGATCACCCCTTGCAGCGGCGAGACGACCAGCGCCCAAGCTGCAGCAGCTATCTAAGCGGGAGTCAAGTGACGATGGCTAAACGATGGCTGGTACGCCTTTGTGCTGCATGCAAGGCTACTAGTCCACTCTGAGACGGCTCACCTCCGAGAAGTTTTCCGACTCTCAATGCACTCACTGGTCATCGGATCAGCACCCAGTACTCCGACAAGCGAAATGGTATACATAGAGACACCGCCTCAGTCAATTCCAGTGATGGACCGTACACGCGCAGTAGTACATCCTGGGCCCATTTCAGAGTTGTTCGACACGTATCCAGAGCTCGCATTTCGGCTTCATTGTTACTTTTTTTGGGACATTCCCCATTCTGCAGCCTCTGCTAACGATCCGTGCGATGCGCACTTAATGTGCACGTGCCCAGGAAGAAAACCTGCTGTTTTCGCCGGTTTTGATGCACAGACGTCCGCGACACGATACGCAGTCTTTTTGGCGCTGGTGGCGTTTGTGCGAATGTTGATGGAAGGATGATGAATGTGCCGTTTCAGATTTGGTTCAGGGAACAGAGCAACCTCGACTTCTCTGGCTCAATTTCTTGCGATGTCGAAATTCTGATATGACGTTCAAGGCCGTACGTCCGAGACGTCGGATGCCGTGGCATGCGGCCCTTCCCTACAGAATCAAATTTCCATCAAGGATGGTAGTGGAGGGACCTCAGAGACGCTCGGGGTCATTGCCATTGATCAAGAGAATGTGGAGGATTCCTCCCCATCGCGACATTCAGTCGTGCGAATGGACATCAACCTGGACGTAAGCTATCAGTCACATTTAAGCGTAGCGCACAGTCTGGGTACGGTCCAAGCCGTGTACGCTGCCAGTACGATCCTTTGCAAGTCTACGCTATTGCAGAATGTCTGCCCCTCCAGAATTCGGCCATGCGTTGCTGCCCCACTTCGCGTTGGACCAGGAATTTGTGAACCTAAACCATGGTAGATGCGCCTCCCTGAGTGCATCCTCGCAGTCCCTAACGCTTGTTTTGTTCTCTAGGTTCCTTTGGAGCATTGCCAAAGCCTGTTCTGGAGGAATGCAACAAAATGACCTTGGAGATCGAAGCGAATCCAGACTATTTTCTCCGCATGGAGTTCGAGCCACGCTTGAACCAATTGCGGGAGCGAATTGCGAAACTCCTCGGCGCAGACAGGGATGAAGTCGTCTTTGTGCCCAGCGTGGCCAATGGCATGAACACCGTGCTCAGAAACTTTGAATGGAATGAGGGCGACATCCTAGTCCCCAGTAGGCAAATTTGCTCTTCGAACGCTCCACATACACTCACGCTCTGTCCTTGGCAGCGAGTACCACATTTGACTCCATCACCCGCGCTGTCAAGTATATCTCGGGGCAGCGCCCATACCCCTCAGTTTCCACATTCACATTGACGTTCCCTGAGACGCACGCCCAAATCCTCATCAATTTCCGCGAGCACCTCCGCTCGTTGAAACGCGGACCGAACAGCAAGGTCGTGGCTGTCCTGGACAGCATCGTTTCTGGCCCCGGCGTATACGTCCCCTGGCGGGAGATGGTGCAGGTTTGCAGGGAGGAGGGCGTCTACAGTGTTATCGATGCCGCACATTCTGCCGGCCAAGAGGTCGACATTGAGTTGCACAAGGCCGACCCCGACTTCTTCGTCGCTGTGAGCGTCACGAGTTGTTCTATAAGTGATGCCTCGTTGACAGATGGCCGTCTGTATCGCTATAGAGTCTGCACAAATGGCTCTACGCGAAACGTGCATGTGCGATCCTATATGTGCCGAAGAGGTAAGTTAGCGTAATTTAACAGCGACGGCTTGGCTGAATGCGAGCTTCGTCCGATGTCACGCAGGAATCAGCACATCATCAAGACATCCCTCCCGACTGCGTGCAACTACAACGCGCTCACGCCAAACGCGAGCGCGTCCGCTTTTGTGGCGGAATTTTTATGTACGCTCGTATTTAGGCAGATCCCTTCACACGATCTGACAGCCGTGGACTCCGACAGGGTTTGGCGCGATTGACGTCGTCCCGGCACTCAGCAATGGTCCAGGTCAGTGATCGGCGTTCCTATAGGCCTGTTCATGTCCTGTGATGACTCTGACGTCCACGTGTCTCCAGCCCTGGATTTCAGAGAATGGCTCGGCGGAGAAAAGAAGATCAACGACTACTGCCGGTCGCTTGCACTTGCTGGAGGCAAGCGCCTTGCCGAGGTCATGGGGACTACGATATTGGACTCGCCTAACCATGGCGAACTGATTCTGAACATGGTGCCTGTCCCAACGCAACGAGTCATCCGTGCACGTGTACTGACGCTGTCGTTTTTTTGCGTTGCCAGGTCAGCGTGGAGATCCCCTTCCCCATTGAGATCAAGCCCTCCCCGCAGCTGTACGGGATGTTCCTGACGAAACTGATGAAGGAGCACAAGGTGTACGCGACGACGTTCCCGCACAATGGCAAGTGGTGGACGCGGGCGAGCGCCCAGGTCTATAATGATGTGCGTACATCGATTTCTTTACTGGCATCCCGAGATGTACTGACGTTGCTATCATTGCGGCGTTTTGTATAGATCTCTGACTTCGAGAGGTTGGGAAAGGCCCTGCTAGTCGTATGTAAGGAGATCGTCGATACTTTAAAGGCTGAGGGCCTTTATCAATGAAAATATTGCGCTCTTAGCAATGTATGTTTTCATGTACACACGTTGAAGTGTTGTATCAGTAGAGTATTCGCAGATGCAATGTGATTGTCAGAGATTTCCTGTGGCAGTATCAAAATGTTAAAGGAAGAATGCATCGTTATGATATACCACCGCTAGCGCTATCCTTCCGATGGACTTTGGGGCAACGCACGCTATCTCTGAAGAAGCCTCATCCAAGTGCTGAGACACGCAGTGCCGCCACAGGGCCACGGGCCCGAATCCTCTGCTGAATGCGTCCTTGCACGTGATCGCGTAACTTCCTTTTCAGGGTGTCTGAAGACACTGAGCCGCAGCCGATCCATTCCTCTCCGCGTCTGCATCCCGAGCTATGGTGCCAAACATCTCAGTCAACGAAATATAGCTTACAGGATCTCGCAATCGCAATAAAGAGTAAGGTGTTTCGGTACTTTCGTCGTATCAGCACCAGCTTTTCTTTCACAGTCAAAGGTCTCACGGGCGCTACTCAAGACCGCTGTGTGCTCCTATGGATCCCTATGGACAGTTTCTCTGTCGAGATGCAGATCCCCGGTCTTCATACTTTATCATCTGTAATTCGATTTTCCTGCGATCAACCCCGCACCTGTGCTGGCACGACATTCACCGTATCGCTGCACGCCAGATCACGCAATCGCGGTCTGGCGGCTCGTATTTGAAGTGCGATCTGCAGGCAAGCATGCTGTCGCTTGCAAGTTCTGATTTGATGCTCACAGATCGACACTGTGCATCATGTCCAAATAGCACACGCCATCAGCGATGTGCCTGAACGTTCATATTAACTTCGTCAAGTTCTGTTCTTTCTGCCTCGCGATTGCGCCTTCCGCTTCCTCGCTGAGCACCGTACGTACTTTCATAAAGGCTCCGGACCTTAATATGACTAGCTTACAATTTAGGCCTGACGTACTATCCCTGCAGTTACGCGACGACTGCAGGCATTATATTGAAATTGAAGCATTGGCTCGATCTGATCCCGCTGGAAATTAGCGCCCTACTTTCGATACTCCAAAGGCGGGTTAATATACTTTATTCGGGTGTCTGTGCGTTGTGAAGAATTTGACATTGTAAGGTTGCCCAGCCGATCCGTATAAAGATAGGAACAAACATGTAGGGCTCCTCTCAGGCTCGCTTTTCCACTGGCAGACAATCTAATGCTTATGCTAACGTTGCAAAGTGCTAGATAGTGCAAGAATAGAACTATTGCGAGGCTAATTGATCACTATTGCCAATTTTCCTGCAATTCATCAATTCAAATGAAGCCAACGATAGGTACGATTATACGTCGCACTCCTATACTTCCTTGCAAGTTGAATTTCATCACAGTTCATATACATATTTGAACCTCGACGCTTGTGCCAAGATGTCAATACGGCGCGTTGCCAGCAATTAGTGGAGCTTAAGAGGTGAGCGCGTCTCAATACGAGCACAATGCCTTCCTCTTAACCATCCCAGAAAATAAACCAAAGGCGTGACTGTCCCATTCTACACCTGATATGTCGGTCACTGTCAAGTAGGCTTATGTGCCGCACAAATCTCGTCCCATCAAAAACACGATCGGTTATGAGTGCAGCAAAGCATGATAACTTTAGCCACAATGTTGGCATCTCATTGCTCTGCTTTATCGAATAAATACTGATTGCGTATTCCACCACTTTATTAGACACTCCGTGGTACGAGATGCAATTTGCTCACTATTTGGCATAACGTGCTAGAGATAATCACGGTCTCTGCTCGATCTCACATATTATAGCGTCGACCATAGTATCTAGGCTTTCTTCTCACCGCGGGAGCTTTCCTCATATTTCCCGCCCGGCGCGCCACATCAACCACGGTCGGCTATATTTGCAATCCACCCGCAACACACACATGCGCTTACCATGTTACCGTCTTCTGGATGTTTCTCAGGCCCAGTAAGTCTGACCTCCGATACGGTACCCCATGTTTTTCGGCACTCAACGGCTCCACCCCAACGAAGATCTGATGGTGTAGATGTTTCTGTGTTCTAATTACAGCTGGTATGACAGAGACATCGGCCTTGTGTGCCCAGGCCATTTGCATCGCCCATTAGCGAATCTCTCTCAGGTCTCACTCCACCTATGGTTGCGGTCGCACTAGTTGAGGATGGTAATTCCCCATGATGCTAAACCTTGACATTGAATCCTGTCCAGACACTTTTTAGGCCCAGCTGCGGTCGATAATGTCCGCAGTTCATTTCAAGAAGTTTCCGTGCGCCTGTGCCTGCGCATCGTACCACTAGGAGAAAGCGCTCGTACCGAACTCTAAGTCAGTCGCGTTCGGAATCAGAACTTGCTCATAGCGTTCAATTGCATTGAGATAATCGGAAACGACAAGGGCCCTTCTATCGCCGCTAGGAAGCACTGGAGGCCTGACGTCCCCCTTAACCGCGATCAAGGGTTGACTGAAACTGTTCGCCCACAATGCGTGCTGATGCATCATTCTCGATATATGGAAGTATCTAATGCTCTCATACCAAGCTATATGGCAGTATCAGAATACATTCAGCGCTTCGAACTTGCAGCAGAAACCCGAGTTTGATGTACTTTTTTATGCTTTTGATGCAACTAACGGACGCGAGTGCAGAGCACCGAGCGGAATGACGAGGCCATATTCATGAGAATCATCTTTGAATCGATACGTCTCAGACAGTCACAGGGCACTTTGTTATTGCGTACGAGATTACTCTGCACAGATAAACCGTAAGTCTGTTCCGCAGGCTATCGCGACTTGCATTCGAAGTGGGAGCTTGTGTCCCAGTCGTACCGCTGTATGTATTTCCATCCTGATCTCCAACGGTGACACCCATCAAGCTCGCACGCTAGGCAAGAAACTTTAGCCGATACTCACAGGCACGCGCTACGAGCCGTCGGAGAACGCACGTCCTCTCAGCTCTGGCCAGATCAACGCCGGCGGCTCCGTGCGAAGCAGGGTATGGATGTCCCTTCTCCGCCGCACGTGTGGAACCCCGCTTAGACTTCGCAGAAGCATCCCGGAGATCTGGCTCCCCTCCGCGAAGGTCGGTGGAGCGACGTGCACTTTCGAAGTTGATAGCTTCGGGCCGATGGGCGGCTTGTAGTACGTTAGCTTGGTGCCGCGGTCGCACCTCAGCTCAAGGGCGAATTATATCAATGTCGCACACGTTACGGGATCCTTCACAGATTCACTTGCGTTGAGCACAGATTGGCCATGAGGCTGGGCATTGCGCACGATCCTCGGTGCATCAAATTTTCTCACTGATGATCAGTTGACTGTGAGCTCTCTGTCACAGCAATGACCCAAAGGAGACGAGATCACGAAAAGAGGGGACATCTGGAAGCAACAGTCGTCACCTCAGCAAGTAGTATACATTGGCAATACTCTCACCTGCGCGACAACAGCAGGCCTTCACAGAGTCGCAAACTTCGTCGCAGAAGTAGTAGCCGCGATCGTTAGTAAACTCCCGAGACAAGTTAGGTGGTCTCATTACAGGCAAGCACCGTCGGATTCCACTGGGGCGTTACAGCTACGGCTACGGAGGAGCAGGCAATTAGAGTGCCATCCTATTCTGTCCGCTGGGAGTGTCGACACTGCACTGGGTCGTAAATAGTACGTAGATACAGGAGAGCGTCGCAGGTATTGTCAACCAAGGCATAAACCACGGAAACACATGGGGAAAGCAAACAGAAGACCAAAAATCGAAACATCTAACCGAGGTACGCGAGCGTTAGACTGGCGCGGGATGTGAACGTCAGCAGAAAACAATCCTAGTCCGAAGTGCGGCAAAAAGTGCGGGGTATCGACAAGACGAATGAAGTGGTAAAGAAAATCGTGACAGCGTCCTCGAGGAGAGCGACAATGCGAGTGGAATGTGCAAGAAGGAGCGGACGGGAGGCGGGTCGAAAGGACGACACCAATCCCAGGAAGCTGTTCTACAGCGCGCCGGAAGATTTTAAGGACGCGCGGCGGCAGGGGCTCAGTCTAGCGATGTACCGTTCTCGATGCTGCGCCGGCTCTGGATACGAGAGTGCGAGTCACGTCGGTATTGGGTGCGGGAGTGCGAGCCGCGCCGGTATTGTGCACGAGAATGCGAGCCGCGTCGGTGCTGGGTACGAGAATGCGACCCACGGGGTGAAGGGGCAAGGTGGGCGATGGGCTCGGGTATCGACGTAGGGACGACGTCCTCGAAGACGTCGCTGCGGCGTGCTACCGTATACGTTGGCGAGACGAAGAGGGAAGTAGACGCGGCGCCGTCGGCAGATGATGAGTATTCTTCGTTCGCGCTGCCACCCAACGCAGTCACGACGTTACTCGTGCTGTTATCTGACTTCACCTTGTAAACGATGAGGCAGACGAGTAGGACAATGATCTGCAGAGCGACAATCCTGTAAGGGACGAACGCACAGAAAGGGCGGGGACACGCACTGTCAGAAGCATCATGCCCACAATCCACACCCAACGCGAGTAGCGACTGTTTCCATCCAAGGTGCTCCTCAACCAAGGACTGGGGGAATTTCCTTCAATCGCATCAACACGCAACTAAAACATTCCTGCTTACCTTGGTTTCTCCTTGCGTGCGAGATCATCATGAGCGACCATGCTAAATCTCCGCCAGAACTCCTCGCCTTTCCCCTGCTTCAGCAAGAGTGTCTCCTCTTGATCTCCACGCAGAATGGGCGTCGGGGAAAACTTGACATCGCGTCTCTGGCTAGCGGCACTCGACGGGCGGATAAACGCCGGCGAGATAGGTGTCATCGACGGCTGCAGTTCGTGCGGAGCATTGTGCAATGGGCCCGATACAGGCGATGCCTGCCGTGACACGAGAGTGAGGGGCTTTGGGAATGCCTGGCTCATTTCGGGCGACAGTGCAGAGGGCGATGGGGACCGTTGCCGGCCCTCCGGTGTCGCTGCGCGCCTCGGCTGTGCGAGGTTGAGTGCCGCGACGGGGGCCGGGTACCCTGGTCGGGGGGCAGCTATGGGAATGGCCCGCTGCGGCTGCTTCACATCGTGCATATATTTGCTGTCGTCGAATGGGTTATCGTATCGTGGGGGCTGCTTCGCGCTCTCGAGGTATTGGTCGTACCTGTACTTTTGCGTCAGATCTTCATTCTAGATAGAACGGCAACTTGCGGATGCGCAAAGGTCCTTAGACCATCTCTGCTGGCAACGCGCAATCGAATGCAGCATGACAAAACCGAAGTCAAACACGCACATGTTGTAAGCAGATGTCCTGTCGTTCGGATTCTCGGGAGCTGGTTGTCTAATCCTGCGAATCTGTGCTGGCCGCTGCTCGTACTCTGAGTCTGGGATGTCGGTCGCGTAGGGCGGTCGTCCAGCGATGGGAGGAGAGCTATAGATGACAGACTGCGACATGTACTAGCCGCTATCGAGAACGGCGCCGTAAAGAGCGGAATGGGAAGAGAGTGGATGCCTCGGAGCACCAAGGCGGGCGAAGGTTTGAGAATGGTGGAAGGGGGAGTGGGACTGCGACGTGCGTGCAGCTGCGCTACCGCGACTTTGTAGTCGGCTAAGCTTATTTTAGATCGGAAAACAGCCGAACTAGTCTGGCCTAGCGACGAAAGTTCACGCGGCAACTGCAGCGAAGACGAGTCCGTTCGTTCTCTGAACATGCAAGGCCATGCGAGGATCATTGCGAGTATGTTCTTCATGGGCGTGAATGAACCAAACGGTTGATCTATCAATTGAATGTGCGTATATATATTATCTCGGCATGATCACACGTAATTGCGGGATCATTTCCTGGATCGTCTTTATTGATGCTTGTTTTTCTCCAGCCACAGTGGCAACTCGACGCGTCGCGTCGAGTACGCGAGTTTGTTCTGATCACCGTTCGCAATGGCGAAGCGCAGGGCTGCCTCCATCTCAAGCGATGATGATCCTTCCACTCCAGAGGGCTCACAGGTATCCAAGCGGGCGCGAATGGAAGGTGACGGCGAAGTAAACGCGACGACGTCGAAGACTAGACGCGCACCGAAGGATAAAGGAAAGGGCAAGGCGCGTAGACAGGAGGAAACGGAAGACAATGAGAACGAGGATGAGGACGAGGATGAGGATTTAGATCAGGCTTCTCCAGATGAAGATGAAGAGAAGAAGTTTGAGGAGGAACACGAGGAAGAAATACGCGAGAAACTCATGAATAAGGGCAAGACTCAGGGAGTGAGTGCAGACCCTTCAAGAGCATACTCGATAGAGTGGAGCTCACCATGTACACAGGGAGTTGCTGAGATGGGTATTATTGAGTCTCTAGAGATGCACCAGTTTATGTGCCACAAATACTTGACGTTCACGTTCGGACCTCAAATCAACTTCATCATTGGTGAGGATTCTGAATAGTCGCCTTTTCCTTCTCGCTCATGCTTTTGGCACAGGTCATAACGGAAGTGAGTTCTAAGTAAAGCAGCATTGCTATAGGAATGACCCTCCAATGCGTGCGATTGATAGGCGGAAAGAGTGCAGTCTTGTCTGCGCTCACCGTTGCCCTGGGCGGAAAGGCAACCTCCACAGGCCGTGGAAGTGGTCTCAAGTCTTTCATACGAGAGGGCCAACAGTAAGCCTCTTCTTCGAGCCTCCAATCTCACTAGAGGTTTCGTCCTGACGATCTGCAACAGCGCTGCTGAAGTCACTGTCGTTCTGAAGAACCTGGGCGACGAAGCATATAGGCCGAAGGAGTATGGAAAGAGCATCGTCATCACCCGAAAGTTCACCAAGGAAGGCTCCTCTTCATACAAGATCAAGAGCAAGGACGGCAGGGTCATCTCCACTAAACGTGAAGAGCTCTCCGCTATATGTGACCATATGAATATCCAGGTGGATAACCCTATGAACATCCTGACTCAAGGTGCGTGAGCTTTGCCCCAAATAAGAAAATGCTGCTAAGCATAACCCTTCGTAGACGCTGCCAGGTATATTCTCTCATGACTACAATGTAACTGTTTATCCTCATCCCTGTTCAGGCAGTTCCTGAGTGCTTCTCAGCCGGCGGACAAATATAAAGCAAGTTGTGAAAGCCTAGATGCCACCGAACTGAGCCTTACTTCTTCCTCTAGTTCTTCCTCCGCGGAACGCAGCTCAGTCAGCTGAGCGAAGAGTACCAGACGTGTCTAGAGAACATCGGACAGACCCAGAAGGTCATGAAGCGCAAGTCTGAATCCATCCCGGAGCTGGAGGAACAGTTAGAAGAAGCGAAGGCACGATTGGAGGAGGCAAAGAAGGCTCGTGAGCAGCGGCACAAAATCGATGAGTTGAAGAAGGAGATGGCATGGGCTCATGTCGCCGCTAAGGAGGCAGTGCGTCAAGTCCATGTGTTGTAGCGAAACTGGTTCTGACCCTGGCTTCTTCTGATCAGGAATTGAAGAAACAGTGCGAAGAAGTTGCGAAACTGAAACATCGTATTCCCAAAGTTCAGCAGGACGTGGACAAACACGATGTATGTTGTTATCCCTCGTAGTTTCTACATCAACTGACGCGTTATGCAGGCAGCGTTCATTCAAGCTACTCGGGAAGTGGAAGCGTTCGAGATGGACCTGACTGAGCTAGGAGATAGGGAGAATCTCGATGCTGAGAAGAATGCTTTACAAGCTCACATGAAGGAAAACAGAACAAAGATATCTAAGTATAAAGTTGGCACGTCCCTCTCAAGTCGCGAGCAATGCTGATGTGTCCTTCGTTACTAACAGGCTGACGAAAAGCAAATGAGCGAGAACCTTTCGCGTATCCGGACCACCATCGCAGACTTAGAAGAGCGCATCCAGAAAGAGGAGGCACGTGCTAACACCCAGGGAAAGCGCGATGAGACGGCTCGCAGGTTGGAGGAGGCGCATATTGCATATGGAGAGGCAGAGCGGCGCCTGGAGAGTATCACTGCCGAAAAGACCCAGAAGCAAGCCGAACAGCAGGAAGTTCACCGTAAGGGCAACAAGATGAACGAGGACCGCGAAACACTCAGACAGCGCATGAATGACTGCCAGGGACAGCTTGCGCGCTGCGCAGAACGCGAGAGGAACAAGCTTGCACCATTCGGCAACCAGATGGATCAGGTCCTCCAGGATATCCAGCGGACGCAGTGGTTCGGTAACAAACCGGTAGGGCCGCTGGGCATGTACGTGAACGTGAAGGATCCTCAGCAGTGGGCTGCGTTGTTCCGTGTGACGCTTGGAAGCCTGATGAGTGCGTTTGCGATCACCGATCCGCGCGACCGTGCCACGTTGCATAACCTGCTGGGCCGTTATCGCAAGTGAGCGCATGGTAGATTGTCGGTCATGAACCCGAACTAACGTTTCCTTTAGCAATCCACAGATTATCATCAGCGAAGTCGATCTGTTCGACTATAGCCGAGGAGAGCCGCCTCCGGAAATTCCTACCATGCTGCGCGCTCTCGATGTATGTATCTCATTTCGTGCGTTCAGATCAGCTCGCTAGACAGATCAACTTTCCAGGTCTCCGAAGAATATGTCCTGCGTATCCTGGTCAACAACGCGCACATCGAGAACACCGTGATTGCACCAACTCGCAGAGAACTTGACAACATCCTGTCTCAAATTGGGAGGGGAACCGGGTTTTCCGCCGACCTGTACAGAGTGCAACGCTTGTAAGTGCTTTAATAGTGCAAGTATGCACTGGGACTAAGCGTCTGTAGTGAGGGCGGTGGCTCTTCCAGTCCACTTAACCAGCTGAGAAGGGACGACGCGCGGCACCAGCTCTTTACCGGTGACAGCCCGGATGCAGCCAGGATGTGAGATTTCATCGATGCATATATGGACCCAACGCTGATGGTCGATTGTAGACGCTGGCAAGGCGAACTCGACAACGCTAACCGCCAAGTCGAAGCTCTCAACCGGGATCTCCAGCAGGAAAGGCAGAAATATGACGCGTTGGGCCGTGAGATCAAGTCCCTGAGCGTACGCTGACTCGTCCTTCACGATGTGCTATCGCGAACTGACGGTGGATCCTAGGATCAAGAGGTACGGACGAACCAGGAGTTGCGATCGTTGAAGACCGCGAGAGATGCATTGCAAGAAGAGGCCAATGAGGCAATGCCTGTGGAGATCCAGGCCTTCAAGGACGCTATTGCGGTAAGTCGATGACAGCTTGCCTCGCTTTTCTCCAATATCTTATCGTTACTGCAGGAAGCAAACGATGAGAGAGAGTCTATTATCTCCCAGTTCAAGGCTATAGAGAGAAGCAGGGCGGAGCTCGATACCATCCAGAGATCGCTGCAGACGGAGCTCGATTCCAAAAAAGCGAAGATCCGTGACTTTGAGGGTCGTCGAGAAGACATCACGGTAAGCCTCTCCTGATTGGCACGTGTCTACGCTGTTCGCCAACGATCGCCATAGAAAAGGGCCCAGGATGTTGCGCAACGACGGATCAATGCACAGCACGACAAGGCTCATTACCTTAAAAAGCTGGAAGAGGAGAAGCGGAAGGTTGCAGACGCGGAGGCCGTCGCAGATAATTTGGCAGAGGAGTTCAAGGTGGGATTCTTTCCTTCCTTGCTCTCGTTCACAGTACATCGTTCTGAGATTGCAAACAGAACTGGACGGTGAAAGCAGAGCAATATTGTGGTAGCGAACGCTTCCCCAACCCTCGGCCCGTGGAGGAGGTCCAGCGAATGCTGGAAGGTGTGCAGGCCGCGCTCCGCGAACGGGAAAAGAGGTCAGGGTTACTTTCTGGCATACCTACATAGGTTCTGACAGTGACGTAGGCAGGGTGCTTCTGTCGATGATCTATCCAATGAGGTAAATAAGAGACAAGCCGCACTGGAGCTTTCCAAGAAGGAGTACAAGAACATGGTCGTTTTGGTCAAGGTAGGCGTGATGGTGCCATGTCTGCGTCGAGGATCTTACAGTCTGTTGGACGTTAGGCCTTAAAGAAATCTCTCAGGTCGCGATTGGCCAAGTGGCATGAGTTCCGTCGTTATATCGCCCTGAGATGCAAGGTCTACTTCCAGTACCACCTATCAAATCGTGGGTACTATGGCAAGGTCTTGTTCGACCACCCACGCGGAACCTTGACGCTCAAGGTGCGGAGGCTAGTGATACACTAGCCTTGCCGGAGGTTCTGACGCGCGCACAGGTCCAGACGGACGATCAGACCCTTACGCAGAACAACAGAGAGAAGGACCCTCGCTCGTTGAGCGGTGGCGAGAAGTCGTTCTCGACGATCTGTCTGTTGCTGTCTCTTTGGGAGTCCATTGGTTGTCCTATCAGGTGTCTCGGTGAGTCGTACTAGTGTTTCGCACCGGCGATTTTCACTTAAGTTTGGGCATATTTAGACGAGTTTGACGTTTTCATGGATGCCGTCAATCGTCGCATCAGTATGAAGATGATGGTATGGTACCTTTCTTTTTTCACTTCCCGAGTCCCAGGTGCTGAATTCGTGACAGATCGACACTGCAAACGCCTCGGACTGCAAACAGTATGTGCTCATCACCCCGCAAGACATGACGAACGTCCAGTTCGGCAACACTGTGCGCGTTCATCGCATGTCGGATCCTGAACGGGGACAGGGCGTATTGTCATTCTAACTTGGGGCGCTACTTCGTCCATGGAATAACTTAATTCATTCAGGACACAGGCTCTTCTCGACCTACGTTAAGATGATGTCACATCTCTACTGCTATCCTACTGCTTTAATTCTTGCTAGGCATTGTCTGTTGTACTTTTCCCACGTGCTATTGTATAAAGCGAGGCAATATGACGGTCCTGTTTTGACCATCTCCAGGGAGTGCCGCCGAGTGACCGTGACAAAAGCGCGATCACCTGACCGTGACAGACGCGTTTTCGCTACAAAGCGCGAGATGGCATTCAGCTTTTCGCAACAACCATCATTATTGTCAACGAAGTATACGAACACCAAGCCGTTTTTAGCCAGCTGAAAGCCATGTAGTTGTATCTGTAGCACAGCAACTAGTTGCTCACATGATGATACTCAGGTCTGAGCTGAATGCAGGGGCTCACTGGCTAGTGTTCTTCTGCTTTATCTGCAAAGCCAAGTCGGAAAATTCCCTGAAACACAATGTTGGATCTCATGTATCCATTTCTACTTCCAAACAGCCATTCTCGTTCTCAGGTCAGAACAACCGTGCCCGTGCTGTCGACGGCCTCAGAAGTCCATGCGACTTGCTCTACAGCTCCATATAAATGACTGTCTTCAAAAACGAACGAACCATCTATTCTACTGTCCTACTCGCTTATATGACCACTCCATTGTACCCATCTCCGCAGCATCCATCATCGATCATCGGCCGTCGTATGTCTTTATAGGCACAAAACGCGGAATATAAATCATATTCGAAAGAATGATGCACGTGACTCCGCGTCTGAAAGACATTCCGTGGTCACAATGCGCCTCGATGCTGCGGCCTGCCGCAGCGAGATCCTTCAGACTTGTTTCTTATGCTCTAAGACAATCGATTTCTGTATATGCTTGCTTGGACTGTCTGAGGATCGCCGAATGCTGTGGCCGCCGCGTTACAAGTACTTTGTGAAGTAAGTACATAATGACGTGTCAGCATGCATTGAGCCTGACGTGCAGGAACCTAGACAGTCGCTGAGCGTCGAACGCCCTTTGTCTGACACACCACCGGTTTACCGTGCATAGGTCCATTCTACGGCACTGCTCCCAGATGGCCGAACCGCTCCGCCCGAGAGCATTGCCCAAAATACTATTGTTCGCTCTCGCACCCGTCGCGATGTGGCTGCTCCTGCGTCCCTTGCTGGACCCAGCTCCCACACTACCTGCCCTACATGCCTCGCTGGGCTTCTCCATCTTCGCCTTTATGGGTACGCTGTATCTCGTGCCTGCGCTCGGGAGCACATTCGTAAAGGCGAATCTGAAGGGCCGGGATCTACTGAAGACGTATGACGACCCAATGTGAGCACCAGTGTGATGAAGAGCGTGTCATTCTTGATTCACGACACCCCTTCATAGACCCGAGAGTCTCGGGCTTGTCTGTGCCTCCATCTACATACTCCTTCTAATTCTGTTCATTCCATTTGCATTCTCCGATTTCTTCAACCACCAGCAGGATGCCTCCAGAAAGCCACGTGAAGGCATCGTCGTTTCCGAATTTCCGCATCATCAGGTGAGCACGTCAATGGCCATGAAGTAGGCATACTTGACTGATATGCTCTGCACGCAGCTATCGGTGTACCTCTCGTGTCTCTTGTCTCTGCTGATGGCCACCATACTGGGATTTCTGGACGATGTCTTTGATATCCGGTGGAGGCACAAGCTGCCCATACCCGTCATTGCATCGATACCTCTCCTCATCGTATACTATTCCGAAGGAGGAAATACGGACGTCGTCGTGCCCATACCACTGCGCTGGCTGCTCGGAACGTTGATAAACCTGGGTTCGTACAAACTATATCTCTATGACGAAGTGTCTCACGTGCATCCTATGTGCAGGGCCTCTATACTACGTGTACATGTCGCTTCTGTCTACGTTCTGCACCAACAGCATCAACATACTGGCAGGCATCAATGGCTCAGAGGTCAGCCAGGCACTCGTGATTGCACTGTCGGTCATCCTGAACGACTTGCTGTACCTTCCGTGGTCGGTCGGATTCCGAATAGCACTGCCACTGCACCTTCTCGGGCGTCCTACTGAGGTCGATGTCGGAGGCGTCTGGAGCGCTGGCATGGCATACGGCAGCAAGGTGCTCGTCGAGCGCCACCTTTTCAGCCTGTACTTCATGCTGCCCCTCATGGGCGTCTGCGCCGGTTTCGTGTACCACAACTGGTGAGTCCACGTCCGATGCGCTATTCTTGGACCGCGTGTAGTGCCCGCGCTGATGCGGCTCGCCATCCTGATCGGACACGTGTAGGTATCCGGCTCGCGTGTTCCCCGGTGATACGCTGTGCTACGTGACGGGCATGGCATTCGCTGTGGTCGGAATACAGGCGCACTTCTCCAAGACGCTTCTGCTGTTCTTCCTGCCGCAGATTTTCAACTTCGTCCTGTCCTGTCCGCAATTGTTCGGTCTCGTCCCATGTCCGAGGCACCGTGTACCCAGGTATGTGTGCACTGCGGCGTTACACTTCACATCCTCCGCCGCCCGCCAGTACGAAGCGAACGAGCACTAACTGCGTGAGCGGCTTCGCAGGTTTGACGCGGATTCCGGGCTGCTACACCCGTCCAAGGCAGAATTCAAAGATCACCCACCTTCACGTTTAGCGGAACTCATACTGCGCGCTTTCGCCACCCTCGGCTTCGTGCAACTCACCGAGGATCCCCATACGTATCAGATCACGGAGACGACGAATATGACCATACTGAATGTGTTCTTGCTCCGGCTTGGACCGATGAGAGAAGACAGCCTCGTCAAAGTGCTGATCGCGTCGCAGGTTAGTGTCGTTGCACGTTTGGCGTATTCACTGCCTCACTGACAGGCTGGTGCGCGTCGATGTCAGGCCGCGGGGAGCGTTCTTGCGTTCGTGGTGCGATACGGCTTAGCGGGGTTGGTGTACGATGGCAACAGGAGGTGACGACGGGGAGAGAAGCATCCGCGCAAGGTGGCGCTATGCACGATGCGGCACTCCGCACGGTGTTGCGAGGGAGAGCCTATGCAAATGACTCGCGCTTCGCGGAGCCCAGGCTCAACGTTTATGGATGGCTTGTCCGATCAGCTTTGCCCCGACATCGTGCGGGGTGCGCGTCTTTCTGCCGTGTTAAACTGCTGATCGGGTTTCGGGATGTTTCGGACTGTGTGTGCGATTGTACTTCACCGGACCGCCGAGTTAGGATGCTGGGGATCCTCTGCAAGAACGACGATGCCATCTTCGTACTTTTTATCGGACCAGGGCTCCGTCTTAAAGCCGATGCGCGAATGCAATAGTTGCAATGTGTATTCGGGCAGGGCGTTAGTGCGTATAAACGACGGTGTGAGCGCAGCGGTGGCATTCGAAATTAAAGGTCAGGACGGGCCACGCAATGATGTGCCGCGGATTTCCGGGGTCAAAAATGAGGCCTGTCGGCCGAAAACGAGCGAGAGCGGGGCGGACGACGGAATAAGATTGGCGCTTACTGCGTCTACCCCGCACTCGGCTAGGCTGGGTTTTCCTAATCCGGTATGCGCCATCCAATCACATGGTCTGGAGAATTGATCGGTTCTAGGCAAAGGTGGTGCATTAAGGACCATGAATCCGCGAGTCCCACTTGCCAACGGCTTGCCCCTTTCCCCGCTCCTCCCTTCCATCTCTCTCTGCTTTCCCCGTCATGGCCCACAACGAACGCGCTGCTTTCCAGGCTGAGGTTGCCCGCGTAGAGCAATGGTGGAAGGTCCGTTGTTTGCCTGTTCATGCATGACTCCCCCCCTGATTCGCGTGTGTGTTAGGACCCCCGCTTTGCGCGCGTGAAGCGCCCCTACACCGCCGCGCAGGTGGTGTCGAAGAGAGGCACGCTCCCAATCTCGTACCCCTCCAACGTCCTCGCGAAGAAGCTTTGGGCATCTCTTGCCGACCATTTCAGGAACGGCACACCGTCGCACACCTACGGAGCGTAAGTGTGATCTTTGAAGTAGGTTTGAAAGCTGTGTGCTCACCATACGGTGCAGGCTTGACCCTGTGCAAGTCACGCAGATGGCCAAGTACCTCGAGACCGTCTACGTCTCTGGCTGGCAGTCGTCCAGCACGGCATCCAGCACACACGAGCCTGGCCCGGATCTTGCTGGTATGCATGACGTCCTCACCACCGAGCAAAAGCCAGTGTCACTGACAGCATCTTTCAGACTACCCCTCCAACACTGTCCCCAACAAGGTTGAGCACCTTTTCATGGCCCAGCTCTTCCACGACCGGAAACAGGCGGAGGCACGGTCAAACCTGTCCGAGTCGGAGCTCGCGCGCACGCCTGTGATCGACTACCTCCGGCCGATCATCGCAGATGCCGACACCGGCCACGGTGGTCTGACTGCCGTCATGAAGCTCGCAAAGATGTTCGTCGAGAAGGGCGCGGCGGGCATTCACATTGAGGACCAGGCACCTGGAACGAAGAAGTGCGGACACATGGCAGGCAAGGTGCTCGTGCCAATCTCGGAGCACATCAACCGTCTTGTCGCCATCCGTCTCCAGTTCGACATCATGGGCGTTGACAACCTTGTTATTGCTCGTACCGACTCAGAGGCCGCGACGCTCATCACGACCAACGTTGACGAGCGCGACCATGCATGGATCCTTGGCTCGACCAACCCTGACCTCCGACCGCTCGTCACCGTCCTTGGCGAGGCCGAGCGCGCAGGCAAGACTGGCGAGGCGCTGGAGAAGGTCGAGGAGGAGTGGACGGCCGCCGCGAACATTCAGCTGTTCGCTGTGACTCTGTCTAATGCTCTCAAGGCGCAGACGAATGCGTCTTCAATCACGCTTGAACGCTTCCAGAAGCGCATCGCACACCTCTCCTACCCCGACGCTGTCGCGGTTGCCAAGAAGGAGTTCGGCCTGAAGAATGCGCCTTTCTGGGACTGGGACGCACCGCGGACGCGCGAGGGCTTCTACCGCTACCAGGGTGGCACGCAGTGCGCAGTCAATCGTGCCGTTGCGTTCGCACCTTACGCCGACCTGCTCTGGATGGAGACGAAAAAGCCGATCCTTACGCAGGCGAAGGAGTTCGCGGAGGGGGTGCACGCTGTCTACCCGCAGCAGTGGCTCGCTTACAACTTGAGCCCGTCGTTCAACTGGGAGGCGGCCGGATTGAATTCCGAGGACATGCGCTCGTACGTGTGGGAGCTCGCCAAGCTCGGCTTCTGCTGGCAGTTCATTACGGTAAGTTATTAGTGCGTATATGCAGGGTATTTGTTCGTACTGATCGCTTTCCTACTAGCTCGCGGGTCTGCATTCGGACGCGTACATCAGCGACCTCTTTGCTCGGGCGTTCGCGACGGAGGGCATGAAGGCCTACGTCGAGCTCATTCAACGGCGCGAGCGGGAGATTGGCTGCGATGTCCTCACTCACCAGAAGGCATGTCCTTTGTCACACCTTTATCCTGATCTTTGCTTACAATTTCCTAACAGTGGAGCGGTGCCGATTACATGGACAACCTCATGAAGACTGTCACCGGCGGCGTCTCCTCGACGTCGGCCATGGGCAAGGGCGTGACGGAGGCGCAGTTCACTCAGCCGGCGAAGTCGAGGCTGTGATGGTCGGATGCTTTTGGAAGGATGCGGACGTTTCGTTAGGCTCGTGTTCTTGTTTCTGGCGTGATGCCGTCCTTGTCGCTGTATCGCTGTATTTCATACTGTAAAAAGAATTGACATCCTATGGATTGGGCCGCTGACTATGCATTCCCTTGAATTGGGCTGTTCGCAGCAAGCGTCGGTTCATTCGTGTTCAGCATCATGAATGAAACGGTACGTGGTGAACGTTGATGTAGGGAGGGTCGTAGAACGCAGCAGGCAAGTGAGAGAGTCAGCTCGAAGGCAGGTCGTGAGAGAGAGCGGTCTGCAGACCTCGCGCCACCGAACCGGCGCTCGACGCCAGCGCGTCGACACGGTCACGATAGCGTGTTTATCCAGCATCCATCTCCTCCGGCCAGCATCTCCATCATCGAACAATCTGCCTAGCATGGACGCCGAAGAACGCCTGCAAGCTGCCTCGAAATTCCTCCTTCAGTCGCCGCCCGGCGAGATCAACGACGTGCTGAACGGCAAGTCCGCTGTGCTGTCGCTCATGTACGAGAACGCGAGCATGCTGAGCCGATCAAGACAGATGTGCGCAATATCATCTCGGACGACGAATCGCTACAGGCTGGGGTGCTGCCTGCTCTGCGGGAGTATAACCTTGCGCAGTTCATGACGGCTGATGTGCCGGGGCACAATCATCAGGTGCGGGATCGTTGAGATGTTACGTTTCTGAGTGTTTTGACGGTGGACGTGACAGTCGATTATAAGTGAGGCTGCGAGGGTGAGCAGGTTGAGCGCGGAGGGGGAGGACGAGGGGGAGGACGAGGAAATAGATAGGTTCTGGGATCCACGCTCGAGGACGAGCTTCCGTTTCGACCATCTCAGTCTTGTAAGTGCATCGACTATCCCTTAGCGTTTCCCATGTTCGTGGTCTCGCTCATTTATGATATGTGCTCTCAGGAAACATCAGAACCCGAACCAGTGGAGCCTGACGCCGAATCAGAGCCCTTCCGGTACGCGGAACGCATACACCGCTGTCGCTCATCTCACCACCCATCACAGAGTGGCGTTGGAAGCATCGTTGCTAACGTATCTCGCTGCACACTTTAACGATGGAGTGGCGAGCGTGTTCAGCACACCAGGATCTGCGACGCGGTTCTGCATCCAGATCGTCGCGAACAAGTACAATCCCTCTAACTACTGGTACGTGATACCTGGATTCTCGCGGGTTGGACGTGACGCGGACGTGGATGATCTGCTTCAGGTCAGGCCGATGGCGTTCTGAATACGTAGTGGACCTTGAAGAGCGGAAGCTCACGGGCAAACTCCTTGTGAATGTGCACTATTATGAGCAAGGCAACGTTCGTGCTCTCATATATTTAGCGCAGGCATATCGTGATTCATTGCCATTCAGGTGCAACTTGAGACAACGCACTCTGTCGACCTTTCCCTGCCCCCTGCGATCACATTGGACGCAGGTGCATCATCTGCATCGAAGATTCTCGCACTGATCGAAGCCGAAGAGGGGAAATACCAAACTATCCTGAATGATATGTATGCGGACATGAGCGAGAAGACATTCAAGGGCCTTCGAAGAGCGCTACCGATGACGCGTTCGAAGCTGGACTGGGATAGGGTGAGATTCTCATTTCTGCACTTACGGAAGCATGAGATGCTGAACATAATCACTAGGTTTTGGGTTACAAGCTGGGTGCAGAGCTCTCATCGAATAAAACTGTGTTCGGCTCGTGATAAATGGATAGCAGCGGGTCGGGCGGCGGGCTAGAATTAAGGGCAGCGGACTGCACTGTATATTATTGCAAGCCTACATGTCTGAGTTTACACGTCACAAGTGATGATCGGACCAATTTCTTGTGATGGGGCAGTATCTATGTCCTATTTTGTCGTAGAAACTTCAGTGTCGCAGTGTCTGGACCATGAAGAGGGGGATTGAGAGTGCCTAATGAGGAGTAAAGTCTTCAAGATTGTATGCCTTTGGTGTCACACTTCAGCACTTGCCGCCAGACAGGTGCGACACCATCTTCCTCGCAACCAACTTGCATGCCGTTGTCGCACAAGATGTAATACTCCCTATGGGGAGTTTGTATAACCGCCAGCGCAGAGTGGAGTGGCCGTCCATCAGAGGTCGTGAAGTGGACGCTCTCCACATGGTGGTGTCTATATGCGGAAGGAATTCCGAGATATCGAGCGGTTAGGTTAGTCTCATACTGCGAATGAAGAAGAAGTCTTACTCTGGAAGGTATAAGTTGACGGAAGGCACCTTCTTCGTGGTGCCAGACGATGTCCGAGCTGGCAGCCCAGCGAAATCCTGTGCCATCTCAGTGGCAGACATCCACTGTCCGCTCACGCTATAGGTGATCGGTCATAACACCTCCTTCCACAATTCTACAAGAGCAAGAAACGGCTCACCTATTCGCGACAACGCATGCCAGGACATAGCGCTCCGCCACGACACGTTTGGCTTCGCCCACCACACCTTCGTTTCCGACACGTCTCAGCCAGAGTCGGCTTATACCGCGGTCATACTCCTCGCGGTTCGCCCATTTTAGTAAATCGAGTAGTCTGCCGGAAGTCCCGTCATGTTGTGACACGAGTTGCTGCAGAATGTAAGAGGACCAATCCGCTCGGACAGGCATGCTGTTTTTCGCTTGTTCCCCGAGCCGAGCGGCGTCCTGAGAAGCGTTGTCTGTCGGCCGGCCGACGACCTCACAAGTGGCTTCGAGTACGTATAGCATCTCTATCAGAGGATGTTGCCCTTCAAGCGTATTTGATGCGACAGTGATGCTCCAGATCTCGCTTTTCAGTACCTCTTTTGCATCCATCACCTTGCTGTGAAGCCATGGCACAGTTTTCTGATCCCCAGAGCCATCCCCGACGGAAAGTGCGAACCACCAACGCGACATAACGAACCTGCAATGAAGAAAATCAACATATACACGTGTCAATGCGCATATTTGTTATGTGCCATACCGCAATGCAATAGTGAGCTGACGCTCGTTGTCTGGACTCGCCCAAAGACGATCCGCTATGGGGTTCGATAGGTCATTTCGCATTGCAAGTGTTGCAAGGAATGAGTTCTTGTATACTTCCTGTCGTTCGGTGGCCTCTCGTTGTCGTACTTGCAGATATGGCCACATATTGGTCATGGCCTGTGAGTACCGCTCAAAGGCATCTCTGTGTAAGCGTTCACCGCAATAGTTTTTCGCCAGCAGATGAGACGCAGAAAGGTATACTGCAACATGTTGGTTAATTTATACTCGTCGTCGCAGTCGTACTGGTGTCGCGAAAAATGGCTATAATTTACCTACCTGCGTAGCGGAACATGCGTGACACTAGAACACACTGTCTTCGTTCTTTGCCCGATATTCCGCTGAGAATAATCGCCCAGTTTTGCACACGTTTCCGCTGAGATAGCGAAGGAGGAAGGGTGATAGGAACAAGGGGAGGAGCGGGTGGTGCAGAAGGAAAGTCGAGGTGATGAAGCGCCAAGAGACCTTTGGCCTGCTTTGGCGAATGCCGTAGCTGAGAAGCTTCGGATACAGAATCAGTAACAAGAGTCGCGCACTTAGCTACGACAAGCTTCTTGAATCGCTTTCCAGTGGACAGAACAGATTGCGCAGGTATCGATCGCACTGGTGGAATAGGTGCGTTGATCGCAGAACAAAAGCTACCCAGAACAGGAGATCGAATGCTTCCAGAAGAGATGGCAGGAGATACAGTAGGGAGTGAGAGTGCATTTGGCCGACCATCGGGTAACATGGGTACCTTGAATCTGGAGTATGCTCCTGGGGAAGACAGACCTGCACTGTTCGTGGGTTTCGGTCCCGGGATCAAGCTCGTTGTTTTCTGCTTCTTCTTCACAGTTGGAGCAGAAGAAGCATCAGCCCGGCGTTTTTTTGGCATCATCTTTGGCAGTTCGTCGCCGCGGCCGCAAAATGGTAGCTCTTCGTGAGGCACCGAAATTGTTGTGGACGATATCATAACAGTTTCCGCCAGCACCCTTGTGTCGACCGGGGAACTAGAATCACCAGTTGATAGAGGAAAAGGCTGTGAAGTCTGTTGCTCTGCTAGAGGAGCTTGAACTAATCGCTCTGTGGTCAATAATTGCGATACAAGAACGTCTGTGGCAGTGGCGCCAGTTGCAGGAGCGTCCACAGAAGCAGTGAGTCCAGATGATAGCGACATAGCAATGGCGCCTTGTGAAGGAGAGATCGACGCACTGGAAGCCTTCCGTTTGAGCTTCTTGCCACGCGGTTTGGTCGATTTCACAGCATCAGTGGAGGCGTTTGTATGAGACAACCCAGGCTCCCGAGAACCAGCGCATGTAGGTTCCGTCCCGATCCGTGCGCTATATGCTTGTTCGGACCGAGCGGGATTGGATCCACCTTCTCGGGCCGTCTTGGTCGCTTCGACGGAGCTCGAGCTGTATCCACTAGCTGTCAGTTTCTGGATCAAAGCACCTTTGCCTAGCTTAGAATAGCCTGAGATCTTCTTCTCTTTGCATAAAGCTTTCAGTTGAGCTACGGTGAGCTTATTGAGATCGAGGGCTGCAGCCGACGTAGCCTCAGGAACATTCGTAGTCGCCATGACGAAACAGCTCGACGATGCGCGACGTTAAATTTGTGCACGCTATATGCGCGGAAGGAACAATCTCAAAAGGTGGGAAAGAGGCAGTGACTGGTGGGAGACGATGTGTCCGAGGCAAAACGCAGAGAGAGCGAAAGCTGTTAATACTAGAGCGCGTCTCAGAAAGACGCGTCGCGCGGAGCGTCACATGCACGTGATCGACTGTCACACATCCTACTTTAAAGCACTGGACAGTGGACAACGGTTCTCTGCAGATCGACTATCAATCTAAGAGTTGGTATATATATTGACTTATGTTACTCCAGTGGATTTGCAGAAGATAATCGGCCGTATGAAATGGAAATGTTGACGGTATGAATACCAATTCGAACCGGATAATTGTATCATACTAGTAGAAGGAGTGGCAACCTTGCTCAAGTCGAATAGGTAGCCGCATAATGAAGAATGCTGGATGGAAGTAAAGATCAGTAAATTCGCAATATGTACCTACCCGCTGAGATGACTCACTCTAAACAGCACTCCGGTTGGAGTCTAAGTGACCGAACGCCTCTTATACGACCCAAACGGACCAACTGTTCCCGGTGGTCCACCCAATTGTCGACGAGTTCGATGAGGATTCAAGGTCGACGGTGTCGGCGATGATCTGCCCTCCTCATTATTTTCCTCGACAGCAGTTTCAGCATGTCGAGGTGCCACTGGAACCGGTTCCACAGGCGCCGTCTCGGCAACCACCAAGTCATTCAGCAGCATCCGCAGTTCCTCGTTTTCTCTCTCTAGTCGCGCAAGCTCGCTCTCCCGATCCAGTGCCCACTCTGCCGCAACAAGCCTTCGCTGTAGCAGTTCTGGGTTATCATCCTCGTCGAGTTCTTGCAGCAGATCAGGCTCTTGTTCGGTTTGGTCCTCTGACGCTGTAGTTCCCGCATTCGAAGGAGACACAGCGTCAGGCGCCGTTGTAGGTTCCTGGCTCGGCTCAGACACAGGTGGGACGACTTGTGCTGTACCTCGAGACTCTTCAGCTCGTGTAATGTCTTCATACGCTTTGATATCTTCCCCAGCAAGTTTGCGCATAACGGCGCGTAGCAGTCGGCCAACCCGGGCGAGGCTCTGGGAGCGAGCGTTGCCTGCCGTAAGCGCGACGTCTAAAGTCTCGCTCTCGCGTTGGATAATGACGCTCTCATATTCTCGCATTACGGCCAGCTCACGCTGCTGGACTTCGTACTGCAGCACAGGTCAGATATTGCTCTAGAGAGCACTGTGACTTGAGATACTCACAGCATGCGTACGGAACGAGCTCATGACTGTCTCCAAAGTTTGTTCATATTCTCGGATGAGTGCGTTAAGCTGTCTGTTATCATTTTGCAGGGTCTGATTCTCCGCAGACATGGCGGTGTTCATGCGCTCCAGTTCGGCTTCGTACACATCTTAGAGCCGTATCAATAGTATTCTCATGCCATCTGTAATCAGATGACTCTTCTGTACCTTTGGGCTTTTCCAGATTGAAGCTTTGATTGTCACTTGTCAAAGGGAGCCCAGCAATGACATGTGAACCTACGTACCGTCTGAGAACGAACCCAGTTTGAGAGTGAATTGCTTGTGTCTAAGGACCGTTCAGGCACCAAGGAGAAGCCATGAGATGTCGATGACAGACTTTAGCTGCGCCTGCGACATTGTTCAGGGATAGAGAAACGCTGCGATTCTGGGTTAACTGGTCCGAGACTTCCAACAGTAGATTCCATATGCGCGCGATGTCTTGTTCTCCATTCGAGGAGTCCATGATTGCCATAACTCAAAAGCACTAGCAGTCAGAAGCAGAGGTTTGGGGAATCTCAGCTGCAACAAGGAGGCGGAACGAGTCAATTATTTCGCTTGACGCCACGCTATGCCCAACAACCTGCTACTAGCGGTGAGCGCCCATATGCACGTGACTCTGACATAGATCTGATAGGCGCGCAATATTTGATTAAGCGCCCTATCAGTACTCTGGTGACCTCCGGCTACTTCGACTTGATTTCGAATCTCTCGGTGGGCTTGCTCAGCGCTCTTCGCAGAGGTCATGACAACCGACGGCGCCAACCGTCTTAGCAACAATGTCACTTCTGCTGCTGCTTTTGATCGAGGAATTGACGATTCCTTCCAGCTGTACGATTTACGCGTTGAAGTAGTCTGCCCGCCTGGAAAGCGCATCATGTGCGGAGCAAAGGATGGAGACTACTTTATACTCGAGGGGGAAATGCTTAAGCTTCCACCTGGTCAAGGCATATCAATTTATTCACTTTGTGCCATCACATTGAATGTGTTGGCACGATCGAGCTTAATGCTCTCGATGGTCGTCTTGTTTCACATCTGCAGGATCGGTGCTCCCGCTTTTGGCGGCAAAGCAGCGTGTCACTTCGCCAAACGACTGGATATCGACGGATGCCGAAGTGGCCTGTCCTGACCCGAACTGTCCAAGCAGGCTGCGAATCATCAGAACCAGTATACGGACATACAAGCACGGAGATGTCACGATTGTCTCTCTTCGCGACAAAGAGAACGAATCAAAAAATTCGGCTTCATAGGTATTCGGTCTCGCACCTCGATCACGGTGGATGCAAGTGCTCTCTGAAGTTGTTGTCCATTGCTCATGCTCTATGCAAGCATCGATGTTCGTCTAATACCAGGGCGACGGTAGCCGACGGACCTCACTTTCTATATAGGCTCATGCTACGTACAGTGTATATATATATCTTCAATATTCATGTAGCCTATCGACACGAGTCATATAGCTGCCTTCAAGAGGGGGGTTATTGTTTCTGTTTTGTTTTTTTACTCTCAAGATATCATGTCAGACTGTTTATGTCGTTGTTGGATCCGAAAGAGGTGCGATCTATTAGTGCGAATTCATAGTCTCTTGCTCGGTCTCTTGCTCGGATCTCTTGCTCGGAGAGCAAGATTTGGTTCACTGGTGCCTGTCGCCAAGAAGTTGCAGGGGTGGAAAAAAATTATTTAACATAGCATTCTCTTTCCAAATAGGTGCTGTATATGTAAGCAGATTAGTCAATCTTGTCTCGTCAGCAGCCAGCTGTTCGACATCACGCGTTTGCGCGTGTCACAACCGCAAAGCTACTACCGCTGCGCCGTATCTGACACTCTCATTCACCACGATATTCAGCTGCTATACCCTCCAGCATGCTCGCTGCACCAACTTCCGGATGATGAAGTTGACTTGGCCTCGCCGGGCGATGACCCCGGGAAATCAGCTGCAGCTGATGCATAGGCTGGATTGGGGCCACACAACCGCCGGATTCAAGGCTGTACAGGCACTCAAGACGACTGCGAACACGACGGTCAGTCCAGTGAACCAACTCATCATTAACGACGGCATTCCTGTCAGGCGTGGGTTCTATGAGGTAAATAGAAATTCTCGTCAACCTCTCTGATCGGCAGCCCACTAACCATAATTTATAGCTAAAGGAATCAGCAAACAATGATGTCAACAATGAGAGTGACGCGCAAGGCTCGAGCTCAGATGATACGCGGCATAGATTTCTTCTTTTTAATGATACAGAATTAGCACTTTTGAACAGAAGAAGATGCACCGTACGCCTTACGCAACTGGCCGGACGCATATCTGCATGTGGTCACAAGGACTATCTGCAGCAGATCGTCAACTATGATGGGATCCCGATTCCTGCGTACTCCTCTCGAGGAAAAACGATCCCACCGCGGGAGTACGAGGCTCGTCTGTGCGGCGCATTGGTCTCCATCAAGGCCGCCATCACGCATCAAGTTTTAGGAAGGAACAACTTGAAGACCGGCAATTTCTTCACGTACATAGGTGAAATGTGAGTTATTTGGAATGCTCACCCACAGCTGACCTCACCATCCAAAGTACAAGTTCAAGGTGTGAACTCAGGCAGGAAAAGGCACGTTGCGCTTCACATCTAACTGGCTTGTACGTAAATTTTCGACAGCTGAACCTAATTCTTATCTCACTCACACCCGCTCACAGACGTCTAAATGCCATCGTCATTCGTTGTATGAGCCCTTACTCATTTGATACAGAGCGATGCTTCTCTCAGGCTGGTGGTGGTGCATATGTAAACAAACATTGATATGTATATACTGTAGAGACGAATTAAATGTGATTCGCGGCTCAGCTTGCGCGTTGCTCCGAGCAAGGGGTCCGCCGCGCACGCGCGGCACTTCTCGAGTAGCTATAGCATTGCATTCAAGGTCATTAGAGACGCGCGCTTATGTGCCAACAGTCGATGGTTATGGCCGAAGACGCTGAGGTCAGTCGAGCCTTAATCCATACCCAAAGACTTGTATCTCGTTCTTTTTCCCCTTCGGAGCAACTTAGTTCGAGCATTTTGAGTTCCTATGTACGTAGACTGATTCAATGTCTCAGTGCATACAACCAGCCTCAACCGTGAACCACAGGCAGGTCTTGTCCCAGGACATGAGCAGCGCCGATACCGGCGCTGCGATCACGACCGCGGGTTATACAGCTCAACGAATGCCAATTGAGGCAGAGAGCATCAATGATGCCGAACGCATCATCGACAAGTCGCATCTCAAGCCAACCGCGCCTATCGCGATTCTTCCTCTAGAGATCATTGTTGAGATATTCACCCATTGCGCCAGGCTTTACTGCGGTTCGTTATCAGGGCCATACAAATGGATCGTGATCACGCATGTCTGCGCCCAATGGCGCGCTATTGCGTTGGCATGCCCTAAACTCTGGTGTAACATTTTTGTGGCAAGGAGGCAGGATTGGCTCGTCGAGCTGCTCCGGCGGTCGAAGCAGATGCCGTTGACCGTAACCGCTGACTTTGCATCCCGGGCCTGGAAAGAAGTTGGACGGAAGCAAATCACATTTGAGATGGTGGCCAAAGAGATGGCACGCATCAAGAGCCTGAACATACATGCTTCACGACCGATCGCACGTAGCCTGCTGAAGACGCTGAATGGGCCGATGCCTCTTCTCCAGACACTGGTAATCTGCGGTCCAGAGTGGCTCCTCGACCGATCGCGCGTTCAAATACCCACAGGCACGTCACTGCCAATTTTACTTCATTCTGGCCACAGCACTGGCTTGCAACGGCTCGACATCCGGTTCTACCCTATCCGTTGGAAATCCCTCGTCTCTCTGTCGTTGAAGCACCTAACGGTCAGGAGCATCGGAGAGGCCGCCCAAACAAGCCTCAGCGATGTTCTCAAAGCAGCTGAGAGTATGCCTTTGCTCGAGACGTTGGACCTTGAGGACGTCATAGTTCCAGATTCAGCGACATTCACTGCTCCGAACAGAACCGCAGTTCTGCCGCTCTTGCGGAGCCTCCGCCTAGTCGCAGATTTCCGCGACTGTACTTACATCCTCTACAAGCTCTCGTTTCCTAACCTGAATGCTCTCACTCTTTGCTCCTTGTTCCCCTCTTTAGAGGCTCTGCGCGATCTTGCGACATGCCTAATCGCTCGCCTACCATTCACGGCTGAATTGTCTGAATTCAGCATACACGGCAGTGGTTTCGATGCGGCCTCACCTGGCAGATCCCTTGATTCTTCTCATGGCATGGGCGGAGTCACCCAAAACATTGAGGTCAAGAGAATTCAGATCACATCCAGAACGGAAATGTTCACCGCGCGAAGTTTCACAGATCTCTGCGAGGTCTTCCCGGTGAAACAAGTGACCACTCTAAATGTGGACGATGCCGTGTATAACGGATCGAACGATTGGCTCCGTGTCCTCCCTCTCATGAAGAAAGTCAAACATATGCGAGTATCGGGCACCTTAGGAGCGGAAACTATGCTTCACATGCTCATGCCTCGCCCTCGTACGAATCCGACAGTACGAAAGCCAAAATGCTGCTTCCGCAGACTGCGTACCTTGTCGCTTGGTGGCGTCCTGCTCAGAGAGTCTATCTATAAGGAGGGAATCTCGGATGACCTTGTGGAGCTCCTGCGAGACTGCTTAATGCAGCGGTATGAAAGTGGTGCGAAGATCAGTGATGTGCACTTGATACGGTGTATCAATGTTAGGCAAGCCGAAGTCGATCTCCTCCGCGAGATTGCAGTGTCTGTTTTCTGGGATGGCATAGTGATCGTGCATGGTGGTGAGGAGGATGACTCGGAAGATGACAGTGATCTTTGACGATGACGGCGGACACGGTTGTCTGAACGGTCAGTCATGCTCTCCTTTATCCATAGGCTCTTCAGAGAATCTATTCGCAGTTGGTGAGTCTCGATGATGCCATGCAATTGTACTTTTAGTAAAGTATCGCTCCGTGGGACGGAACTCGTGAAATTATGTATAGTTAGGCGATGCATGTTTTAGTGGCTGTTGTGTATGTATACCATACAACTCTGTGACCATCCTCCACTAGTACCAGGTAAAGCGTGACGACGTTGTCAACTGCCACACTGGCAACGGGTATGTGTCATTATACGTCTACATTGTTCAGAAACTGCACACATGTATCAATCCCGTTGGCAGAGACAGGCCGCCAAGAGAAAGTTGTGTGTACGGTCTGTATGAAAAGGGCTAATCTGATAATTCTGACATCTTCCTCATCGCTTAGTCAAGTAATAGTCGTCCCTTGTCACGTAACAAATCACCGACTGTTAAATTTAAAACAGTCTTGTTTTTCCTGAGCTTCACTTTTGCGCTGAGAGAGGAGGCCGGGCCCTTCCGTTGTCTCCTCGGTTCCTCTTCCCGACCCTGATGTCGAGTCGCTGCGGCATGTGCCCTCCGTGCTAGTACCTCATCAAACTTGTCCCTCTGGCCTTTCTCGAGGCTGTCATAGCGTCGTTGCTGAAGATTGAAATAGAGCTCGAGAACCTCTTCCTCGTTCACGTCTTGACCAGATCCGGAGCGACCATCGCCAGGATCAAGAGAGGTGAGTGACTTCTCCCGTGATGTCGCCAGGAACTGCCCACGCCAACCGCGCGGGGCAGCTCGATATCTCGCTTCTCGTGATGAACTTGATGTAGATGGTTCCGTAACTGCGTATAGGTCGTCGTCGTCTTGCGGATCCACGTGCATGCCCGCAAGATCTCGTTGTATATCGGATAGCTCCTCTGACATGCGACCTCGCGGAGTAGAGGGCCGATAGTCACTGGAGAATCCCTGTCTCGATACTTTGCTGTCAACCAAGTAATCGGCAGGAGGGGGGCCGGCGAGTTTTCCCGCTGCGCGCAGGTTGGCGATGATGGCGCGGAAGTCAGGCATGGTTTCTTTGCCTTTGCCTTTATCCACATATCGCATGGGAATCTCGGGCTGAGGAGTGGGTGTATGCGCTTGGTTGGGAGTGGAGGAGCTGGCATTCGTTGATGAAGGAGACGTTGAGCGGACAGATGTCCAGAGAGAGCGTGATTGTGCGTGGCTCGACGAGCGCGAGTCGGTGTCAGACTGAGAAATTGTGGATAACGTGTGCGAAGATACAGCTGACGGAGACGAGAGCAGCCGGGTGGCAATGTTCTCCAAAAACGATCTCGAGCTTTGAAGATGCTGGTTGCATGGCATCAGTGAGGCTTAACCTTCATCGTTACAGCCCCTCACCTGGTTCATTCTCTGATTTCTGGTATCCAAGTCGGACAGCACAGGATGGGACCCTCCCTCATATCTTTCGCGTTCAATCGGCGGTGCCGCTTGTTCCGGGTATCCTGTCATGGCAATGGTGTCTGGCTGGAGTTGATTTGAGGTTACTTCCGACACAGTTTCCATTACATTAGAGTTCGATGCGTCACGGAGTGGTTGAACAGTGGAACTGGACTCCCTTCCTGTATTGCTTATGGCGAGGCTGGCATCGTTGGCAACGGACACCATCTGCGCTTTCTTAGAGCAGCGACGGCATACCCAGGAGCTCAGCCCCTCTGCAGGGCGACCGTCTACATCAGCCTCGAACCGCGCGATCAATTCCGCCTCAGAAAGTGGAGGAATATGACATCCTGCGGGATGTCCAGTACGTCAGAGCTACTTTTAATACTAGGACAGGACTGACGACTGCGTACGATGATGCCAGAACCGCTGGCAGCTGCGGCACTGTATCAGAAACTCCTGCGGGGAATGGGTTGATTTGTTACACCTATTGCACGGTGAACGCGTAGAAGTGCTTGCACTCATTGGTTTCGCGGTCGTATGCCTGATTAATATTAGGACACCGTATCAAGGCTAATTTTATTATCAGAGCTACAACTCAGACTTACACGCGATACGCACGATGGCCACACCGAATGCACGGCTGGAGTTGGTGAGATCTCCATGTGTGATGGCCTTGATCGAGCCTAGGATACGGGCCCTGCCGAGCTGATGCCGGACGGGCGTCTATTGTCTCTCGCAGAGTTTCCTCCATTGCAAAACGCGCAGACTGCATATAGGGCTCTTGGAATGCTCCCGCACGTCTGTTTGCATATTTGGCTGGCTCGAAGGTGCAATTCATGCATTATTTCTGACCTGGATTATTGCTGATGGGTGTTGATGACGTAATGCATGCCGAAATAGCAGGTGATAGTGATCGTTGGCGTGTGCCATGTAGCTGAAGAGCGCCAACATTTCCCCTCCATTTCATCGTCTCTCCACCTCTTTGTTCCATGGCGGGAACTGCCCGTCCGCCACCAACGGCGAAGAACTTTGTCGACGTCGTCCACGACGTGCTCGAGCAGCAGCGTGCGGCACTGCACCGAGAGTCTCCCCAGGGCGAGCCTCCTCTGTCTCCGCCCATCCTGAAGTCGAATGAAGTCACACATCCAACCGCTCACTTCGCCGACGATGTGCCGCAGACGGAATCGCCTCCTTCAGAGCTAGACGAGCCACCATCACCGCTTAATGCACGCCCCAGTCACCAGCACCATGCTCCTCGTAGATCCTCCATATCTGGTTTCCGCCTGCCACCACCTGATACGCCGTCTGGACGCACGGGGCCACCCAGGTCTATATCACGCAGCTACTCCATCTCTGCCTCCAGCGTACAAGAGCCGTGGCACCATCAAAAACACGGCTCAGACCCAAATGCACGCATCGACGAGTCACAAGACGAGGGTCCTGACCATAATCCAGATTTCCACCCGAATACACCGTTCCGAGGCATCCTCGAGTATGAAAACCCGCAGCAGCGCGAGCGCGAGAGACAGATGGCTGCGAAGATGGCCAAGAGACGGGAAAGCTTAGCACACGAAGGCTGGAGTGCCGTCGTTAGGCGACAAGACGAAGCGTCGCAACCAAGCATAGCAGGGGAGAATCGCGATGCTCAAACTGATGTTGGTGGTCAAAGCCCTCAGATGAGTGAAATACAGAGGCAGCCTCGGTATTCCCGATCTATGCCCCATATTCAGCAGACGGAGAGCACGTCCAAGCCGAACGTCGCACCGAAGTGGAACAGACTCCGTTCCCTTCTTCCTCATATTAAGCACGCGCAACCGCAGCCATCCGCAGTCGCACCGCAGTCGGTGAACATCACCGATGAACTCATCGCTGGTGGGTTGTCGGCGCTCGTGTTACGTCTTTGGTTTGAACGCGATGAGCGCGATCACCGTAGGGTTCCCATCCTCTTCCACCGTCTACGAGTCCGTGTTAGTGACAGTTTGCATCCCCTACATGGACACAAGGCCGTCTTTCGCATTGAATGTGAATATGCTAACGGTGCTGTGCGCTGGGTCGTCTATCGTCAGCTTCGCGAATTTCTATCGTTGCACACGCATTACGCCCTGTCTAACGTCTTCCGGAACGTCGAGACGCTTCCAGAGTTTCCAAAGACAAGTATGTTTTATTCTTGTAAGCTGTGCATGCACACTAGAATCACGGTATCATCTAGGTCTGCCGTACTTCAAGTTTCTGAAAGAATTGGGTAGAGATGTCGGCAGAGCTGATTTTGCGCGTCTACAGCGTGAAGCGCTCGAGAACTATCTCATTGGCTTAATTCGCGCAGTTGTAAGTATTCTCACTCCTGCTCAACCTTAGCACCACAGTTGAAAGCGATCGTAGATGTGGCATCCAGATGCCAATCGTTTGGCAGGGTTTCTGGAAATCAGCGCTCTCATGATATCTCTTGCTCATTCGGGAGGTGCACAGTACAAGGCTGGACTGCTGAGGCTCGACGCAGTCGGCACCAAGGGTAGCTTCGGCAGGAAGGCAACGTCGTGGCGCGAGCGAAAATCGCAGAAGTGGTGCTCTGTTAGAGAGAGTTACCTAGTCGTTCATGAGGAGATGGGAGAGGTACTCATGAGGTTGAATCGTTTAATTATGCAGTCATGCTGATATTGCTCGTAGCTGACTGTTTGGGATGTCTTCTTGGTTGATTCTGACTTCAAGATTGAGCGTCCGATACGTTACTATCGCCAAGGCTTGAACATGCTGTTAGAGGGCCACGACGAGCACGACGGAGAGGCCACGCCGCATGCGCACGACAACGGCATGACTGTGTCTCAATGTCACCTCGCCGGGTCCATCAAGAGCCATCTCTCGAAAGCGTTGCACAGAAGGCGGCAGTCTGACAGCAGAGGATCCCAGTCCGCGAACGGCCATGGGAACAGCGCGGACATCCATCGCGTGAGCTCGGCCCTTTCTGAAGCTTCGTCAGCTCCCTCAACGTCGTCGACGACTTCGCGGCCGCTGACGCCTATGCTTGACCCGTCGACAAACACCAATCCCTTGCTGGTTGGCCATGACGAGCCGCATCATGATGACGCGGAACAGAGCGAGAAGAAAAGGTCAAAAAAGGTTTCAAAACATACGTTCTACATTGAGAACACACAGATGCGATTGAAACTCTTTGCCAAAAACGAAGTAAGCATGGGTCTCTGCTGATCGCAAAAAGGGCGACGCGCTGATGTAATACCCTCGACCAGCGCCAAATGCTGCAATGGCTCGCAGCCCTTGAGAGAGTTGCTCGGGACTGTCACTATACGGGCAAGAACCGATTCGACAGCTTTGCTCCGATTCGGTTGAATGTCGCTGCGCAGTGGCTTGTAGATGGGGTGAGGCTGACTTCTGTTTGTTACCTGTCCCATCATGACTAACAATGGATTCTCAGCGGGACTATTTCTGGAACCTTTCCCGTGCGATCTTGCTAGCTACGGAATCTATCTACATTCACGGCTGGTGGCTATCACCCGGTAAGTGCTGTGTTAACCACAGGTTTGCACCGCACCGCATCTAACCTTACCAGAATTGCAAATGCGACGACCGAATATGCTTAAGTACCGTCTTGATAATCTCCTTGAGCGCAAGGCAAAGGAGGGTGTAAAAATCTACATTATTTTATAGTAAGATGCTTTACTCTATTACTGTTGACCTGTTGCTGACGAAGAACAGTCTTGAAGTGTCTAGTCGAACTACACCCACAGATAGCAAGTATGTAGGCCAGCTGCGACGGTTCAATGACTAGTCTCATGATCTGCTAGCTATGCGAAGCAGAGGCTTACTGCGCTGCATCCTAATATTATGGTGCAACGGTCGCCATCACACTTCCAAACGGGTACCTTCTACTGGGCGCATGTGAGCAATACGATATTTGCATTGTCATTGTGGGCGTACTCATCCCGGGCTATAGCACGAGAAGGTCTGCGTTATCGACCAGACCATCGCTTTTATGGGTGGCTTGGATTTATGCTTCGGACGGTACGAGCACATCTACTAACACATCTACTAATTGTACAATGTGGTCCTCTGAACTGCTTCCAGATGGGATACCCCTCAGCATGTTCTCGTTGACGATCCTGGGCCTGACTCTTCAGAGCATATCTGGACCGGTTAGTTCTGCCGAAGTGTTTGAACTATAGACTGACAACATAGGTAGGCAAGGACTACAGCAATCCCCGTATAGGAGATTTCCATTCTCTGCATAAACCTGATGAAGACATGTATGACCGCTCAAGGATACCCAGAATGCCTTGGTATGAATACGCCCATTGAGAGAGTTACTTCACTCACACTTTATTAGGCATGATGTGGCGATGCAGGTTGTCGGCCAACCGGCCCGTGACCTTGCGCGGCATTTTGTACAAAGGTGTGCTTGCTAGCCGTCATGAGCGATATCAGCTCAGACATATGCTGTTCAGATGGAATTACTTACTGAGAATCAAGGTCAGTCTGGCGCACCAACATGCGTTCGTATGCCAATATACATTTGGATGTAGAATCATACTCAGGTTATGCCGTTCTTATTACCACCTCCCGAGTTCAAGCCAGGGGAGCTATCACAAATGGGTCTGACGGGCACCTGCGAGTTGCAAATTACCCGCTCAGCTGGACCGTGGTCTCTGGGTACACCGGATCGAATTGAGTGCTCCATTCAGAATGCTTACCTCAAAGGTGAAAGCGGTACGATTGTGATGTATGCATCGGCTAACACGCAGAGAAGCCATACAAATGTCGGAACACTTCGTGTACATCGAGAACCAATTCTTCATCACATCGTGAGTGCACCGAGTACCGGCAACTATACAGAGTCTGATAAATACTAGAACCGTGGTGAATGAGGTGAAGATTGAGAACAAGATCGGGGATGCATTAGTAGACCGCATAATCCTTGCCCACCGCGAGAAGACTCCATGGAAATGTTGTGTTGTCATTCCATCAATCCCTGGATTCACTTACCCGGTCGATCATAGTGATGCGAGCGCTGTGAGTAGGAATGCATATCATGCTCTCTTTTGTTATCTGATAATGTGCTGCAGATCCGCATTATCATGGAGTGCCAGAATCGCACGATATGCCGTGGTCCAAACTCGATTTTTGGTCGGCTCAGGAAGGAAGGAATCGACGTGTGTTTGTCTTCATGTACCTTTTGGACCAAAGCTGAGAGTAGCTCTGCAGCCGGATGATTACATCGCGTTCTTCTCGTTGCGTAACTGGGGCAAGCTGCGCGGGAATGTCTTGACCACTGAGCAGGTGCGCAAGGATGCTACTATCTTGGCATGTACGGATTGAACAGTTTTATGCAGGTCTACATCCACGGCAAAGTCTGTATCGTCGACGATCGCCTGGCTATCATAGGTAGCGCGAACATCAACGAGCGGTCTCAACGAGGCGATCGTGACTCCGAAATAGCAGCCGTCATTCGCGATACTGACATGATCGACTGGTAGGTCTGTCTATCATGTTACAGGGCTCCCTCTCATCAGTAGTCAAGTACCATGGCTGGTGCGCCATTCAAGGTTGGCCGTTTCGCGCATACCCTACGCGTCCGCCTCATGAGGGAGCACGTCGGTGTTGACGTTGATGCCATGTATGAAGACGATTTGATGGCATCGGAGCCGGTGAAGCCGATGGAATCGCAGACTCAATGGGATCCGGGGAATGAAGAGGAGCACGGTAATGAGAACGGCGTAACCTATGTGATTAAGGGTCAGAGACGGACTGCTGTGAGCAACTTCTTCCACGATTTTCTTAATGAGACGGAACAAGGTGAGTGCCCATTTCTACGGCCAGTATTGTCAGCATATACTGAGAAAGAGGCGATCAGCAATTCAAGGGACGAGTGACGTTGGGGGCAAGACCATTACTAATTTTTTCCGCAAAACTGGGATCACGAGCAAAGAAGTTGACATGACTGCAGGAGAGAAGAGGCCCACAGAGGAGCGTCAGATGTACATGCGCGAGGGCGAGAAGCAGCCCGGTTTCTCAAGCTCTGTGATTCCGACACTGGAGGAGAAATACATTGCAAAGCATCCTTCGCGTTTAGAACAAGCTATCGGTGCCCCAGTTGAACAAGAACACAACGAAAATGGATCTGTTGCGCAAGTGCTTAAGGCTCGCACGAAAGACGACGAGCTGTCTGGTGCCCCCGCTAATGCTGTTCCGGATGTAAGCCGCGACGAGGAACCTCCACGGGCCAAGAGTGTGAAAATCGACACTGACGAGGAAGAAGACCAGGTTCAAGGGGCCCGTGCGACATTACGGAGACAGATGGCCCCCAAACCTGGCTGGAAACAATGGGTATTACCTACGCCGACTCCTGAAGTGGATCCCCACGGGTTCGAGGACCCTGTGTGCGACGAGTTTTGGAAGAATGTGTGGGTAGCATGTGCAGTCCATAATGTAGGCCACGATCTTCCATATCATCCATTGAATCAGCACTGAAACGTCTGTCAGACTGAGATCTACAGAAAGGTCTTCCATGCCATCCCCGACGACGTTGTCAACACTTGGAAACAGTACAAGGAATTTGTTCTTCATCACGAACGGCTGAACCAACCGGTAAGCTTATTTCTTTGCTGTGGCTGTGGCTCATGCTGACGTTCCGCTAGATCAAAGATTCCTCCTCTCATGAGCCCCTAGCTCGAGTACCATCCGAAACTGCCGACCAGGACGCTCCTGGTCAACCGCCTACTGCCGGTAACACCGTGCATCCAGCAGACTATGCGTACGACTCCGTCGTTGGGGAGAGAGGAACCGAGCCGACGGACTCAGGGTATTCGACGACCCCAGACCCATATACTCCGCCCCAGACGGGTACGGAGAAGGACACGACTCGCGGACGCAGAGGAACGCGCGGCGTTGAGCCGTTTGATGAGTCCGATCGCCAGGAGATGGAACGTCTGCTCGAGGAAGTACGCGGCCACCTAGGTGTGCAAGGTTACCTTACATGTGGCTTGCGTATCTCACAGTTGCTTTCGATTCAGTTCTCTATCCTACTCGATTCTTGGAGGGAGAGGATGCAGCCAACAATTTCTTGTTCAATGCTGATCGGTAAGTCGTCCTAAGTCTTCCTGACACCGAGATACGTTGTTTGATGAACTTTTGCAGACTAATGCCTCTACCAATATACGACTGATCCTTCTTTCTCCTTCTCCTTGTCTCATTCTCACTCCCACGCACGGACTATGGACATGGACTGCATAGTTATCGCATAGCGTTCCTCACATTCGTTTTCTATTATGCTTAGGGCGTCATGTACTATATCATCGACATTCATAGCACCAATAGTAATGCTTTCTCGCTCTGCAGCCATGATCTACTAAGACTACTTCGCTGTTTTGCATTGAGTCGTCTGTAAACACTTCACTGTCACGGTTTCTCAGAAAATTTGACTGTAACAGCCGGGCGCTTCGGACACTCAAGTTGGACGATCAACACGCTAAATGCGCACTGTTTCTGGGCGACCTGCTCTTTACCGCAACACCCTCATCCGCATTAGAAATTCTCTATTGGGCGAAGCTGTGAACTTTTATGCCCACGGTATCGGCAGATATCACTCGTATGGACGCTGCTAGTGGGAAAACAAACCTCTCGACCGATGTCAATGGTCGACCCGTCCCTCAGCACCTGAACAGTGCCGGGTGCCGTATCGGTTATTCGGAGGGAAAAGGGAGGGGTGTATTTGGTCAGTCTATTCTTTCTGTATCACTGCAGACATCGATTTTCTTGAACTCGGGCCGATCGCAGCATCCCGCCCAATTGACGCGTATACGGTGGTTGAGATCAGCCCGGTGCTGCTGTTCTCCTCCGAAGAGTATGAAGCACATGGGAAGTATACCGTGCTCGATCAATATACTTTCAGGTGGCGAGATGGGCGGATGGCATTGGCGTTGGGACTTGGTGCGTCTCTTTTTACGCTTCACCCTTCTGAGGCCATGACATCTCGAAATAACGCATTTATCAATCGTGCTAAACCTATGCATCCAATCAGGATCACTCTTTAACCACTCCCAAAGTCCCAATGTTTCCTACATAATCGACACCAAGACAGAGTCCATTCGGTACACGACGATGCGGCGCATTGAGACAGGCGAAGAACTGTGCATATTCTACGGTCACAAGCTCTGGTTTGACGTGATGAATGATGGGGCTGGTTCTGGTGACGTTGAAGAGGAGGAGGTAGATGATGGGTGGGGAGGGCTGGCAGGGCTGAATGCCAACGAAAGAAGAAGTGAGATTGAGGACGGTAGCTGGGCGAAGAGTGATGCGCAGAGTGTAGATGGGAGGGAGGAGACCTTCGAGTCACTCTTAGAGAGACAAATACGCGAATTTCAAGGAGGAGGTCCGGACGAGGTCGTTCCTGAGGAGCAACTGCCGTTCACGCGTGTAAAACTGACGGACGATGAGGAGGAAGAGGAGCTCAGCGCCGTTCATACCGGTAGGTCGACGCTCGATGCACGCCCCGCAATTTACGTACGCTTCTGACATTGCGCTTTTCAGAGCGCGCTTGGGTGGTGGATATCCCTGACGCTCGGCATATAACCACGATGTTAAAGTACGTCCTATTGTCATACAACCCACATTTTCACGCTCAGTCCCTGCTGCAGATGGCTGAAAGCTTCCGGCCTTGACACACCCTCTCTCTCGCACCTAAAGCGGATCCGCAAAGTCAATGCCATCTCTACCCTGATGCTGACCTATACATCTCTCTCCCCTTCTTGCCCCGCGCTTCCGGCCGATCTCCCGCTTTCTGCACCCTACATTCTTCCGGTGCCTAGCTTCGCCGCCATCACGTCTACCTCCCTCTCGCTTAAAAACACCTTCTGGCCGACTATGTTCGCGCCTCGGCGTAAGCTCGCTCCGGAGCTGTGGACGCGTGGGCGGGCACGATGGGCATGTGAGAGGATGCTCAAGGTCGTAAAGGAGGCAGAGGAGGCAGGAAGGCGGGACGAGCTTCCTGTAGCGGCGTATGTACCGGCACCGTATGACGAGGAGACGAGGGAGGCAAGTCGGATGAGGAGGGAATTTGTGGAGTACGATAGGAGGAGGTCCGCATGCCATCCATTAAGGCATGCCGTGATGAATGTCGTACGTGCGGTGGCGGACTATCGCGCGTCGTCGTCGTCTGACGCCCCTTCACCGAGTCCCGATACAGAGCCGGTTCCAAGCCCATCTATGGACTTGCTTTCCGCAGACTCTTCATCTACAATGCTTCCCTCGCCTCAATCGCGCAACGGTTCACACTATCTGCTCACGTCGCTCACTCTCTTCGCATCGCACGAGCCATGTGTTATGTGCAGCATGGCGCTGCTGCACTCTCGCGTGCGCGAGGTGTTCTATGCGCGGCGAATGCCGTTGACCGGCGGATGCGGTGGTTTAGCATGTGTACCCGCGCTGGAGGGTGTAAACCATCGGTTCGGCGTGAATGTGTGGAAGGGTATCGTAATGGAAGAGGAACAGGTGGGGGAGGGGTTGGACGCGTAATCCCCTCACCGCCGCTGAAGGTGAGATCCCGACACAGAAAACGAACAGGACACAAGTTAATTAGTAGATTATAGATTATAATGCATATTTTAGTAGACATGAATGGCGATGGCGGTGAGGATGAGTTCGGTGATGATGAGGGGGATGAGCTCGGACTAGGGTCTGGCAAGAAGATGTTTGAAGTTGAGCTGGATCGCGCAAAGAAGGTACGGATCATTCGATCCTATGTCCTAACAACTCAACGTGGGGTATAGATCCTTCTTCTACTTCGCTTCTCAACTCTCCTACACAAGCGCGTCCAGCTTGATATCCTCTCCAACAGTGCCATAACCACATCTTCTAATTATCTTGCATCCCTTGATGCCCTCCCCGCTCGCTCGCATGCCCTCTTTGTGGCTTTTGACGACGTTATCGCATCATTGTATGCACGACAAACCCGCCTTGTATCGCTTCTGCAATCTCGCCCCTAGCTGAATCCGTCCGAGACTTGCATGCAACACTGCTCGGCGGAGAGCTTCTTCCACCACGACGTACGAATGACCAAGATGCGGATGCGCTAACACGGGACATAGCGTCTATGACAGTCGGTGCGGGAGGTGAGTCGAGATTGGCGAGGCAGGATAGGGATATGCGCGAGTAGTTCGATACACATCTCAAACAGATCGCAAATGCTGTATAGGCAATGCACTAGCCCTTGAGGTCACGATTGCAAAATGATGATGCACGCCCTTCTACGTCTACCGCACATGTGGATGGGTCAATGCACTGAGACTGCTGGAGCTTTTCACTCACAAATAACGCCTGAATCCGATCCAACATAAAGTAGGAGACAACTTATAGATTGACCAGAGTCCGCCTCAACGCATACGCACATTATCCGCTTTCTCCTTAAAGTATGCACCAAGTACGTTTGGATAGACCGAGATGGATTTACGACTGCGCAGCTTTTCCTCGAAACACAAGATCTTGTCGTGCGCGGATTGTAAATCGAAGGCATGTTTCTGCGCGTACGGCTGTCAGCAAGACACAGTTAGAAGATTATGAAGAAAAATCACTGACAGCCTCTTCAGCTCGTTTGGAACGAGCTTCCTCGCGCATCTTATTCAGCTCTCTTCTCCGCGCTTCTTCCTTTTCCTTGCGGTTCAAGCCTGAATTAGGCGTGGACCCCCCCGGCTATTGCAAAGGCATCAGCACGCACTCAGACTCATCTCCGTTAACTATCACTGATGGCACGCACCTTTGTGAATAGCTGTGCATAAACACTGGCATCTCGGAGGTCGAAGTCGGCATTGCCGAGGGTAGCGGCTAGCTTGCTCGCAGCACCACCGGCCAGCCCAAGAGGATTAGGATTCGCGGGCTTGGTGGTGACATCGGACTCCTTGCTTTCCACCGACGGTGGAAGCTTTGAATATGCTGGCGTCGTAGGGACAGCACTGGGCTTGTTCTTCTTGATCGTAGGCAGCTTCCGCTTCTTAAACATCGGCAGCGTTGCTTCCTCCACCTTCGGAGGAGACTTATCGCGCTTTTCCACCGCCGGCGCAGATGAAGACGGTGTTATGACAGGGGACGTAACCTCTACGGCCTCTTCCTTGGGTAGGGATCGTTTGGCGCCAATAGGAGGGCCCGAAGACTTTTCTCTGGATGTGCCACGAAGAGCCGAGGGAGGGAGCTTGCGCTCATCCCGGATATGGACGTCTTTGCCTTCTTCCTTGCGCTTCGCCCGTGATCCCTTGGCGGCTTGACCAACTTTGCTGCCCTTACTTTTCGTCGTAACAGCGGCCTTCTTCAGCGAGGGCGGCGCAGGCTCCGGAGTGAAATCATCATCATCGGGGTCCACCGCGAGCAGACCCAGCGGATCATCCTGCTCCTCATCTTCGTCGTCCGTCCATACCACCGTGCGCTTCACCTTTCTACTCGACTTGCTGGAGGACGAAGTGGCCGGTCGCACTGCCTTGACTTTGGCAGGCGGCTGTGGTGTTCGTTTCGGCGGCTTCACTGGAGGAGGGGGCGAGGAAGAGGGAGAAGTGGAAGGGGATATGACTGCATGAGGAGAAGGCGGCCCCTTCTCGCAGTCGTCGATGTCGACGTCGACGTCTTCGTCGCCCTCCACATCGATCTCTGACTCTCCCTCGTCCGAATTGACCGTAGCTTCTGCGCTTGCCTGGCTATTCTCCACCGTCTTTGGCCTCTTCCACCTCGGTGGCACAGAGTAGTCTTCAATGTCATCTTCCGAACGTCGTTCGTCGTCCGACTCTACACGACGTTTAGAAGGCTTGGACGACCCCGAGCGGTCGACGACCTATTTACGCAGAGTCAACACCGAGGGGCACACGACAAAGCTGAACAATTACCTGAGACGAATCCACCGAGCTTGGTTTGGGTATCTTGATGCGAAATGACATTGTTGGCATAGGATCTGCGCAACAGCACTGTTGCAGTGCGGTGGCGCGCGACGCGTCGAGGATCGTAATCGCTTACATAAAAGTGGCTTGACGTGCTTACTAAGTGTCCTCGCCGCCTGTGCCTAACAAGACGCAGATACCAACTGTGAGCGAATGATATCTCGAACGTCGATCAGCGGCTGATAGTGTTCTAACAGAATCTGTCGACCTATCAAAGAAAGTCATCCCCATTCCACGGCCGGTACACGACAAACACAGAATGCCATGAAGAGTGAGTGTGTTGAGATTGCTCATCTGCATTTACTGATGGCTGGCTGAAGACATCACGGATGCCAAAAAGTGGCAGTGGTGGGGTAGGGAAAAGTGGGAGATTGCGGACCCAGGTTGGCAAATTTTTACATCCATTGGAGGAGTCAGTCCAACGATGTGGACGACAAGGATGCACCTTATGTCCTGTCTCTCTCTATGGATGAATCTGTGCTACCCGGATCCATGACAGATGACTTTCTCGTTTTGCCTTCTTATCAGCGCCTGTTCGCGCGGGCGTGGAAACTCTACTTGGAAGATCCTGATCGAGGGATACTTGTTACTGGGCAACCAGGAATTGGTATACCACAACGGTGATCACTATCGACGCACTAGCGACTAATATACTGCGTCTTGCCAGGTAAAAGTACCTGGTTGCGGTACGCCCTTATTCGGCTGCTGAAAAAGCAGCAAGTCGTCCTGTTCGCTCAAGACGAACGGTACCACCTGTTTTATCATGATTGTGTCTATACAATCTCAAGCGGCAAGTTGAGCAATGACTATCTGCCACGGCCTCCGGAGAACGGGTACTTCTGGGGCCTTATTGATTCCGACAAACGCGCTGTCCAACCCCATTCTGCACTGCTTGATTTGCCCATCTTCCCCGTTCAAGCCGCATCTCCGAACCGCATCCGGTACCGTCAATGGCTCAAGCAGCGGGAGGGATTTACGTGGGGGTTACCTCTGTGGACGCGAGAGGAGCTTGTGACAGGGGACACTAATTTCATATCTTCTGGTCAAGGCAGCGTTTATTTTTACTGTTTAATGCAGGCTCGAGCTTCAGAAAAGGTACAAAAGGCTGCGTGCAAAAGCGAAGAAGGCTCTCGAACGGAGCGAGGATCGTTCGCACCAAGCCGATGACGCTGTGGCTAACGTGCTGCAGATCAGTAGGAAGGAGGCGCCCATGAAGGCAAAGATCTTGGCTGCGCTCAACTATGCCATCGAGCTGTATGGCTACTCTGCACGTGACATCTATGCGGCGGTCTTTACCCCGAACGAGATGGCAGCGTCTTTTCACCAGGCATTGAATGATGCCTCCTTTAAGGATATTTTCAATATCCTTCCCCACACAAACACTACCAACCCAGACACATTGTCCCATTGGCTAGTGACTGTCGTCGTTTCTCCGAAGGATAGCATCAACTACAGTGACGACTTCGGCATCGACTCCAAGTCGAATCACATCATGGAGAAGCTCAAGGTCCACTTTGAGAAGGTTCAGCACGAAGAGGCACGTCAAATGATGATGAAGTGCCGCACGTTCGAGAGCGGGTCATTTCGCGGATTCATTTTCGAGAAAATAGCCCATAACTACCTGTCAGGTGCTGAGGACGTTCCCAATGCCCTCCCTCCCCTTGTCCCGATGCGCAAGTCAAAACGCAAGTCAAAACGCAAAACAGCCGCTGATGCGCCAGCTGCCGAATCGAAAACCGAAGCTGCGCTTGTATCGTTTTCGATGGCCGCATCGCCCCAGGAGTCTGATTTCCTTGACATCTTTCTTCCTGTTCGAGCTAAGGACATCAGGGTGGTTGACTTCCAGCATGACACGTTCAGCGAAGGAATCTGTCAATACTTCTACGCTGCGAGATCCCCCAACAGCCCGCTCTTTGACTCGTTCTTCGTCGAGCTCCAGGAGGACGTCGAAGTAGTCACAGCTATCATATGGTTGTTCCAAGTGACGCTCCGCGAGCGACATGAAGGGTCAACATCGGGATATCAACTGATTCAGAAGATCAAAGGATTGGCTCTCGCTCGAGCTCAGAAGCGTGCAAAACACGGCTTGGATCAATTCGCGATAGAGCAAGAAGTTAGTACGGTGGGATCAGGTGGGTGGGTCAGAAGAGGAAGCGGCCCGAGGTGACGATGCCACGAAAGAGGCAAAAGACCGTGTCGCAGCGACGTGCTGAGGTGGAATTAAAGTACGTTCTCGTCTGCCGGAGAGGACAGCGAAGAAACGTACTTGGGTGATGCCTGAGGGATGGGATAAGCATGAAGGGGAGGTATACGGTCAGCTGGTTCCCGACGGTACGTGTTGCGTCGAATTATCTGCCACATTTGCAATGCAGCTGAATCGTACATTTCTGACTAGGGTTTAGCGAGGGCTAACTGCTGTTTAGCACCGACATCTGCCTGCGATAGACCGTCGTATCGCATAATTCAACAGTCTCACAGATATTACTCATGTAGTTAATTCGATACCCAAGAACTTTGATACCCAAGAGAATTGAGGGACAGCAAATGGTTCGAGTGCCAAAGACGCCGGACCAATCGTGATCAGCCAGCCACTCGGCAACAGATTGCGCTGCGTTGCAATGTTGGTCCCAATCAACACGTCTCCATGTGTGCAAATCGTCAGCACCACCCACGAATCATAACACATACTTGGCGTCAAGCCGCCACTGTGACACCTAACCTCAAATTGGCAAGCGGGTTGCCCAATCAGGCCGCAGACGCCCCCAACGTCGCACACACACATTGTAACATCCAAACCGCCCATAACGTCGAGCTCCGTCGTGACGTACTTCTATCAATAATGTGAGATAAGACAGACCATGACCGTAACCATAAATGCGAATATCATTGATACAGTACAAATGCGCGATAAATAATAAGCAGATCCCGATCCACACGTAGAGACAAAAACATAAACTGAAGCGCAAGATCGAACGTGAGCATGAGCATGGCACCAAACACCCGTGCACGTACTGCACACACGCACGCGATACAAGAACCAAAATCTCAACAAGAAACAGAAACCGACCTGTCATCCACATGCAGGTCCGCCTCTACCAAAGACACAGCAGACGTCTGCGCAGAGAGCGACGTCGACAACGGCGGCGTCGGCGGACACGCTTCCGGTCCAGCAGGACGCAGCGTCGGCGACGACAACGACATCGGCAACTGCGGCTCCACCTGCATCTCAGGCATCTCCATAGTCTCCTGCTCCTGCTTCGACACGCGCCGCGAGCTCCGACGCGGTGGCGGCGACAGCGACGTCACGCCTTCAAGGTCAGGACACGACTCCAGCTCAGGCGCCATCACACTACTGCGCACCGGAGGGATAGGAATAGCAAGCGGGAGCGGGGGCGTCGGCGCGGAGCTCAAGAGAAGGTTCGTAGCGTCCTTCGTGAGCGTGACGATCGGCTCCCCGATGGGCGTCGAGGGTATAGGTATGGAGACGACGTACGGGTTGATCGTGGATGGCGCAGGCGATGGCGGCGATTGCGGGGAGACCGACGGCTGCGGCGAAGCAGACGGCCCTGGCGAGCTGAGCATGCGCAGGCGTTTTTTGATCGAGGACCGCGAAGGTGCCTGTGTCGTCTGTGTCGCCTGTGTCTCGGGCGTGGGCGGGAGAGGCCCGCTCGGTGGAGGATACGGCGGAGTGAGCTGTGACGACGCGGGCGACGACGGCGACGCAGGGATAGTCTCGAGTCCACTGCTCCCAATACTCCCGCTCCGCCTACTCCGATTCATCACCGTCCCAACGCTCATGCCATTTCCGGCAGCAGGCTCGTCAGGACGCGGTGGAAGCTCCGAGGACGGCGGCAGCTTCGGCGGTGATAGCGAAAGTCGATGGTTGCGCGATCGAAGCGACAGCGACGCGCGCAAGGAAGGCGACAGCGATGTCTTGTTACCATCAGGAAGCATCGAGTTCAGACTTGGTGAAGGCGACTCGTCCGCCGGCGTAGGCGGCAGCGCAATCAGCGGCGCAGGCCTCTGAGGCGGGGGCATCGACGCGCGATGTGCCGAGCGCGGCCGATGCTGGTGCTGATGCGTGTTCTGATGAACCAACAAACTCCCCCCACCACTTGCACTCCCACTCCCGCCCAAGCTCCCTCCACAACTACTCACACTCCGCGCGCTCGATCCCGACGCGCGCTTCGAAAAGTCACGCAAGCCACTCACGAAGCTATATGGACTCGACGGCGAACGGCTCAGACCCTCCTTCAAGTTCGCACCGCCCGTCTCCGCCGCGTACGGGTGTCTCTGCGCGCGAAAACTCACCGCGGAGCTCGACGCGTCCTCGGGCGGCGGCGTCAGCCGCGCGGTCTGCGAGCCCTGGCGCGACCACCGCTTCGGATTCGCACTCCCAACCATCTCCTCCGACCCATAACTCGACATGCTTGACAAGCTCGTGCGCGGCCGGCCCCCTCCGTCCTGAGCCTGTCCGAACGAGCTGCCCGTGCGCGGTGACGCCGGCGGGTTTGCCGCGAAGATCCAGCTCCCGTTCGGCTGCCGCAGCCCGAGGCCCGTCCCGGGTCCATTCCCATTGCTCACCCCAAGCCCAAAGCTCTCCGCCGTGCTCTCGTTTGCGTGCGTGTACGTCGACCTGCTCCCGTTCATCATGTTCCCATTAGCCCCGAATCCACTCTCAGACTTCCCCCGCCCATCCACCCCGCTTGCGGTATTTGCCCTCGGTCTTCTCGGCGCAGGTTGCAGCGCTGGCTCAGCTCCCGCTCCACGCATCGCCTGCATCGACAGATGGTTCCGTCCCCTCAGCAGTCCCGCATCGTAACTGCTGCCGAACGGCAGCCCCTCAATCATCTCCAGGTCTTTCTCTTGCAAAATCTTGATCTTCCGGTCAAGCACGATCGCAGGTGGTGCAGGCGGCTCCACAATTCGAGGTGTAGATGGGACAGATGCCGATGCAGAGGCACAGGCACAGGCGGAGGCGATCGACGCAGGCGTGCGTGGACGCGTCGCAGGCGACATTGGCCGTTCGCCACCCACGCGAAACATGCTCAACAGGCTCGAGCCGACACGCCCAAACGAGTCTTCGTGCTGGTGGCCGTGCCCTCCCAAATGCGTCGAAAGCGAGTGCGAGTGGGAATGCTGGTAATGGCTCATGTTGTCCGAGTCCACGTCCCACTCCGCCGTTGTCGTGGACACAGACGAGGGGGAGCGCGGCCGTGCACTCGCGCCCGATCCAGAGAAGAGGCCACGTAGCGCAGCGACCCCTCCCGTGCTCGCAGGGCTGCGCGTACCCGACGCAGAGCGCTGCGACCCGGTGGAACTCGCTAACGACGTCGATGTTTCCAAGGTCAGTCCATTGGACGTGGGCGAAAACGCACTAGGGGGAAATGAGCTGGAGGCCGGCGAGCCGGGCACGAGCATGCCCTGTGCTCGCATCGAGAGCATCACGTCCAAATCTCCTCGGGGCTCTGAGCCGCCCGACGGTGAATGTGGCATCACACCGAGCCCAGCACGAAGCGACCTGTCCTTCACGATGAGCGGCGTCCTCTGCTAGCAGCATGTCTCACGCACCTTTGGCTCAATACGGCCTGCTTAATCACCGCAATCAGCTCCTGCGCCTTCGTCGGGTCTGCAAAATGGAGCGCCATCTCTCTTCCTTCGCTATCCTTCCTTGTTCCCGTAACCCTGCTTCCCAGTCCTGCACCTTTGATCCGCACGATGCCGCGGCGCCCACCGACTTCTTCCTCGGCCACGAAGACGACGCTGTCCGCGCCGACCTCAAGGCGCTCCAGCTCGCCCTCGTCTGGTGAATTGTTCTTGAACAAATGCAGGCATGCCAGAGATGTCGTCGGGGAAGATGGCGTAGCAGCGGATGTAGATGAGGAAAGCACGAGAAAGCGCGGCTTCCATTGGCGAGCAAGAGTAAGCTTAAGAAGCGAAAGTGGAGCGTAGTGCCTGTGAAGGTCCGCACGCAGCTGGATGAATGGTTCTAAAGATGCAAGGGTACACCTCGGAGGCGGAAGTGCGAATGGAGGGGTGGGTGTTGTATTCGCGGTGCGGGGCTCTCCAGACGAGCCCTGGCCATGTTGTTCGTCGAAGAAGTTGTCGTCATCGTCTTCGCTAATACTGTGTGACTCGAGCAGGATGGGGTCGAGTCCGATGGACTGCGCGGCGGCATCACGGAGGCGCTCGCGCTCGGCATCCTCGTCGAGTTTTCTTGCCTCCGCCTCGGCACTGATTTCGATGACCTCGCCGAACATGAAGGGATTAGGTTCCGGCTGCGCCGCTGCCTTTTTCTTTGCACCTCTGCTGCTTTTTGGCCGCGCAAAGGAGAGTAGGAGGCTATTGCGGGCTCGCTTGGGGAAGGAGGAGAGGGGTTGCGACGAAGAGCTCGTGCCGACCACCATGGGAGAAGAGTCGCCGTCGTAAGTGAGAAAGGAGCCAGAGCCGGTGGGGTGTGCGGTGAAGGGGTCGGTGGTGCGGGAAGGTTGAAGAGAGGAGCGGCGGGAGGAACGGGAGAATGGGCGGTCGTCGCGGTCTGGCTGTTTGCTGGCCCTGCGTGAGGGGCCTGCATCATCGAGGGACGAGAAAAAGAGCGGCCGCGTAAAGACGGCAGACGAGGTGGGGCGAGAGGCCATGTGGGCAAGTAGAGAGCTAGGAGGACCTGGGTAGTTGTTAGAGGCGAGGAGGGAATTACAGATCTGGGTGCGTGGGCGTCAGAGTCTGACGGAAAGATGGGCGCGCACGGACGCCTGATGCGGAGCAGCGCTCACCTGGAAAAGGGCGATTGATTCAGAGCATCCTACGGAGGGGGAGGGGAGCGACACGAGGCCAGCGCGGTGCTAAGAGAGCGTCGAGAGCGCGAACCAGGGGAGTATATATCCACGTGACCTCCATTTAATTAGCCTCACCAGGAACCCGCGCACAACACTCCATCGCCCGACCATGACCGGAGAGTGCGCCTCGGACACTGCCTCCCTCGAACGCACCCGCGAGGATCCACACGGCAGTCTTTATGACCCACGGATCCGCCCCAGGACAACAGTATCCGGCAACCCGCCGGGGGGTTGTCATTGCTGCGCGCATGCCCGGTGACAGCCATAGTTCTCAGCTGCTTCTTCATTTCCTCCTTGCCCTTCTTCCTGATAGAGTTGGCTGTGCGCACAGCATCTGTAGCCTACAGGACGAACGAATAGCCTTTTGCGCCGGCGCTGTCCTAAACAGGCAGGCGTTCAAAAAATTAGTTGATCCCCTCGCGTACCTCTTCCCGCGAGCATCAGTCTAGCTGGTCCTGGTTAGTCAATTCAAGTGACGTCTTGTGGCTGAATTCGCGGTTTCGCTAGCGCTCCTCACTAGGGTGCAGAAGTAGTCGTCGGAGCATCGGCCACAGGCTCCTTGGCACGACACCAAGGTAGAACCATCGCTGGCGGCGACAACGATGCGAACAGAACCGTGGCGAGCAGATCCGAGGGGGAGGAAAAGAAAATTTGTTCCAATCCAAAGCAATAGGTCGCCTTTATACGTGAGTCGGTGACACGCGTGAAGAGCAACAAAATGTGAAACAGAGCCAAGGACGAAGCTGTGAAGAATGCTTTGTGGCCATCGAGAGGGATTCGAGGGGAGACTTCATCCTGTTATAGGGTCAGTATTCAACCGGCACATTGAACACCGCTACATAGTGCTCTGGATATCAATCTTTCCGTGAACATTCCGTCCCGTCAACGCCCATAAGTCGTCAAAACAGATGTTCCCAAACAACGAGAAATGAGCGAGACATGGTCTCATCATACACATACCGATGGCGAACCGTTTGCCTGGCACTGTGACAGTGGCGAGCGCCACCGGACATTTGGATGGCGTGTGCCGCCAAGATCCCGGTGGGCTTAGGCGTTTACGTACGCGAACATGAACCCAGGTTCAAGATCATGGTGGCGCCCAATGTTCCGCCGCCGCCATGCACGTCGACACGCTTGCAACGCCATTTTTGCCAAGCTCCGAGGTTTCCGAGGTTATTGTGCAAGAGAGACGCGCCCTGTCAACGACGGAAGCAGCATCTCATGCTCTTGCACCGAAACCTGCAGCCGTGACCATCCATGCTCGAACGCGAGTCTCCAGCACCGCCGTCGCTTCTTGTTTTCGCTGAGGCCGAACCTCATTTTCCTTTGGCGTTCGTCAGTGGCCTCTGAGGCACCCAAGATCACCTCCGGTCCCCCTGCAGTCCAGTTTTGCACACCTCCACCTTCATCGAGCGCCCCCTGGCGCCCACGATCAAAGAAGCACAAGCGCCGACTCGTTCTCCTTGCGATGGAGGCTCAACAAGCATTTTCTGCAAGCCAGACGCCACCTGGTCCTACGTTGCTGCTTGACTCGACCCGCCGTATACTCGCAGGACGGCGAGGCCAGACCCAGCCATTTGATACGCAGTTGATCGACAGCCCGAGCAGTTCAATTCTGCTGCTTACGGTCAAAATGGCTCTATCATACCCGCTTCGACGAGTACAGCAGTTTTCAGACCATTCCCCCTTCCGGGTGCTGATGACGCCTGGTCTCTTACGATTGTGTAGTGTACATATAATATCTGGAGAGGTCTCCATCGTTCAGCTGCATGCTGTAATAATACTCGTTTTTGAAAATAAATGGGTCGGGTGCATAAGCGAGTCGTCGAAGGAACAGGGTTCAAAGGGGGCCGTTCTGCGAGCCGACTCTTTACAATGTGCGAGGGATGAGCACAAGACCGGGCCACAACCTGCGACACCTCGCCGGATGCTTGGTGTCGACCTTTCATTAATCTAAAGTCCTAATGCACGTCTTGCTAAAGGGGCGAAGGCAACGGCAACGTCTTCACTCGAAAGGAACTTTCCCCGAGGGGAACCTCATTCCTACTATATCGAAGATATCATGTACGAATTACACTTGCAGTAACTTCAACACTAATACATCACAGCAATGCGACAAGACACAAAACACACGACATCACGCGAAGCTATTTTCCACATCAGCACTGTCCTCTCCCGCCTCGAGGTTCGCGAACTGCATCGAGGACAAGTCTCATCAGCACCTCCATCTCACATGTACATGCACAAAGGACACTCACCGAGAGGAACGCCGCCGGCCGATGCTCTTCCGCCCAGAACGGCAACGGGGTATCCAACGTCATCGAGTAGTGCATCGACGGCGACCACAGCTGCGTCAGCCCGATCCCATAGTTCCACACCCTGCCCTCCGGCACAAGCGTCATCCCCAGCACCCGGTCCGACAGCAGCAGCTGCACGCGCTCAGACATGTTCGGGTTGAACCCTGCCGGATTGGGAGATGTGTCCATATTCTTTCTGCCCCATTCGAACCCGGCGACCGTGACCGAATGCGCGGAGAGCGACACAGAGCCCGGCGTGAACGCGCATGTCAGACAGATAGATGATGAGCCCCATTCAGGGTGCTCCGCCATCAGCTTCGCCTGCGTCGTCACGTCCGTCGGCGGAAGATTAGGCATCTCTAGCGCTTGCGTCTTGATCCACCCGAGAGGCTCGAAGTCTTTGAGCAAAAAGTCGTCCTTCGGCAGCTGCGATGGTAGCTCCACGCTGTTGTTGTTTCCTCGCTGAGGAACCCAAGCGATTGCCTGTACGATGATGGTTAGCAGAGTGCACGACAGCCGGCATGGTCGCTACTAACCTTTACCTCCTTGACTTGCTTGTTGTCGGGAGGAGACACGCCGTACAGGAAGGCCGCAACTTGCGTGCGCAGGTCCGCAGAGGTGACAAATGCGCGCAAGATGTTCTTCGGAAGTACGTAGGTGTACGAACCAGCGTCGTCCCTGACCTCGTCGTTGGAGACATAGATGTGCTGAAGACGAAGAGGCAAATGCGTCGCAGAGATCGCGCGCACACGCCAGTCGGACTTGCTACTGAATACTTGCTGCTCGTAGTTTGTCGCTGTGAGAGCACTGGCGTCAGACTGGATCACAGTACTGAGGTAGAAGTACGCTTACTTGTCACAGTCTGGATGGCATCACCATGAATGTTGGTGGTTTGCCTAATAAAACGAGTTAATGACTGAAGGCGGTCAAATATCAAGTGCACTTACGTCTGTATGGCAGTGACCTGACTCTGTGCCTCAGAGCTCTTCTCCAACTCCGCCATCTGCTGGCGCTGCACGGATGGTGCGGCAATCTCCTGACCGAGGATGATATCTCGGATCTCGCTTGCTGTCAGCGATGCGATGTTCACACTGTTGCGCTTGCCGAAGTCCTTGAGTGGGATGTGAGAAACACCGCATATCAACATAACAGCACCTGACTTACAGCCAGAATTAGATCCTTCAAAGCAACCTCGACCTTAATCCATTCTTCGTCAGACAACGATGGCCAGACGAAGTGCGGTTCTGTAATAGTGTTCTTGTCTGGCCGGAGGACGATCTTGGCTTTCTCGTTGTTCACGTGCAGACCACGTAGCAGGAGAATGAGACGGGAGAACGCTGTGTAACTGGAGATGCTCTTGAGCCAGTCGTCTGAAACAGATATTAGCTAGTCTGATCTTGTGACTCGACCGTTGTAAACTCGCCGTATAGATTGAACAGCACCATCTGCGGTTGAGTAGCACGCTATGGCGAAGTAGTATCAGCGTGCTGGCCAAATGTACCAGGAATGCGGCACCTACCAGGATCAGGTCTCCAAACTTCTCCATCTTCATGCAAGCCTGGAACGGCAGCTGCAACTCGCTGCCCTTGATGACAATGTTCGGGAAGTCGAGCAAATGGACCTCAAGAGGATCCAACATGCCCTTACGGGTCACAATAACTTGCTTGGGCTGTTCTTCAACCGGCAACGATCGCACCAGAGCTGCAACTTCCTCAGCAGTCTTCCACTTCGCTAGCTGACCTAGTCGCTTCTGGCCTGCCCAGACACTGGTGTGGATGATCTTCAAGAAGAGTTGACCGGAGCGCGGGTTGAAGATGAAGATGGCACCGTCTGTTATAGAGGTCAGTCAGTACGCAACAACCAGCGTGCTACGTGGTTGACTCACTGATTGGCTTGGTTGTCAAGTTACCCTCGAATGTCTTGTGACTACGAAAAAGATTAGCAAACTGTAGTTGACATCTCACTGACTACACTTACATGGTGACCCGATACACATTCGTGTCGTCAACGAACCCTGCCAAAATCCATGAGCGCAAAGTCGAGACATGACGCTCTAGTACTTACAAATGATTTGATTTGAGAACAGCTCCGAGTAGTTCTGACTGTTGAGATACGGCTCCGTCGGCTCTGAAGAGTAGAGCTGAAGACCCTTGCGGATGCGCTCCCGTAGCACGTGGCAAGCCGGATTCGCCTTCATGATCTTCGCCATCGCCTGTTGGATGAGCGGCTTCATGCCCGGGAACCAATTACCATACGCCGACCACAGATTGTACGACAGATCCATGCCGATCATGACACCCGTTGGTGACGGGTAGATACTCATGGAATCGGAGATCTACAGATCAAAAGTCAGATACATTTCGTCAAGTTGAGCTTACAATGTACTCACGTAGTCCAAGAACTTAGCACGCGTGTAGCGCTCGATATCGTGGGTATCGAAGTCTCCCCAACGCAATTGTACATCAATCCAGTACTTGTTGGACGTCGTTCCATCAAGCACATCCTTGCTCTGCATAGAATTGCATAAGTTAAAATTCGCGATACCCGGCTAACGGCTGACTTACATCTGTGACGAGCGAAGGTCTTGAGATGTTCCACTGCAGAAGATATCGTTAGATCCACATATTAACTTCCAAGAATCGTGACTTGAGATGACTCACTTTATACGCGGAGAATAAGAGGATGTCGGCGCAAGAGGAGTTCATCTTGTAACTCTTACGAGGATGAATCGTCTCCTTCTGCACGGTCTCAATTTGCAGAGGCTCCAGCTCCTGATCGAATACTTGACACTAAATAAAGAAATGAATTGGTTATACAAAACCCATAGCATCGGCAGAGCTCTTACCAGATCCATAACCACACTCTCGTGGACTGTAAAGGTAAGTCAGAAAATGAACACTAGGGATAAGCATCAAAGCACATACTCTTCTGCCACAAGTGCGCACGGAAGATCTGGATCAAACTGATTTTCAAGGTCGGGATCTTGCCGTGCATGAAGATACCGGTCAGATCAAGCTGGACTTGGAAACCGACGTAGACATTGGCACGGTTGATGGTAGGACTCCACCAGAGCGTGAAACGACGGTTGGGAATTTGGTTCAAACCAGATCGTTGGGCATTCGTCAACTTCTTGTACCGCATGGACTCCTCGAAACCGGACGCCTTCTCCCAGAAGAGACCTACGGTAAAAATGTCAAATTTTGCACCGAATATATAATGACGAGTATGAACTCACCCTCCCACGTGGGGAAGTAGGTTCCCTTGAACAACGTGTGCTCAAGAATGCCTTCGACACCCCCGAGTGCAGCAATTACATCGACTCGATAGTTATTGAGCTGCCAAAGCTTGCCATCATGGCGCTGCGACGTCCACCAGAAGGGGTTGCTGGAACAAGTGATGAGGAAACTTATGTTCGGAAGCGTGGAAAGTACTTACTGCTTCAGGAGCTGGTACTGCTTCCAGTCGGTTCGTACACGCCATCCGCGATCGTACGCCAACGTATGACGGTCCTTCTGGAACAAGGTGTTGATACGCGGAATACCACGATCCCAACTATCCTCCAGATCCTCGAGTGTCAGACGACGGTTCTGGGCGTTCGCCTCCTTGCGCTTCATCGAGTACTCGGACCACACACGAGCAGAATCCAGGAACTCCGCCTCCCACGGTTGCAGGTAGCGATACAAATTAGGGATTAGTTGATCCTCCTCATGCGACATACCCGCCCTGAAGTGTGTCACTAACGAACTGCGTCAGCGATGCAATGCAGTCGACAAAGCGAATAAAACCTACCTCCAACGTCCGTCTGCTTAGACCAGCGGAGATCACTTTGAGGAATCAAGACATGACCCATGGACAACATGCCCAGTCCACCCAGTTCCTAGCACGAAACATTAATCAGGCTTCATGGTCACCATCAAATGAGGAACATACCTTTGGTGTATAGAATACGACCGGCGGGAAACGAGACGGCATCTTACTATTCAACCCGATCTTGACACGAGTCTGAATCTTGTTCTCCGCCTTCACAAGAGCATCCAACAGCTCGTTCGTGTGGATGACCGCTTCTCGGTAGTAGGTCATCAAACCGATGAGTGCAGTGTTCCACTTGTTGACGATCTTGGAGAATGTCGTCGAACCGGAACTCATGAGGACTTGCCGAATCCTGTTGTTAAACTGCTGGACACCATCATCAGATACACGCAAGAACGCCTGAGCAGTGCGCTCTTTTGTCTGCTCGTTTGTCAAGTTCCAGACTGCATCTTTCAGCGAGAACTGCTCGCCGCTGAGCGTCCTAATCTTGGGGAGGATCCGAACCTCGAAACCGCACATGGAGAACAGTAGCTGCGGATTGTCCTTAGAGTACACACTGACGAAAGTGTCCTCCCAGTCGATAGTCGTAAGTGAGCGCGGGAGACTCTGCTTGACGTTCCAGAAGACTGCACGGCCCAAGTTTACGTCGTGCTTGATGAGTCGCATGCGACAGTCTCGCGGCCAGCAACGCTTGTTGTTGTAGCCAATAACGTTGTTGTTGGTCGGATCAGGGTTCGCACTCAGATACCGTTGAATCAGGTCGCGCGACTCCTCCGCGGTGAAACGGAAGAGAATGTGCAGCCTATCGACGTAACGAGAGTAGAGACGGATCGGATGGCGCGTCTCGGTGGCGGAGTCACGGTATTGCAGGAAGTTGTTGGGCATCTGGGGAGGACCAGCCATCTCACTTGCGCGCTGCAGACCGAGTATCAACAAGTCGAGAACCAGACCGTAGTACTGGAAGACGAAAGCAGAGAACTGCAAGCCACGGATCAAGCCATAGGCATTAGTGTGTGCCATGTCTGAACGACCGCTTGTCAGTATTCTTCCTACAAAACGAATCATACTGCTTACCCTTGTATGTCAGGACTGTGTTGTTCTTGGCTGTGATATAGTCCGCGAGGTTGTGATCCAAAATGAGCCGCAAGAGACGGTTAAGCAAAGTCAAGTCGATCTTCTCGTATACCTTGGATAACACGGTCTCCATCATCACGTTGCACTCTCCCTCACTCGTCTCCCAGATGTCGGTCAAGTTGTTGATGCCTTGGCACCACTTGTAGACGAGCAATGGAGGAGGCTCAGTATCTGCAGGCTTGATCCACGCAGGGAACAGTCCACGTTTGTCGGCCTCGAAGAACAAAAACTGGTCGAGATAGGCATCCGTGATCTTCTCCACCGGCTCGATGTCGTAACAAGGGATAAGCTTGTCATAGGTGTCGAAGAACTCAATACCAGCCTCTTTGAATGCTCTCTGCGTCAAGAGCAGACGCTTTATACGAGACAGACACTCGTGTGGATTGTCATACGCCTGCTCGATGAGGGCCAGCTCCTCACGCTGCGACTGGTTCAGACGACCTTTAACCGAGTAAGCCTCCTTGAGCTTCTCAAGCGCAAGAACGAGCAGCTTCGTGTCGTGCTTATAGTTCAACGGCGGGAATGGAATGGGCGAGAACTTTCGGCTCTCCAGCCAGTGCACCGTAGCAGTGTAAATCGCCACTGCCTCTTCAGCACTGACATATGGACCATCCTTGAGGTAGCCGTGTTGACGCTCCTGTTCCGCTTTCAGGTAAAGCCGGGTCAAACGGCCAAGGTTCTTCTTCACGACAGCCTTATCGACGGTCGCGCCCCGCCGAATGCGCTCACGGTTGTAGTGGGCAACGGACGTCCACCAGTCGGCTTTGCTCTTGATGTACCGTAGGATGATATTTTCGATCGCGGTCGGCATACCAGGAACCTTCCACGGGACTGAAGGCGAAAATTTAGAACATATTTGGAGATCGAGCATACAATAAAAACGTACTGTTGGCTTTCCAGCAGCGCCATGCCTCCGATAGATGTTGCAGAATAGTCTTCGACTTGTTTTGCTTGATCGACTCGGGCATCATGTCGAGAATATCGTGCATTACGGCGGCACGGAGCTCGAGGTCGTAGTGCGACTCTACACGCTGTTTCGTGACCGTCTTTGCGATTCCCTTGCTGTTGCGGCCCTCGAATTGACGTGCGAGGAGATTGCCAAGCCTGCCAGCAGAATGAGACAAGCGTTCCAGAGATCTCCGGAGAAGTGAACGTACCATCTCTCCAACAGAGGCACAATACCGCGCATGAAGAATAACCAGACGCGCCAGCCAGGTGCCCAGAAGCCGCACCCAGGGCCCTTGCCAACAGGACCAGTGTTGAAGCGGTAGTAGATGAGGTGCTTCAGGTCTTTGGTCATACGTACTTGTCTCATCAGCTGCAATAAGAGGACACTCAGTAAATGATAGCCTCGAAACCGAATAGACGAGGCACTAACCTTGTACTTGTAACGATACATTCCAGTGAGAGCACCAATGTGTGCGAAGATGTATTGCAGCGCGTCGGCCAATTGGAAAGCATCGACATTTCCGAGTCGGAACTGCACATGCGCATCGACGACCAGCTTGGTGAGACGCAAAATCTCACGGCAAAGGTGGAATGCATTTCCGAATCGCGACTTCTTACGCTCCTTGGTTGTCAACGTCTTCACCGGCTTGAGATTCATGTTGTAATCCAAGTGCAAATAATTCAAGTTCTGCCAACAGAACGTCAGACACCCTAGAAACTAACTAAGAGCAAAAACGCACCTTGCGGTGAATGAGGAGATTCAGCATATTGTAACCTTGCCGGCAGACCTGAAGACCAGCCTCGACCCAATCAAGGCGAGTCGTCTGGAAGAATTTCGTCGCCTTCAACTGCCTGAACAGATTTTTCTTTGTCATCGCCTTCTCTGGCCGTGTCTTCAGCTCGTTCAGGACAAAGCACTTGAGTAACTTCTGATACGACACGCGGACCTTCACCGGCTGATTGGGCGGACAATGCTCAAGATACCAGTTCTTCACGAGTGGCACATCCTGCGCACGCCGCATGCGTCCGGATCGGCGGTTGTATGGATCAGGCGCCCACCAAAGGGCGATAGCATCTGCAGTGATGTCGTTCTCCAGTGGCTTATCTTCAAGGAACGGCTCGATCTCTTCTGGTAATTCGAAGTCATCGTCATCCGCATCGTTCGGGCCAAAGATTGCGTCCTCGTGCGATGCCAATGGTGCGTTCTTCGGCGTAAACCCGCGAAGAGAGATTGGGTTGATCAGAGGGTCGAAATAGAAAGCAGGCAGATCGGGATCGTCGGTACGGATGTATACGTTCTTCGGTGTGTGGTAGGGAGAAATGTGCACGGAGCGTGGTAACGAGTTGTAGAGGTGAGGGAAGGCGACCTTGTATTCCGTCCGAATCTGCTGACGGATGATGACCTTGTTGATATCATTGAACTCGTTCCAATCTTCGTCGAACGTGTCCATATCCCGGTACAACGGCTCAAACTTTGGACCACCAGGGATTGCCACGTTCAAAGCCTTTGCCGTGAAGAACGACTTCTTGTCGAACAAATAGCTGGAATTGCTATCTGTGTGGTCTGACAAGAGTGTCCGCCCTAAGCGGTACAGGTTCGCCATAATAGGCAGCGTCAGGTTCCAATACCTGTACGACGGCCCATTGACGTGAGGAGTATCAAGAAGGGGCTTCGGATCGTAGAACCACTCGCAGATGGCGGCATCCTCCTCATCATCAAGTTCGAGCTGAATCGCTTCGAGAGGCTCGACATCCAGGACATTGTCGCCATAGTCGAGAGGGGGCTCCTCGTCATCGAATGGCGGGAAGCGCATACGCTTGAAATGCCTACGGTCGCGCTTCTCTCTCCGCATCGCAAGCCACATACTGCTCCACTGCGCGTGATATACTGGTTCGATAACTCGCGGAATCTCGTTGACGAACGTGATCGCACCGGTGATGTGGTAGAGCACCGGCACTTCACGAACTTGCTCCCAAGGGTAAGGAATGTTTTCGAGCAGCTTCATGACGGCATGTGGAACGTACTTGAGGGCACCCAAATGTACACGCTTGTCGTTTCTGAACTTGCGATTGCTCATGTCGCCGTGGTCCTTGATGATTTTTCGCACATGCTCGGGAGGGAGATCCTAGACCAAAATCAGTGTGAGTTACTTTTGTAGCAATACTGACTGCACGCACCTGCTTGCCCATATCAACAAATCCTCCCTTGCGCTTCTCCCCATAGCGCTTTTTCTGCATCTGGATCCATTTTTGCGACTTTTGCGCTAGCACTTCAGGAGGCATCCTCGAGCCCTGGGCGTTGCTAAAACCTTGCGGTGGCAGCATGCCAGGTGGTGGAGGAGGCATGCCGGGCATTCCTGGGGGTGGTGGAGGCAATCGTGAGCCCATGCCAGGCGGAGGAAATGGCATTCCTGGTGGATAACTCATGGTGGTCGTCGGTCAAGGAGCGCTCGTGCGCTTACCAACAACGCGTCTTGATCATGAATAAGCGCCAGCTGGGTACGAACCTTTAACCTCCGCAAGCAATCGTATCAGCGGAGTTCGTACTTTATTACACCGGGGGCATGAGCCCATGATTCCACCGGGAACATTTTAGACACATTGTGACAACAGTCTAAATAATCACGCAATGTTTTCGGTGTATACATTTTGAAATCATTTTTAATGTTTTAAGCATCAGCATTATGGGACAATTTTGATAACATTCATAATGATACCCGAATCAGGCCCCAATGTTGCTGCTGATAGCATTCAAGCAATATTGCAGAAATATCTTGAACATTTCTCGAGGGAACATTTTAAATGATATTCCTGAGGGGCCATGATGTTGTCAAGATGCTCCCACTGGGTTCATTGTGATCGTATAAATTGTATTACCATATATAGTAATGTGCTAACCAGATTAGGACATCCCTGATGCGTTCAAGATGATCCCAGCCGGCACATGATGGAAAACATCTGGCACTCATTGTAACCTCACCTTAATCACATTTGTAATGTACACTTAAGGTCCATTCAAAATGATGCCAACATGTTCTGTGAATGCTGGCTGGAGCAAAATTGTTGTCGCATTGTAGTGTCTTTCTGAATAATATCACAATTATTCCACAATGATCGCACTCAAAACAATTCAAATAATTTCATAATGTTTACATTGGTAACATTATAATCACATTGTGACTTTTATCACAATGTGTCTAAAATGTTCCCGGTGGAATCATGGGCTCATGCCCCCGGTGTTAGGACGCGCCACTACCGTGTAGATGAAGAGTCAAGATTTACTCACAGCCGCGATCATTCATGCAAAAGATTTCGATCGGGTTCCAAAGCGTTGCTTGTATGTCTTCGTTGAACTTTTTACTCATAATTTGTATAGACGCAGCACAGTGTAAGAACTTACTTTTGAAGTCTGAAATTCGAATTTAGGCCCCGCGCTGCACGTACAAAGTATCCCTTCCATTGCCAGAAGCTGACGCGGAATGGGCGACGAAGCGCTGGCATAACGGTATACTGCATGCCAATCAGCTCGAAATGAGTATGTCTGTAACTCTGCGCATACGAATAGTTAATACACATTGCGGGTCATCGGAATCACGATGGCTCGCTAGGGAAAACTCAGGCCGCATGTGCTGTATCGATCGAGTCGGTAGACAAACAGTCTCATCCAGTCTTCGCTGGCATGCGTGCTAGGCCACAATGCCGACGATTTAATGTCGCTGCATAGGATGCAACGTCAGTCGACCAGCACGAAGCTTCGCTTTTGTCTTCAAGCATTCAGACATGCGTGCTGCGACCCTCTTTTGTCGTTATATTGAAATCGTCGCGACGGTGACGACACTACAGCAGCAACGAGACTTAGCGTGCTAAATGCTTGAGGATGTTCGCTCGGAGGGTATGAGGTCGGTCCTTTTGATGGATGATGTTCTTCTTTCTGCATTGATTAGCTAATCAATCGGCGACAGTGACCAGCACTCGTCGAAATTCTCCTGCGTGGAAGAATGACCATAAAACTCTCATGCCGAAGCGCGGTTTGGTCTTCGCTGTGCTTACAATGCAGCAAAATGTATTGCGTGCTCATTGCTTATCGTATCGGACAAAATGCCCGAATCTCCATTGTCTCCTTTGCACTTACGCAATGGCCCAGCATGCGTAATCCTGGAAGAGAAGAAACAGCACAGATTGCCAAAGAGAGCTTTTTCCGAGTATCCCCATTCATATTCTGTCACGCCCATATTGTCGGACGGACTTACTCTTGTCGATGGGCCAGTACGAAGTACTTTATTATATGGTCATCAACTGACACCGGCCTCACACCGGCCTCTCATACAGCGATTGAACGGAAAGCTCGTATATCCGCAACCCTCTGCTGCAATTGAATGTAATGATCTCGTGGATGAGAGGCCGTAAGGTTCGGTTGCCGGTCACTGAGAGAGTTGGTAAGTGCCTGCATAGCGCACTCGCATCGTTCACCTTCTCGATGAAGTCAGTGGGCTGGCACTCGATCAAGGCTTGCCGATGCTATCTGAGCTTTTCAGGACCTTTCTTCCCACAGGTACGCCCGCAATTATGGCAGCTCCTGTATAGCGATTGCCGCTACTAATATACTCAGCGATCGGATGCGGTGGCGCTGCTAAGGCTGCGCATTGCCCATGGGCGCTCGATCGCGACCGGTCGGCGCTGGTGGAGATGGTTTATCCGAATACATTTGTTTTCCTCTCCATTCATTGAAATGAAACACACTGTCAATGTCATCCGGGTACGGACTGTGTTTGGGCGTCCTCCTCGAATATGCTTCCCACCACTTTTCGTGAAGTTTCTAGAGCGCTCAGCTGACAGTGCTTTGAGAACCGGACAGTGGCGACTCGGAGCCGCAGAATGCTTGCCTCGGTGTCTTCGTGATGCGTTCTGAGCACCGGGGTTCATGGAAAGCGGTGGCACCCGAAGAGCAAAGCCGGTCTGTCAACCGGTCATCACCAGACGCGCCTAGATTCACCGTTGACGAATTTGACAGGTGTTATGCAGTTCCTCCTTCATCGTGCTAGGACCCTGGTAGGCTCCTTCATCCGAACATTGCATCCGGATACTGCTCCACGTCCGCGAAAATCGCGATAGCAGGAGACGACAATCGCCGATCGTCACTGGCCGGCTGCTGTCTATGCTAGGAGCATTGCCGTATTCGCAATCCCATAGAGTGGCGCGCTCGTTCGCGAGATGCACTCAACAATAGGCGTTCCATCGGGTGCAAAAAAAGAAGACTTAAAAAGTGCGATCCCTGTGGGGCGAGAGACTCAAGACTTTGTACCCTCACTATGGGAGCCCACTCGTGCCATCTTGACTTCGCTTATATTCGAATGCGTGCTGCAGTCCTAGCCCTGCGCCTGATTACGCCTCTGAGCGTAGCGTATATCGTCTTTTACTACTTCCTCTGCGCGTTCAGCTCCTCATGGTTGGCATGGTATACCTTGGCTGAAACACTCTTCTTCTTCGGCGTGTATGTTCCGAGAAGCTTCCTGCTGCAGAAGGTAAGACTACATTAAGATCATACATCTATCTGTGAATCTGAATAGTCATACCCTATTAACGCCTTCGACGACCAATCTGCCCGCCATGAACTGTTCTTGCTGTCCGTTACGGAATTCGGTTAACTGACGATGGCGTCCTTACTTATAGGAAGCTCAATTCCCGCTCCCACCGTCTCGGCAGGAGCGCCAGATGCTCTTCACCAGGTCTCTGCCGTACTTCTGTACGACCGATACAGCCACAGGATGGTTCTATGCCAACGATCCGGTCGCTAAGATTAAGAAGGGCAATCTGAAGGAGCTCCTACTATGGGCCTTCTTCAATTCCGACTTGAACGGCTTGCAAGAAGAATGGAAACAGGAGCTCGATGAATATGTGGCCCAGGTCGAGAAAGTGATTGGACATGAATTGCCAGATGGGCGGAATGACGACATGAAGTGTAAGGCATTTACTCGCCAAACAGTCAGAATGACGCATCGTCCTCTCTTGTTGTATTTGGTAAGCCGTTCACCCCTGTTCTTTGTGAGTTCTGAGTTGATCCTGATGACCTATGCAGATGACGGGCGTTCTGGACTTCAGAGCCTGCCTGGTGCTGTGGTGGCATGGCTTCACGCACCTACGAGTGAAGCAGTGGTGGCGTTGCTTCCCACTCCGGCCATATACAGCCTTCGCGCGACGTTCTGCACATCCAAAGTTGGGATATTGGTACCGACCGCACCGATCGGCGACCAAGCTCCCCATTCTATTCCTTCATGGTGTTGGGGTACGTGCATTGCGTTCAAACCTTACGCATTCCTCTGATATTGATTCCGTCCAGATGGGGTTGACGCCTTACTTACCGTTGTTGTGCGAGATCGTCGCTGCAAACCCAGACGTCGGTATCATTGCCATCGAAGATATGCCTATCAGCATGCGCATCACCAGTCCGCATCTCAACCGTGAAGAGATGCTCCAAGCACTCACGCGTATCCTGGACTATCACGACATCCCCAGCGTTGTCGTCGTCGGCCACTCCTACGGCACCTTCCTCACCGCGCATATCCTTCACGACGCTGCGTTGTCCCAGCGCGTCGCTGCATCTATGGTGATCGACCCGGCCTCGCTGCTCATCTTCAAGCCTGACGTCAACCATAACTTCTTTTACCGGTCACCACGTACTGCGACCGAGCTCTTTTTGTGGTATTTTGCGTGCCAAGACCCCGATATCGCTCGCGGAGGTCGGCGCGGTCTGTTCTTCACGGACAGCGCTCTGTGGAAAGAGGACCTAGCTGGCCGGCGTGTGGGCGTTGTTCTCGGGGGCAACGACCTGCTCCTCGACGCCAACGAGACGTGGCGGTACCTCACCGGGCAATCAGAACCGGTCTCGGAGTGGCGAAAGGATGGGCTGGATGTGCTGTTTTATCCCAACCACGGGCACTCAGAGACCATGTATACCGCAGAGACAAGGGCGCCGATTCATATATTGTTATCGAGACTTGTAGATAGGTATGCCAAGCCTTCGAAGTAGTACAATTGTTCAAATGCATGAATTTCTCCTTGAAACAATCTATATCAGTGCATACACTCGTACCGTTCTGCTTGCGTGAACGCATGGCAGCAAGGCGCAATTATCTGGCGTTATGAGTAAGACAACGGCTGCGGATGGCCCACGAAACTTTCCTTCTCTAACGTCGTCGGATCCTAGCTGCGTCTCCGATGGACATCACAATAGCGATATGGCTTGTACAGAATTCACACCGCAGCGAGATCTCCATTCAGTGAGCCGTGAACTTGGTTGTGCACAAGAGAACAAAGCACAGGCGCCACGGGAACCATGCCGTAACACAAATATTCGACGGAAGGGAGGCCACCATATGGAATGCTTCAGATGTCTTTATCCATCCGTCACGTATGCAGTCCCACAGGCGCTTTGGCAATGACATCCGGCCGGAGGTATGGAAACACGCAGTATACGAGATAAGAGGATTACATTGCCGTGCTTTTACCACTTCGGTCTCCGCAGTGCTTTCCTTTGAGCCAAAGTGCCTCTTCCTCTGGCGCCACGCACGCTCTGCAGTTCCTTGAACTTCTTCTTGGCGTAGCCTTTGGCCTCCGCATCGTCAACCAACTCCTCCACGAGCGTGCGCTTCCTGTGCGCCCTACTGAGATTGTCGGCACTGGGAGTGCCAAATGGCGTACTTGACGGTATGATAGTGCCGATCTGAAGTAAAATGTTAGCGTAAAGAAAACATGGTGCTCGCACAGCGAACTATCAACGTACAGCAAAATGCTTGGGCAAGCCCTTGATGCCCTTTCCTTCGCCTTCATCTCTTTTGTAGAAGCGCTTGGGGTCCAGCTGGTTGCGCAGCCTAAGTGCCTCCACTTCCCGATATAACCGCGGTAGGTCTGCCTCAGCTGGAGCCGGAAGGTCAAACCACGCAGCTCCAGCGGTCTTGTTTTTGAGCTACATGTGCGACGGGTCAGCTTCAATCAAGCTCGCGTTTCGCGCATGACTTACCGCTTTCCTCTCCTTTTTCGTAAGTTTCTTTCCGGATGCATCCAACTCTGGCGGGGGAGTGGGCGGTACCGGTTCATCGAGAGAAGATGCTGCTTTCTCTACCCGCTCCGCGTCCAGGTCTCGAATGGCCGATGGACCTCCTTTTCGTGAATTCAGCTTAATGTAAGGCGAAGGAAGGCTTTCTGACTTGAGAAGGGGTAGTGGCCTAGAAGCACCTCGTCAATGGCGCAGATTAGATCAATTCGTTGAGCTACGCACTTGTCATCCCCTTGCATGTCTAACCGGATCTCCTCTTCTTCGAGCATGTCTTGAATTGAAAGATGTCGTTTCCTTCTTGCATTTTCTTTCGCCTTTTGCAATAACGAGTCAAGGAATGCTTGAGTGATTTCTTCTTCGGACTCGTCGTCTGAAGAATCTGAGTCGCTGTCCGAGCTCACATCTGACTCCGATTGTGTTTCAGGAGAAGTAGACCGTGCTGAGCCAGAAGCATTTGTATTCTCATGATCATCGTCATCAGCGTAAACGGCTTTCTTTTTGCCTTTGTGTGAGGTAACAGAGGACATTGAGGAGGAGATTAGTTGGAGTCTCAGCCACAGCTCTACTTTTAATTGCACTCGGGTCCATCATTGAATGCGATCACGACCCCGTTGTGTGTATCCCCCCGATCACTGCCCATTTGAACAATGCTCTCACAGCCGTTCCGAAGAGCATGTCGACCCTCACACATTCTCAAGCTTTCGCGGTGTAACTATACGCAGTCGTCCTCTTCCACTCCTCAGCCCTCTCAGGAGGCCCACCGTACCACGCACTTTGGATTCAGAACTGTGCCGGAAGAGGATAAGGAATCTCTAGTGAAGAATGTCTTCGACTCCGTAGCGTCCTCGTATGACCTCATGAACGATGCTATGTCCTTGGGGGTCCATCGTCTTTGGAAGGACGAATTTGTGTCATTACTGAAACCCGGATCAAAGGGACCCATAAAGTGCATCGATGTTGCGGGTGGAACGGGAGACGTTGCTTTGCGCATCCTGGACTTCGTCAGAGAGCGCTATGCGGATAGAGAGACCGCTGTAGATGTTGTCGACATCAACGGTGAGATGCTGAAGAAGGGATACAAGCGCTTCAAGAAGACTATGTATCACAATAGTATGCGCTTCATCTTTCGACATATCCCTCATAGCGCTCATAGTCATAGCACCTCAGATTGCCTTTCAGGAAGCCAACGCTCAGGCTCTGCCCGAAGACAGGTTTCCTGCGAACACCTATGATTTGTACACTATTGCTTTTGGTATTCGTAACTGCACGTCCGTTCCGGATGTCCTGACGGAAGCGTACCGCGTCCTCAAGCCAGGCGGCACATTCGCGTGCTTGGAGTTCAGCAAAGTGAACAACCCACTTTTCAGCGCGTATGTTTATAAGGTGCTTGAAACAAATATGCAGCTCACCCGCTCGTCTTCAGTGTATACGACCAGTATTCGTTCTCGATCATTCCTCTGCTCGGAACCATCCTCGCGGGCGATCGCGAATCGTATCAATATCTTGTCGAGTCCATTCGCAAGTTTCCTTCTCAACCCGAGTTCGCCAAGATGATCGAAGATGCTGGGCTCACAATTGGTGGCATGCACGAGGGAAAGGGAGGTGCATGGAGGGATCTCTGGGGTGGCATCGCCGCTATCCACACGGGCGTGAAGTTGTGATACGCTCGTCGCTGTAGCTATTCGTCTGCATCATGTAAAAGGATCTACTAGACCGCAGCAGGCCAATAATTAATCAAAACACCTCGCGCTTTCTTGCTCGCGTGCACTTACCGCCCTAAGTAGTGACAACCGTCCTTGTAACGGTGTGACGCCCTTAGTGGCCTTTGCTGTGGTTAGCAAGCGCCACGCCTCGTACGCGTTCTCCTCCTCCTCCGTCCCCGTCACCCATCTCCACTCGCAGTGCTGAATACCTCCTTGCTGTATAAACATGGCGAGCGCGTCCACGAGTGGTGGTCAACATCCTATGCCGCCCGCCAACTCGGACTTGGCAACAACATGGGCGTACCTCGAGGAGGGTGTTGACCATATCATGACGAAGCTGCAGACAGGAGTATCGTACTCCAAGTATATGAGCTTGTACACGGTGGCATACAACTATTGTACTTCGTCCAAGATGCATGGCTCAGGAGAGCAAGCAGGTTTGGGCCACCGCAGTGAGTATCGTTACGCGTATCGCGCAGGTGCATGTTGACGAACCGCAGATGGAGCTAATCTGATGGGATCCGATTTGTACAACAATCTCATCCGTTATTTCGTCAATCATCTGAAGACATTGCGGGTGGTGAGAGGATATATCACTGCCACAGATCATGACTAAGACAATCCGGTAGGAATCTGACGCCCTCCAGGATGAGGCGCTGCTGCGATACTATGCAGCAGAATGGGACCGTTATACGACGGGAGCAAACTACATCAATCGTCTTTTCACCTATCTGAACCGGCACTGGGTGAAGCGGGAGCGGGATGAGGGAAGAAGGGGTGTATACCCAGTGTACACTGTGAGCGTCGATTCCTCCATTGTCAAACTCTGACTTATAGGTATCTTAGCTCGCTCTTGTACAGTGGAAGTCTAACTTCTTCTTGCATGTGCAAAGCAAGCAACAGAAGCTTGCGGGCGCCATTTTGCGACTAATCGAGCGACAACGAAACGGCGAGACCATTGACCAGGGTCTTGTCAAGAAAGTCGTAGATTCCTTTGTGTCGCTAGGTCTAGACGAGGCCGATATCAACAAGGTGTCATACGAAGTCTACAAGGAGCATTTTGAGGCACCATTTTTGGAAGCTACCGAGAAGTACTATCGCCAAGAGTCAGAGGCATTCCTCGCCGAGAACTCCGTCGCGGACTATCTTAAGAAGGCAGAAGAGCGTGTGCGAGAGGAAGAGGACCGTGTTGAACGCTATCTCAATACAATTACCAGAAAGCCACTCATCAGCAAATGCGAACATGTTCTTATCCGCGAGCACTCTCAGCTCATGTGGGAGAGCTTCCAGGAGTTGCTCGATTACGACAAAGATGAGGATCTGCAGCGCATGTATGCGCTTCTGGCGCGGATACCAGAGGGCCTCGAGCCCCTGCGTAAGCGGTTCGAGGAGCATGTCAAGCGATCCGGTCTCGCTGCTGTGTCCAAGCTGGTCGGAGAGGGTGGTGCCAGTGCCGCTGATAACATCGATCCCAAGGCGTATGTCGATGCGCTGCTCGAGGTTCACCAAAAGAACTCTGAGACGGTCACGCGGAGCTTCCGTGGCGAGGCCGGATTCGTGGCGAGCTTGGACAAGGCGTGCAGGGAGTTCGTCAACCGCAACGCCGCGACCGGATCTTCGACAACGAAGTCGCCAGAGTTGTTGGCGAAGCATGCGGATGCGCTGTTGCGCAAAAACAACAAAATGGCGGAGGACGACGACCTGGAAGGTGCTCTTAATAAAGTGGTGAGTGTCTTTGGGAGAACGTCTATACATATCAACGCTCGATTGACGACTTGTACAATAGATGATCCTATTCAAGTATATCGATGACAAGGATGTGTTCCAGACATACTACACGACGAAGCTATCCAAACGTCTGATACATGGCGTTTCTGCATCCGACGAGGCGGAAGCAAGCATGATTTCCAAGTTAAAGGAGGCTTGCGGTTTCGAATACACTAACAAGTTGCAACGCATGTTCACGGGTTAGTTGCGTCTCTTTGATTGAATTGGCGCTATACTTAGTCGGCCCTTCCGCAGACATGAGCCTTAGCAAGGATCTTACGGATCAGTTCAAGGAGCGCATGCAGCAGAACCATGATGATATGGACCTCAACTTCAGCATCATGGTCCTTGGTACCAATTTCTGGCCGCTTAATCCTACTAACAGCGAGTTCATCATTCCCGCCGACATTCTGCCTACCTACGAACGTTTTTCGAAGTACTACCAGCAGAAACATTCTGGTCGTAAGCTGACTTGGTTGTGGAATTACTCGAAGAACGAGCTGCGGACGAACTACCTGAACCAGAAGTACATTCTCATGACGAGCTCGTGGCAAATGGCTGTGCTTCTGCAGTTCAACAAGAACGATACCCTTTCGCTAGATGAACTCGTAGCCGCAACAGCCATATCGAAAGAGTACCTGAAGCAGGTGCTGGCGGTGCTGGTCAAGGCGAAAGTTCTGGTCAACGAAGAACCCGACCAATATGATCTGAACCCAAGTGCGTTCTTCCTGAATCGTTCCTTGCACATTGATACTAATGTTTTCCTCCCACAGACTTCAAGTCTAAGAAAATTCGTATCAATCTGAACACGCCCATCAAGGCGGAGCAGAAAGCGGAGTCGTCTGAGGTGCAGAAGATCGTCGATGAGGACCGCAAATACGTCATTCAGGCCACCATCGTCCGGTGAGTAACTTTATATGACATTGCCGTGGCTGCATGTCTAACGCCGCAATCTAGCATTATGAAGGCACGGAAGACCATGAAGAATCAGCTGTTGATCCAGGAGGTTATCTCGCAGATCTCGCAGCGCTTTACGCCCAAGCTGCCCGATATCAAGAAGGTATGTGGTGGCTCCATGTTTGAGCGGATGTGTTGCTAAGGGTGCCTCCCGTTGCCAGGCCATCGATCACTTGCTGGAGAAGGAGTACATTGAGCGGGTTGAAGGCACCAGGGACAGCTTCGCTTACGTCGCCTGATTTCCTACCAATGCCGTTTTTTGTCATATCTCCTTCGTCTCAATAGCTTGCGCGCTAGATTTGTACATCGTAGCATTATATACTGTCACCCATTCATGTGTTCTTCATGCTATGGTTCGGAGTCTTTGCGATTACGTCGCACATGAACTATAGCTTGCGGTAACAGTATTCATGGGCAAGTCACGAACACCTAGGCAACGTACCGAGGATCAGCGCTTCTGCAGTGGCAGTATAAGTGTATGTGAACTGCATTCAAAGACGCTTTGCGCAAATAGCATCTCAGTCACCATTCTTTCACTTAATATGTTCCATCAGCTTATTGTCCGATGTACAACAGGAGAGCGTTGAATTGACTGATCATTGAAGGTGGCGGCCCAGCTTGAGTCAAATTTTCGCCCTCAACTTGAAGAACCGCCAACGGCAGGATGAATCTCTGACAAAAGGTAATCGCTAACGCTCTCGACGGCGATGTCGTTACATCCTTCTGCCTGTCGAAGCATGAGAGCGCTTTAACTCTACTGTTATTATTAGTAGCAGACATGTATATATGCGCCATGAGTTTATTCAGTGTTCAACTTGAACGGGGCGCCGGCAAGATCCAATACAACACTTGCCAAATTAGGATACTCCCTGCTGAGAAAGCAACGTGTCCGCGACGCTCGCCGCGACACAACCAGACGCTGTGGCGTCTACGATCCAATTTCATGGTGAGCGTACTCTGGACTAGAGTGTTCGTCTGCCACTCATCAAATCTGCAGTGACAATCAGACGATTCATAGTCGCACCTATCTATGTTGGCAGATATTGCCTGGAGTGGTCGCTTTCACAATCCATCTGCTATTTAGCTTGAGGTGCGATGTCTCCCTACTCGTCTACACTATGCTTTAGCTTACATGCTATTAGAAAAAACAGCCATGAACCTCCGAGATCAGCTGCTAGCGTCCCTATCAGAGCTACCTGGGACGCGTGAATTCCACATTCATGTCCTTGTGTCCTCGTCTCGGAAGCGTACCGATCTGTTTCCGTACGCACAACCTCGTCCTAGGGTGTATCTTCAGGATATCCTTATACTCCTCTCCGAGCAGACCACCCCAGACTCGCCTCGTGTCCTAGTCACCGCCATCGAGGCGTCTCTCTACAACGTTCCCGCCACTTCGTGCGGGGTCTTGTATATTTCAAAGGTCGACTCCACCGGCCACGCTACGAGACCCTCTCCCACCGGCTCTCTCGTGCGCGGCTTCATCGAATACTTCTGCGACCCCACGACGAGGCCGATTCGCGCTGAGCACTTCTGGGTTCAGCTCTTCGCGCGGGCGCAGGGCCAGTACCTCTTCCCAAACTCTGCGGGCTTCGCGGGCAAAACGCCTCTGGGCGGCATACAGCTCTGCGCGTGGTGGAAACGCATGCTATCCGGCGTGGCCACAGACCTGGCCGCGCGGGAAAAGGAACGTATGAACATCAAACTCTACTATGTGCTACCCGGGCTCAGCGAGCTTGAAGCAATACAGTCTCTGAAGTCACCTGGCGCAATGAGCTCTATTACCAATTCTACCGATTTGGTCTGGACATACGGTCACCCGTACTCCCAGACTGAAATCCCTCTTCCGTGTCCTCCGAGTAGTAAGAAAGACCAGGGCCGAACCAACCTTGGCCATTTCATCCCATCGTTCGAGGACGACCCAAAGTCACGTTTCATGGACGAGATTGCCCACATCACAGAAGCAGGCGGAGTGAGCTCGCCAAAGCAGAAGCGGCGAAAGACGATAGGCCACGGGTCGTCAGCGGGTCACGCCTCGGACTCGGACGACGATGACAACGCAAAGTTGGGAGAGGTGAACAAGGTCACTCCTGATGAATTTTGGGAACGGCTCTCCTTCCGTCAAGAATGCATATCCGGCGTGGTCACCGCGTTCTTTGCAGTTGGGCTCTCTCCACGCGCAAAAACCACCGAGCGTCCTGCGCGCACGAACACGAGCACGAGCACGAGCACGGGCACAGCCCCCTCCCCACTCGCCCCGCAGCCGGGCCAGGTTTCGCCACGCATGGTCCGGCGCGTCGTTGCGACGCTCCTAAACCACCATGATTTCTCCTCAACCGAGCGTGCTGTGCGTGCGACGGAGACGCTCGAGGAAGCGATCAAGGGCCTCTGCGAAGACCTCGCGCCGGTGCCGACCTCGTCTATGATCACCGTCCGGCATGCTGATCGCTTGTCCACGCCCGAGCCGGGCCCGTCTCGGGTGACGCTGGATGTTCCGGTGACGCCGCCGCGGCGGACGGGCGCGCGGCAGCATGTCCCTGATACCTCGCCGAACCCCTTTCCCGAGCCTGTTGCATCCCTCGAGACGTACCACTCGTATATATACGGCTCGGTGGCCGTAAGAAACCCCTTGCTGCCCGAAAAATCTGAGGTGCGGTCTGGTAATTCTGCCGTGAGTTCCTCAGGTGGTGCTGCGGCCCCGCCTGTTACCGTGCTCTCCGTACGTAAAAAGCGAAAGGCACCATCTTGACCGCCTTGAACGCGCCGTCCTTGTCCTTATTCTTGGTGCGTCCGTCCCTTTGTGCCATCAAGGAACGCACTGATAATGTAGCAGTATCTCGCGGTCCGTTCTCGGTAATTAGTATCCCATATATGGTGGTTGTTGTATTCCTACTGCAGGTGGTCCTCGAGCATGTGTGCTAGCGTGTATGAACGGTTCTTGAGGACAAGGATGCTCCCGTAATTGTGCCTGATTGATGATGTGCAAGATGTGCGTTCCGCTTCTGACATTTTATGCCTGCTGGTGTGTGCAAACGTGCCTGTCCAGGCCCGCGGGCGGTGTAATCAAGAGCAAAGGTGCCGGGCAGCACGGAACATGATACAGCACTCGTTCAGCTGGGTAAGTACAGAGGGTCAACGCTCAGTAGGCGTGGATCGTCTTGTGGTGATGATTTGCGGTGCAAAGTGAGTGCAGTTGACTGATATGTTTCTTCTCTATATCATGAATTATCTCTCCATTAATGGTATGCTCAGGCAGTCAGGCTCCTTTATTGCTGTAACGTCATGATATCGGCTCGTGCTTGATAGCCATTGGGCAAGAATCAGCCGGAAAGTGTCGGCACGGCCGTCGGAATTCCGTAATGGCGTGGAGATCGTGACTAGAACCGTTGACTAACGAAGAGGAAGGTTCCCATCGATACGGCCAGATGCGCGTTCCGAGTAATTCTGAACAGGCTCAAGCTCAGCATTCGGCACGATGCGTTGCCACTCCCAAGGGTGGATGATGGTCGTGCCCTCGAGGCGCGCCATTTGGAGGTATGTCGCGCCCGGCAGATCGGACGATAGGGAGATGGTTGCGACCGTCCGCCACGATGCGTGTGCAACGATCAGACGCAGGGTTAGCCGTGTTATCGTCGTTGTGCAATGCTCACATGCCATTCCGCCACAGAGCTATCTCCTCGTGAAAGCGCAAAGTCCCGGCGGTGGAGAAGGAGGGCATTCGTCATGGGATAGATACCGGGCTTCCATAGAAGGACGGGTGAAGTTGAAGACGGCCCAAGGAGGGATAGTTTCATGGGAGGGCCGGTTATGGCACGGTGGGATCGAGGGAGCGGCTCTGACGCGAGCGTGTGTATACACGCTCGACCGACTTCGACCATTTGACTCAGGACTTCGGGGGGCCGTTCTAGGCTAGTGGATAGCCGACTCAATCTCATCACCAGCCGGTGACGGTCACAGCGTTCAGGCCTCAGTTCTCAGCGTCGTCCAAGCCCGGCGGTCGTCGCAACGATCAGTACTGTCAATCTGATACAGCATCCTTTCCTCATTGCGGTTTGGCGAGTGCCGGGAGGGAAGAGCAATCCCTATAAATATTCAATTGTCTGCTCGGACGCAGTAGTGAGAGACTGAGGCGCCAGCGTCGATGGGATTACTGGAAGCTTACGTTCAGTGCACGCGTTTCTCGCCCGGAGCCCGTAGCACGCGAGGGCCCGCGCTGTCGGATAGCGACGAGCTTTGATGCACGCTGTTGCATGTTCTGTATCAATCACGTACACGCACGAATGCGACATCCGTGCACCGGCCTGTGCTGCTGGCCATCGCGCTCGCTGAGAGCGGTGTCGTGGGCGCGCTGAGCGGGGGAAGATTGCGGGCATGAGCCGAATAATGAGAAGTTGGATGCGGGGGGACGGAGCGAACCTTGTATAATTGACGGCATCCTATCTGTTGGATTCCATATTTGTTGATCAAATCTATCCGACTTTTGCATTTGGCTTTGCAAGGCCTGGCTGCGTTCGCCCATCACCTTAAGCTCTCCCGCCCGCTGCTGCTCGCCAGCCAGTCCTCGCCACCCCTGCTCATGCTCGCCGTCGCCGTCTGCCATCTCCTCTGACAGTTCTGCTTCGTGCTTGACTGTCGCCGCGCGTCGTGACAGCATTGCCACATTGTTATGCCCGCCAAGCGAGACGTTATGACGACTCAGTCTGCCCAGTCACTGCCCTCCTTTGCCCAGGCGTTCAGCTCGCCCTCTCTACATCGAATCTCACAGTCCAGCAACGCACTGCCTCCGCTTCATCGTCTTGACGCGCAACACGATCGTGGGCGGCAGTCCCCTAACGAACGCGTCTCACCGCAGCACAACATGGAACTGCGCAGGAAACGATTGCACGCAGATATTGCTTCTCCTATTAGAGGACATGACGGATCGGATTCAGAGTGAGTTCGCTATAGACTCGGTGGTGCCCCTCTCTGACTCTGTCGCTGCCTATAGAGGGCGTCGATCTCCTCGCACGGCCCGCAGCGAAGAAGAAGCAGATCGTGACGCTGCGCCCACAACGACCAGCACGCAGCGCGCAGGGGCTCATGAGCAACAGCCAGGAGGCAGCCAGCCCGACCCTCCGCCGTCCCAGCCAGATACGCGGTCTTCCCCCCTGAAGAGGCGGCGCGTCACAATAAGCGGTACTTCTCATCCAATCAACACTAATGTCAAGACCACCGCATCCGAGAATATCAGCACTATCTCTCCTGTCGTCATGGGTCTCACCATACAGCGCGATGACCCGAATGCGCTCGAACAGGTCCGTTCCATGCTGTCCGTCAAGCAGAAACAAAAGGAGCTCATCGAGCAGCGGCGGGGAAGCACCGCCTCGATCGTATCTACCGCCCCTCCCACCGTGAACATTGTCAACGCATTGCTTCCTCCCGACGATCGGCAGATCACACCAAAGCTCACTGCTGCCCTACCGCGAGGAGGACGCCGGAGTCCAAATGTCCCTCAGAACTCTCTAGATCGCCGTCGCTCTGTCATTCCTTCCTCCTCCACGGCGTCTCAGAACGCTTCAGGCCCATCCAACACACGACATACGAGCCCTAATTCGTTTATCGCGAGCAGCCAGCCGCCGCTGCCGCCACCCCCTGCGCCAGGAGAGAATCCGCCCTTCGTACACAACACCACCGCTGTCTCTGCGCATGCTCTGCCTGCACCGCCCATCAGCTTCGCTCACCGCCGCGCAGGGCGGCAGCTTGGCGGGGCGAAGGGTAAGCCTGCGGACATCGTGATCAGCCCCCTCGGGCCCCAATCAGAGAATCTGCAGCCTGTCATCCAGAGTGCTCCTCCTATTCCCCGCGCTGAACAGGCTCTGGGTGCGTCCGCACGGTATCCCAGCATGGCGATCCCGAGCATACCGCAAATAAGCGGGAGCGCACCAAGGCATACGTCTGGCCGGGTGCCGCCTACGCCCACTAGGTTGAGCAATATGCCGCGCACTGCGACGACGAGCCATTTCGCGCAGCCTTCTATTGGCGGCAGCTATAAACGGTCTCCTCAGAATGCATCTGTGCCTATTGCTTCGAGCCTCGTGCCGCCGACACCGACGGGTCTGAACCACCCTGCGTACTCTGGCGAGAAATCCGCCTTTCTCGAACCCTTCTCGATGTTCTACGACGCGCTGGTTGATGCGAAATCTCTAAAGCACTGGCTGAACGAACAAGTGCAAAAGGCTCAGGCGCTGAATATTTCTCTACAACGACAACAGGAGCAACTGCATGATATCGTTGAGACGGCTGTCGAGAAGCGGACCGCAACGATGAGAGAGGACATCTACGTCCTCCACCGACGGATTGAAGAGTTGGAATACGCCTTTCGCAGAGCAGCTGCCCCTGCGCAGAGTTACAGCGCCGCCACGAGCACGCTAAGCGCAAAGGGCAAAGGCAAGGCCAACGGCGCGCCCGCGCATCCGATCCCACCGGATTCGTACACCTTTCCGCCTGTCGACCCACACCTCCGACGTCTCGAGTCCATCAGGCGGGCGCCCTCGCCCATTGAATACGACGCGCGCAGCTTCCCCAACTCTGAAACAGCGTCCCCGGTGCCGTTCGATGTCGGGCGGCGCCTGTCTGTCTCCGCGATCCGCATGGATCCGCGCTCGCCCGTCGGCGCGCACGCAGAAGCGGTGTCAGCGCCACAGCGGAAGACGTTTGGAGTGCCGACGTCGGCGTCGCGCGATCTGCAGGGTCCTGCGTTCCCGCCGCCGCCCGCGGGTGGGTACGCGGGGAAGGACACACGCTCGCCGAAGGTAGTGCATTCGACGGCGGGCGCGTCGTCGTCTCGTAGCCATTTGCATCCGTCGGAGGAGGCGGGCGGCTCGAGAAAGCCGGCGGGCGGGAGAGCGCAGCCGGAGGTGGTGTGGTATCGAGAAGGCAAGGGTTCGCCGGCGTCCAGCGATGGGCGGTCCGAGGGCGCGGTGGGGACGCTGCGGAGAGAAGGTGCGGTCATGTCACCCTCGGGGAGCCGATCGCGTTCGCCTGTGGAGGACGACGCGTAGGTGTGTGTGCGGTGGGTTGGAAAGAAGGTATGAAAAGTGTTTGGCGTCGGCTTTCTTCACGAGCGGTATCGTGGACTCAGTCTTGGGCTTGGGCGTCGGTGGTGTACGTACAGTAAGTACCACGCGCTGGGTTGTTTCTTGGCGTCGTTTGGCTGCCGCGGTTTCGTTCGTTCGTTGTCGTCGTCTTCTTGTCGGCTTGCGTCTGTCGGTTTTGATCTCTCTCTCTCTCTTTCATCGTTTTGTATCGCATTCCAATGTATCAATACGTATCAATTGGCAAGGAAACCCTCTCTGTTCCGTTTCTTGTTAGACAGCGATCCTCAATATGCATGGTATCCGTGAAATGAAACTCAGATATTGATGCAAGATTTGGATTTGCCTGTTTGTGCCGCACAGCCCGAGCACGGTCCTGCTTTCGACTTTGGTGGCTTAACACCGCCTGATCAATTAATGCAGACGCCCATAATGACCGACGAGCGGGCGGTGGCCCTCAGCCACATTAATCAATAATGACGCCAGGCTAGTCTAATCATCCCTTCATCAAGCTCAAGCGTCGGATGGGGATTATTATAACAACTCTGCGTGTCCGTCTTTTGCTTTCTGTACGACTCGCGCATCAAGAGAAGTTGGCGGTACGATTCCTCGTCTGAGCGCAATAACGCGGGCATTGTCGCACCGCGGGCTGTCCACGGCGCCGACGAGCAGGCCGTTCCTGCTGTACACCGCGCAGACGCCGAACGGGCGCAAAGTCTCCAAATTGTTGGAGGAGCTCAAGGCCGTATATGGCATAGAGTACGAGTGAGTCCGCACCGCATCCATCTCACGCGTGGACTCCAGGTGGGGTGAGGGGGGATGATTCATGAACATCCGGATGTCTCCCGCAGCGTGTACAAGATCGACATCTCTCAGGACATGCAGAAGGAGCCCTGGTTCATCGAGCTGAACCCGAACGGGCGCATACCCGTGCTCGTCGATCGGAAGCGTGGGGGCTTCGTCGTGTTCGAGACCGCGGCGATCTTGCTGTATCTTGAGCAGCACTATGATACGCAGCTCGAGTTTTCGTTCGACCCTGTGACGAGCCCGAATGATTATAGCGAGATGCTGCAGTGGATGTTCTTCGCGGTGGGTTTGGGAGTGAAGGCGGTGTAGGGTGTTGTGAGGCTGATAGCATGGCGGTATTGGGCCTATGCAAGGGCAAGGTAAGATCTTCTAGCATAAGCGCGAGATGCGCTTTGACTCAGCGCGTCTCCTAGCGAATCACTTTCTGCGATCCGCTCCTATAGACATCCCGTACGCCAAGAAGCGTAAGTGTAACTAAAGCTCTCCGCTAGACACGACACTCATCGCAACCACAGGATACCTCGACGAGACAAAACGCCTGTACGGGGTGCTGAACATCCGTCTGGCCAATCGCGACTGGCTAGCAGGACCAGAGCGTGGCAAATACAGCATCGCGGATATGAACGCATTCCCTCGGTTCGTGATGCGATGGCTTGACGTAAATATTCATACGTGTTTACGTCCAGCGCAGGGTGAAAAACTACGGGTACTGCGGGATTGAGACCCTTGACGAGTGGCCACGCGTCAATTGCACTCGCACGATACCTTCTATTGGGGGAAGGGGATGCTAATGGCTACTATATCGTCTAGGCGTGGATCGAGCGAACCGCAGAACGGCCTGCAGTTAGAACGGGAATGGCAGTCCCATCATCCTTGCTTCTTATTTCACATCGTGGGTAACGGATGCAGGAGTTGGCCTTCCCATAGATGGCATTACATCCGACATGTGGAATATTAGAAGTGTTGCATACACTGAGATCATCATGGAGTGGTGTCCTCCAGCCACGCCGCAAACTCCGTTCCGACGTCCAAAACCACGCTAGAGAAGCCCACTCCACCATGCGGCCTCCACCCCTGAGTGGTTCCCAAACACGAGCAAGCGTTTACTATTTATTCTGCTACAAAGGTTTCACGTTTCGGTACATGATCGAACTGCGTAGAAGATGTCCCTGATCGAAGTGAAACGTCCAAGAACGCGGTCTACAGAGGGAATAGGTCCGATTGAGTGCATTGCCAAGTCGGATGTGCGCATTTACCGGCGGGTCCGCTGCACACGCCTCCGGGGTAACGACGTCATGCGAACAGTGCAGCCTCCCCGTGTGGCGTCTCCGAGATGAGATACGCAATGATAACGCAGATGCCCCGGTGGAACGACATCCGTATAGAGGTCCCTAAGAGTCCATGTACATAATTCGAGAGAGCTGAAGCAGTATGATACACGTGAACGTCTCCGCGTACAGTGGCAAGCAAGTCGGGTACCCATGAGATCATCACGATGGCCCGGAGTCTGACGACATCATACGTCATACGCGGACATCAGAAGCGCAGCGCAAAGACACACGTACCGGAATAAAACAGCGATGAATGGACGGCGAAGGGAACGGACGGAGAATGAATTAATCGTACAAGTAGTAGTTTCAGGCCGACGTCAAGCATCGTCGCTGTGTGCGGAACCGATTAGTAGGCGCAAATTAGTGCTAAGAGGAAAGACGTCATCGTACCAAATTAGTGATCTTGTTGCCGTGTCCGCAATGTCTCGTGCGCCGCAGAAACGACAGCAGGCTGAGACTGAGACTGGCTTGCTGACGTTGTCACGCTCTCCACCCGGCTCGACATGTCCGTCCACAACTCCAGCGTGTATCGGTACATCTCCTCCGCATAACAAAAGAGCGCATGCTTGATGTCGGTTGGGTAGATCTCCTGGTCTGGCTTGTTCGACATCAGGAGGAACAGATCGAGGAGCGGGGCGGCGGGGGTAGTAGGGCGCGGGGCGGAGGATGACGGAAGAAAGAGAAAGGGGGAGAGTTTACCGTCTGAGATATGCGCGGCCATTTAAAGATATGGAGAGGATGTGGCCTCGGGGCATCGCCGCCTCTAGAACGGGACATTTGTTCGCATGCCGTGCTGCTCGTCGAAGCGCTGTGCGGGGATCGAGATGCCCAGTGACCTGTGCCGAGCGGTATCATGCCAGAGGAAATGCGAAGTATATTCGAAGCGAAAGCCAACAGCTGGGCTGGGCTTTGTACGTCATCGTGTGAGAGCACAATGAAACGCGATGCATCCGGTCGTGCTACGTTCCATGAAATCGGAGAGGCGGCGTCTGGATCCACTGAGGCTCAGCTTGAGCTTGAGCGCTGCGCGTGGTTGGCGTGGAATACGGTCATGACAACGCCAAACAGCGTGCTCCGCTGCTCGCCAAGCGACTGTCGCCTGCAGAGTCTGTGAAGACACTCCAGTGCCGGCGATTATGCAGACAGATGGCGACAGCATCGCGAGAGCAGTTGTCGAGCCAATTCTGTCCGCTATCGTACCCAGGGGCACGCGATGACATATGCAGCGAAGGTAGCCATGACACATAGAACCGTCGACTGGACCGTCTTTTGACTCTGGAAAGGCGAGAGCCTATTCCGGGGTTCGCCTGTGAGCCAGGGAGCCGTGCCGCTGTCATGTGGGAGGTCTCTAGGCCCTTCAGTTGACCATTGAAAGAATTGTAATTCAGTAGAACTGATGTCCTCACCGAGTGTTATAAACTATGGGCAGGCAGGCTAGGCCGCCGAGCACAGAAGTAGGGTCTAGGTAAATTTTGCGTCTTAGTGTCTGTATTCGTATAGGTCGACGATGCCAACATTCATGTAGCGAAGTAGAGAAGGCATACGTTATACGCCTGAGGGCGCCGAGAGCGCTCTCAGCTTCGAGCGCTCAATGACGACACTGCATGAGCGAACGGATCTCAAAAGAGTATTTCTTGTCCAACTTTACCGACTGCATGCACGAAGGTGTGAATGAGAGCTGTGAGAACATGACAATTCGTTCGGGATTCAAGTTACTGTTGTGGAATTGAGCGAAGTTCAGGAAGAGCAATGTGCGGCGCTTATCATCCCTTTCGCTCTTTGCCGATTCGGCAAATGCCGTGAAGCGCCGGGCGCTATACCTTGCAAAGCTCGCTCGCATCTGACTATCCAGGCGCGGGCCAGCATGAAACTCAAACTACCAGGCAACCTCAATGTGTTCCCTAGAGCGCAAAAATACCTGCCCCGGAGGCCTCCATCTCGCTTTCCCGACCCGCTGGTCAACAATCCGAATGCAGCGTATCAACAGGTCGCGGAAGACGTGACCTTCATCCACCGCCCGCCGCCCACCATGCCCTCACCGCACTCCTTCACCACCGCACCCGCGTCTCCGCTCCTGCGAAGCGCGTCCTCATCGGTGAACGGGCTCATGCCCCCCGCGCTCCAAAAGCCCCGCCCGGAGCAGCCAAAGGTGCTCTCGGACGAGGAGCTCGCGAGGCTGAGGGAGCTGCGCAAGGCGGACCCGGGGCATTGGACGCGTAGGCGGCTCGCTAAGGAGTTTGGGTGCTCGCCGATGTTCGTGAAGCTTGTTGCGCCGCTGAGCAAGCAGGCTAGAAGGGCGGCGACGGAGAAGAGGGAGAGTGAGCATGATGAGGCAAGGAGTACGTGGGGACCGAGGAAGGCGCTCGTAAGAGACGCGAGGAGGAGACGCAGGGAGTTCTGGTAGAGCGTGAGAGGATTGGCGGTACGACGGGCTCGGAAAATGCTGGCTTGGTGCGTGATCATCTTTCGCCCCGCTGCATATGCTGAGCTGTTTATGAACGCGACAGATTGCCTACAAAAGCCGGCCTCAGTCTCACTTATCTCTCTACTGCCTCCTTCTACCGACTTGCTGTGTCCCGGAAATGCACATTGCGTCCCATTGCACGGCGAGCTATCAGGCTCATCAGACTCAGAGCGGTTGTCCGCTTCATCATGGTAAAAAATCGGCCACTTGCGGATCGGATGCCTGATTCCATAAGCCTTGCTGTATTCAGTGTGTCCAGCAGAGTCTGGTTAGCTGCCTTCTCAAATGCATCCAGGAGCATGCCCCCTCCAGTCTCGAAGTGCATCAGTAAAATCAAGTGTTGCCAGCCACACAGTTTGTGAAATGCTCTGAGCTCAGTCGACTCATATGCGTGACACTGGCCTCCGCAGTGGCGGATATGTGACAATATAATGTTCCGGATTACATTGTCACATATCCTCCCTTTCAGCTCAGTGCAGCGTCCTGACAGTGATCCGCCTTCTCGCCCGTTGGCTCTTATACATTGTTAGCCGGAACTCGATGAAGCCACGTATTGATGAGAATGAAATACCATCACGTCTCGAGTCTGGTCATTCGCGCACAACCTTGAGCTTCAGCCAAAGGAGGCAACCGAATTGTGTCCTCTGCCTGCCAGATGCGATCAAAACTCCACGTGCGACTGATGGCGCGGGCGTTCAGTAGAGCATCCATAAATAGCAATACGGAGGCGCGCTTACATTCACTCTAACCTGCATATTTGCCTTTGGTCTCTCATATCATGCCTCGTCGACGTGACGACAAGTCAAATGGAGCTCGTCGAAAGCTCCGCGGCGTTGATCCAAAGGAGAGCAAAATCGTTCGTTGGGAGAGGCCGGAAGACATACCGTTAGACGACGAGGACCAATGTACGTACGTCTGTTCTCTACGGAGGAATAGACACAGTGCTGAACGCGGGGTGTGACTCTTAGTCCATGCGTCCAAAGATAAGATTCTCCTTGATGGGGATAATTACGGCGAGATCGATGAAGGCGACGAAGACGAGGTGTTCGCGCTGAAGGGCATCCCGGACGACTCGGAGGATGAAGATGAGGACGACGACGACGAAGAGAAAGCAGGTGAAGACGAGGGAGACGAAGACTCAGACGACCTTGAGGAACTGCAAGCGTTGCAGAAGAAGAGCAAAAAGGCTGAGGACAAAAAGGGGAAGAAGGGCAAAAAGGGCAAGGCAGCGCAGGCACCGCCATCCTCCGCATCGGACGAGGGATCAGAGGAGGAGGAAGGGTGGGGCAAGAACAAGTCTGCGTATTACTCGTCCAATGCGGCGCAGATCGAGTCGGACGATGAGGAGGCGAACGAGCTGGAGGAACAGGAGGCGAAGCGGCTGCAAACGAAGGCGAGGGAGGCTCTCGCGGATGAGGACTTTGGGCTGGGTGATTTGGTCGAGGGCGCTGCTGAGCAGGACGAGTACGTCCCCTTCTCCTAATAACTCCACTCTCTGCTCACAATTGCATCAGCGTGTTCATGGACGCGCCAGCTTCTGCCGTTCAGCCACTACCTCAGGACAAGCAGAGTCTTCTGCGTCATCTCGAGAAGACAAGCCCAGAGGCTTTGGCGTTAGCACGCGACTGGGACGATGTCGCACACAAGCTTGTGCAAACGCAGATCATAAATGCACAGTATGTCTCACAGCTGCGTGGTGTGTCACAAGCACTGACCGTGAAACTAGGATCCATGCCAAGACTGCCGATGCTCTCATTCTCGGTATGGCCCATTTGCACTACCGTACGTCGCCCAAGGGCTCATCTGTTGCAGTCAAGCTAATTTTACGCAGAGGCACTCATCACGTATTGCACTACACTGGCGTTCTACCTGCACCTACGGTCGCAGGAGAAGTACGCACGACGACCGGAGCTTCTCCGCTCTCACCCTATTTTCCCTCGGCTGCTTACTCTCAAGCAATCTTTAACAACGCTCGAGGATCTCAATCTCGGTATCTCCTCGGATGATGAAGACGAAAGCCCCCCGGGTGAGAACGATCCCATGGTGGACGCCGAGCAGCGGTGGTTTTTTGAGAATAGCAAGGGTCTGGAGTTGGGTGAGCTCGAGGAGCTGCTCCAGCAGGCTGATTTCATGATGGCGGATGGGGACGGTGAGGACACGATGCCCAAAGCCAAGCCAAAACCCAAGAAAACAGTTATTGAAGAACCACCGAAGAAGAGGCGCAAGACGGAGAAGAAGGCCAGCGCGGATCCCAAACCTACCGTTCCCGTCTTCGACCTCATCGAGCCCGATATGTCGCAATTCAAATCGACATCGTCCAAGAGCAGGCACGACTCTTCCTCTTCCGCGGACGTGTACGGTGAGGCGACCGCGCTGGACTCGGCCGACGCCGCGGACAAGCAAGCACGCAAGAAGTCGCTGCGGTTCCACGCGGCCAGGATCGAGAGCACCAGCGCGCGCCGACATAGCGCGCGCTCCGCTGCGATGGGCGGCGATGACGACATACCGTACCGCGAGCGCAAAAAGCAGAAGGAGGAACGGCTCCTGCGCGAGGCGGCGGCGAAACATCCCGGGCAGGGCGGCGATGACCTCGATGACGTCGAGCCGGAGCCTCGGGCCACTCAAACTCAAAAGGAGAAGAAGAAGCGCGCGAGGGAGAGCGACGGCGAGTCTGGCAGCGATGAAGGAGGGGAGGATGGCTATTATGAGCTGGTTCAGCGCGCGTCAAAGGAGCGGAAGGAGAAAAAGAAGGCGGAATACGAGGCTGCGAGGGCTGCGGCGAGGTAAGTGCATTCCGCGTTCACTCTAGTCACGATCCGTGCTCACTCATCATGGTGGCGTCGCAGGCCGGATATCGATGAGAGTGCAGCAGACGGTCCTCGTGCGCTCACCCGCGCTATTTTGAAAAACAAGGGCTTGACTCCCCATCGCGGGAAGAGCGTGCGGAACCCCCGTGTCAAGAAACGGCAGAGGTTTGAGAAGGCGAAAAAGAAAGTCGCGTCGCAGAAGGCTGTCTACAAGGGTGGCATCGGGGCCACTGGCGTATATGGGGGCGAAAAGTCCGGCATCACGCGTGTGGTCAAGAGTATTCGCCTGTAGAGTCAATCGCAACTGTTATTGTGACCGGATTTCTACCATACGCAATGGCATTGATCTTACATGATGTTCGATTGCCTTATCCTTTTATTAACCCAAACCCGACTTTTAGTAACTACAGCAGTGACCAGAGCACTTAGTACAAGGGAAAGATGAGAGACTGCTACAAGTCTATGAGGAAGTCCGCAGCCAAGAGATCAAATAAGTCCATCTGAAAGCAGTTCGAGAGCACGCAGTCCTTCACAAGCCGTCCGTTCCGTCCATCCATTCATTTAGCCTACCATCAACTGTGATATCCCGCCCCGAACAACGGCTGGTCGACATTCATCGCATGCACATGGTCGACTCCCATCCCCGAAGGCGTCCTGGGATCGACGGAAGCCATGTAATTCAGCTCCGTGTCCCTGTTCACGGCCTGGTGGTAGAGGCGTTGCATCTCATTTGCCTGCTCGGCGCACTCCTCGTACGCGTAGCTGTACTGCTGCAGCCCGTCGATGCAATTCTGCACTTCGGGGCGTCCGAGGCGCGCGAGGAGCATCCCGGCCTGGATGATGCTGACGTGCATCACCGCCGAGTCGAGCTTCTGTAAGTCACAAGTGCGTGAGATCATCGGCCAAGCTCTGGTTGTATCGCGCTCGGAAGATCAGAAAAAGACGAACCAGATACCCATTTTGTGCCAAAATACCCGCCTGTGATCGTCAATATTCCGTCAGCTCCCTGTCCAAATGTGCTCTAGAAGCGATCAAAGGATCTGCATCTTACCAGTCCTGCGATGCGCGATGCCGATTGCAGCGCCATGTCCATCACTTTCTGCTTGTACTCCTCTATCACGTCGGTATTAGGCAGGTACTGCCCGGGGCTTCCCGCGCGCATCGCTTCTTGTACGTCCCTGATCTCCTTGATGCCAAAGTCGTCCGCGGCGTTGAACAAGATGATCCACATGATGTGATACGTCGCGTCGCTCGCGCCTGTAATGGCATGTATTCATTTTCAGCAGGATGATCGCCGAGACATGGCAAATGGAGCACTCACATGACGTGACAGCACTAACAAAGTCCCAATTCGACGGCAGCGCGTTCGTCGGTACCCCGATCATCGAGAGGTATTGCTCGCGCCACCCGGTCAGCGCCTCAATAAAATGTTTGAATACGTCAACGGGGATCCCGTCCGACTCGGTCGCAGGCCGCCACAACTGGCGAGACATGTTCCGGGCAATCCGTGCCAGCGCGTGTGCAGCGCGGTAGTATCCCTGGATCATACGCACGGTTGATTGCTGGGGATATTGAGGTATAGACAGCGTGCTGCTGCTTACCAGGAACTATGAGACGCATGACACACGAACGACAGCGCAGCAGATGAGGTTAGAGATAGAAAGGTTCGACGACCGGAAGCCCTACCTCCAGCTGTTCCCTTGGCGAGGGCGGCGTCTCTTCTTGCGCTTCCATGTTTTCGGGAGGCACCGGCCCCGCCGTGTAGAAATCAATGTCATAATCGTCGTCGTCTCTGTAAGCAACCGTCAAACAACGCATGTAGCATCACCATCAGAAGAAACCCACAGCATCGGCTTTCTCCTGTAGTACGCGCTTCCATATGCCTCAGCGATGCAAGCCATCCACCATGCAAAGACCATCGTCCCTCGCTCTTCTGGATCTTGGATGTTGACCATGACCGACTTGCGGTTGATCTACATCTTGACATTAGAAGACCAAGCAAATGGTCGGCAAAACAAAGCGCTATCCTACCTGGAGTTCCAGCAGCATGCGAATGGCAGATCCTATCCAGAAGCCATGATAGCCTAGAGCAACCGATCAATGCCAATCTTTGCCACTGTCACCAAGCATACCAAGGGAGTTGCCTTTGCTTTCTAAGAAGCGAGATAGAGGTCAGTTACTCGGAGGGATCGTCTCCCAACAAAGGTGAAACGCACGGCTCTGCATCGTTTCTATTAATAGTGCAATGACTACGTGTTCGGCACTCGGAATGCGATGCACTTTCAGGTCTTCTGCAAGGTCTCTCGCGCGGTTGACGAGCATCTTGGCAAGACGACTATGATTATTATTCCTCATCCGGTCGCGCATGAACACCGGGTGCTCGGAGAATTTGGCACCCCAAGCAATCACCGTCGCAACGAGCCTGAAGACAAGACATCGCGAGTCAATCTGCCAGAATGAGCCTGCTAGAAGCAGAGAGCTTACGCAGGATGAAGCGGACGAAGAGTGTCGTTATGTCCATGGTGACTCCGGGACCCGAAAGGACTTCCAGGTGAAGTGCTAGGCGGGCTGTGCGAACTGTGACTGCGAGAGCGGGAGCTCATATGCAGGCTGAGACGCAAGCGTGCTCGGAATTGTGCAGGGTTCAGTAATGGGATGCGTGAGTGCACTATCTGGAAAAACACTTCTACCAAATCCAAAGCGAGGCTGCAGCATTGTATGTCAATCAGCTCACACGACAAATACCTCGAATGATGAGCTGACGCAACTCGGTACGGTATGAGTCTTCGGCGAGACTTGGCGCGAGTTCGCCCCATTCGGCATACGCGTTCGCTATTCCAGGCGAGCTGTATCCATGGCCAGCGCTGACGAAACATATTGTCAGCCTACTCATGTCACACTTCGCGTCGCAGCGAGAGATGAACCTGGAAGTTGGCGGGGAGAAGAGATAGGCAAGCAGATCACGTATCGATGTAGAAGACGAGATGGGACTGCCGCCCTGCAGAGCCCTGAATGACGTTGGGGTGGAATAGTTGGGTGAGGAGGGCAGCGACTGGTCCGCGGCGGGGCTGCTGATGGAGAAGACCGGTGAGCGCCCCGTGGTGGCACGAGATCCTGATCTGGCTTACACGCGTGAAGAGCCCGGCGTAGCGCTGTGAGTGCGGAGCCGACGATGATCAGAATACAATCAATGGCGAACGAGATCTAGGCTGTGTTCTCACTTATTCTGAGACGTGCTCAGCGTCCGGGGCCGTCGAGCGGCATTACGCTTCTTCTCTGTAGTGGCTTGTTGCACGAAGTGTCTGTGGGACATTAGCCGTTTAGGAGAGCGTTTCGCGTAAAGAGGCTGGCGACGAACGTGCACGGGTAATTCTTAGACAGGCAATGCTGTAATGGGCTCATCGTAAGCGGGCCAACTGTGTAGTGTTTCCGTAAATCAAGGTACCTGGCACTAGAAACGGAGTCAGCATGCGTGCATGAAGAACACATGTACCGCTCACCTTCTCTTGCCCCAAGACCGGCTGGCACTTCACTTTACGCGCCCTGGTAATTAGGAGGTCAATATGAGCCTGTACCTGAGCTGGGGTGACGACAACGGGGCTGTGCAGCGCAACGTACCTGCAAGCATCGCAGGCTGTATTTTGCTTGCGCGGCGGGGGGAGAGTCTTGGCCAGTTCGTGAATTTGATTCTGCATGGTCGTACTCGTCAAATTGAAGGCTGCAACGGCGAGGTGAGCCCAAGCTGGCACACAGCGGCGGGGAGGAAGGGAGCGTCGAACAGACCTTGGGATACGGCGTGCGGGAGGTCGTGGACGCTGTCGTGCGCGTCCATGACGGTGGTTAAGAGGGAAAGGGCGACGGACCTGGAATGCCTTGTTCGAGGAGGTCAATGAGTGGCTTGTGCCGGCAAAGAGCGTCGACCCATCTTGCTTGCTTACGATTTCCGGCAGGCGAACAAGATCGAATCTCGGGCCCGATCCACCACGTGGCCGCTCCTTCCGCCGCACGGGCCAATCCCGGATCTCCGGTTTGTCGGTTTGCCCTAATCAGGCACAGTCTACCCGGCGCCGTACGTAAGTTTCTCCCACGAATTTATTCGACGCCGCGGCTGCTGGAATTGAGTAGAGTCACACACAAGTCACGTCGACTCATTCATGTGCAGTCACGGCACATCACATCGAGTCACACAGCGCCACACGCTCCCGAGCGAGCTCACGTGCACTGACGCGCGGTCCAAAATTTGGAAGGCTCGCCGTCGCCATCACCGACCACCTATTAGCCCGCCATGGTCAAAGTCGACATCATCGAGGAAAAGGACCAGGACGCCAACTCCCCCTACGCCTCCCCCTCCTCGTCGCGCACATCCTCCTCCGTCTCCCTCTCTAACGTAAGCGATGCCGAGCTCGACCTCGAAGAGTCTCTCTACGAGCGCATTGTCGCCCTCGTCGACATCGTACCTCCTTCCACCCGCCACAAAATAAACTCCCGCGTTTCCAAGGCGGCCGGCTTTGTCAAGGGTACCGGCAAGCTCGTCGGCAACCTCGTGTGGATAGTCACCACGAGCGCGCTCCTCATCGGCCTCCCGCTTGCTCTCAGCCTAGAGGACGAGGCCAAGATCGTGCAGCAGGAGAAGGAGATGCTGGCTCAGCAGCAGGGTGCGCAGCATGTAAGTCCCATTACTACAGTTTCGCCGACGACCCGCGCCATGCTCACCCTCTCTACGTCGCCAGATGGCTTCCATGTACGCTCCGTCGAATCCCAACCAACAACAGCAAAAGGGAGTCGTTCCCCCGGGATTCTAGACCTCTCCGCCGTCCCCATCCTGCTTCTTTCTTGCTATATTGTATCATTAATAGCTCCCCGATCATCTGTATTTCGCTGGCCTCTCCCATTCGGCGCCGCATTGGCCCTTTTCCTGCGAACGGCCCTCCGCCGGCGTGCCACGATTTCCCAGCCAAGTATACTATGACGCTTCTCGCTGATACATGCTCCTCACATCGAGAGCCTAGCAACGCTGCAGACGTTCTTCGCTGTTATTGCGGAACCGCCGGTAGTCATGATAACCTCTTTAGTCTGTAATTACCGTCACCGCGAGATGCCTATCACCGGACGTCATCTCAAATCGTCAGACCATCTCTACAATTGCTTAGAGCCGGACCTGCGATAACCATCGCCGCGACGCTGAATTGCAGCGGAGGACTTCTCGGGCCAGAGCAACGGAATTTCAATTGAATGACAACACATGGGATCACACGTTATGGCAACTCGTACTGCCAGACCGTATCTCATCAGCCACCTGAACGACGTGCGAACATAGCGATTTACATACCAGAGCCTCCCGCGATGCAGGCAACTGCACGGCACGCGAGTAATTCTCTCTGTGAACCGAGCCACGTCAGTCGACTCACCATTCAACTCGTGTCACAGAGAACTTACGCCGAGCGGTACCGTCTCAGATAAGTGATTGCATGCTGCTCAATCTCGTCAGGGACGACGCCGACCTTGTCCCAGTCACCGGGGACGTCCACGTCATCAAGGTAACGACGCAGCACTTCGTCAGGGCTGATCGCCGGCCACCACACATTCTGCGCGACTTTGGAAAGCGCAAGCGCGATGCGCTTCGGTAAGATGGGTGCGCGATCGGGTGCGCGGCAGGTCACAGCCGACACAAGGGTGAGCAGGTACTCGTGGGTGAGGGTAGAGGGCCCAGGCAGGTTGAGTGTGCCCGGAAGCGAAGGGACCGAAAGGAGGTTCGTGAGCGCTTGTGCAACGTCGAAGACCTGTGTGAAACTTGAGGCCTGCAGTACGTGAAGCGACAACGTCTAGTACGTACATGCACCGGGCGAACTTTCGTTCGCATATGGTTAAGTTTCCACCAGATGGGCCAGACTGCCGTCACGATGTCAATGGTTGCGAGCCGAGCACCGCATTTCGCGACGCGACACACCTGCCATGTTCGTCAAGAATTTGTCCTCATAGCCGTACATGGCCGCGGGCCGGACGATCGTCGCGGTCGGGAACGCCTCCTTGACGAGGTCCTCGCCGCGAGCCTTGGACTTGTAGAACTCGGATGGCGAGTCGTGCGACGCGTTCAGATGCGAGACGTGAACGAAGCGTGCGACGCCCGCCCGTGCGGCGATGCTTGCGATGCGGTGTGCGCCGTCTTTGTGGACGGCGTCGAAAGTGAAGTTCCTTCGTGAGTTTGAGAGGGTGAGCGGTCGAGGCGGAAACGAGGGATGGAAAGCATACTTTGTCTCGTAGTTCCTGCCGACAAGGTTGTACACAATGTCAGAGTGCCTCAGACACTCTTCAATCTGATCCTCCCTCCGGAGGTCCCACTCCTGCCTCCCATAGCGTCATCAGCGGCTCACCCCTCCATAACCGCGACACAAACGCACCGTCGGGATAATCTGCCCAAGATCCCCCATCGGCCTCAAGTGCCTCTTCTCATCCTCATCTCTATACGGAATAATAATCTGCGTGCCCGACTTCGCTGCGAAGCCCCACGTCGCGTCAAATCAGCCGGCATCCAACACAAAGTTCAATGCAACGCACCGAGCTTCGCTACGAGATATCTTCCTAAGAAACCGGTGCATCCAAACACGGTAGCGACATGTCCCGTCACCGCACTCCTTCCCGGTGGGCCATACGAGATAATGGGCTTGTTGTGGGGCAGGGTGAGGAGGTCATGCAATGACCGCTATGTCCAACCCGCGCATTCATCAATCTTATCATAACCGCTGGTCGACGAGAGAGCTCACCTTGCTCTGCGAAGTGGCGACGCGCTGCAGACGCACGCAATTTGAGGATACGACCAACATTTCCGCTGGGACGATGAGCAGCACCTTTGTCCTCGCTGCCGCCGTTCGTCTCGCCTCGACCGGCTTTTTCCGAGGTGCATGATCGTGCATCAGTCTTTCCTCCTATGGCAAGCATCGGTGGCCCCAACTTCAACTTCTAACGTATTACATGCGAGTGGTCGAGCACAGTCCCGCAGTTTGCATGGAGCTGTTAGTTCATGGCTCTCAGGCTGATTGATTCATGCATTGCTAGTACAACGGTTCGTCGGCTGGTCACACTCTCCTCAGCGGCCGTCCGGAACCGTCGCGTCAACGGTCGGCGTATCCTCGCTTCGTCCAAATTCTCTCGCTTTGCACTATATTTATGCTCTGTGAAGATAGGGAACGCTTTGTACACTTGGGATCATAGGTTCGAAGAGGGCACCAGTATCACCAAGGTCGTCATCATGTCGAGATATACATGTGAGCTAGTGAGAACAGCCTACCGCTTTCTCTATAGGCCATAAATATGGACTGCTGACAAGGGCATCTGTCAATAGATTCCTAAACTGTCTATGTATTTATCATCTTCCGTGAAAACTGCTTCCAGGGCCGTAGTCGTCTGATGCACTATCGCTAGGCATTGACAGATTATACAGCACCGTCTTGTGAGATTGGGTAGCCTGTTTTGCGCCTCAGTGTGAAATTGATGGTGTAACCTGGCCAATGCATCACGCCACACGGCCTGAGATTGTTGGGGGAGGGGTCAGGATAGGGATCAAACTCAGTCGCGTTCATGCAACTGAGCCGAGTACACCTCGGACAAGGTTCGGTGGTCCTGGTCTGACAGCAAGGTGTGTCTGTGCGTTACTATCACCGTGCCTTCTATCTTTCTCACCAAGGTTGTTTCATTGATCACGCGAAGAGTCGTCTTCGCTACAATCAGTAAATTTCATCAACCACTTCAAGGCGCGGAAGGGATATGTGTCTCAGAAAGGCCGGTCACGGAACCTCCCGGTTGGCATATGAGAGTGAGAAGCTATCTGTCCATCTTTGCGCAGCCTGAATGCGCTCACACTGGTACTATTAACAGCGCTGTGCCTTCAGCATCCGTCCGTGTGGTCGTCATTGCTCAGTAATGTCTCAGTCAAACGACGATCACTCGCCGAAGGCACCGGTCTTCTGCAAACGTTGTGAGCTCCTTATGTTGCCGTTGTCAGTCAGCATAGTTGACCTTGCAACAATTTCACCAGTGTCGTGAGCAATAACTTTAAATTCGCAATAGTTAGTGCATCCTCAGAATACTTCCGATGCCCCTAAAATCAATTCTGTGGAATAGCGGTGATATTCTATGAATCCATTTTCACTAGCTCCGAAGAAGCTGCTCTCGTGTGGTCTGGGCCATCTGACAAGAGGCCACTACAGTCTTTCCGTTGAACCGCCTCTGCTTTCCCCCGGGGTTAGTGGTCTTCTCCTCAAGTGCAAAATCAAGTTTTTCTCATCTATGGTATGCTTATCACCATCAGAGGTGGATGTTGCATAACAATGTGTCTTATAGAAGTTTATGACGGTTACAATGTAACTCAAGATGTGAAGCAAATAGTGTGCTTGACGCCTGTACAACCTTGGCCGTACAGGCTACAACGGCAGGTGCGCTGCACGTTCCTTGTCTCTGATGTGTAATCTTTCAGCGCTATACCTTGGGTTTATTTTACGAACTTTGTCGCTAAAATAAGTCATAGGGTGATTTTCAAGGGAGACGTCCGCTGGTGAGTGAACTTTGAACCGATCATGTTGTTCGGCGCGCTTGATCGGCATTTTCCGTGCTCCTGGATGTCTCCAGTGTCTTCGGTTGCCTCTCCTAAGTAGTATGATGACAAGCACAGCACATCTCGTCTCAACCACCATATTCGCAAATCAAATGTTTGTTTGAAACAGGCACCCTGTGGAGCATGCATCGTCACTACGCATTGTGCCGGACGTGAGCTTTCGACGTTGGCGTTCAACTCACACTACAGACTCTTCGGAATAGCTGTGTCAGCTGTCCGAGTACCCGTTGTTGCCGCTCATATTATGGGCTCAGCTCCGATATTAACGCATCTGCTTCATTCTCGCCAGTGTCTCGACAGAGGTGGTCCGCCTTGATCATCTGGGTCAATCCACGCCCATCGAGGATCGAATCTTCACAGATTTGCGGTATGACTTCCGGACTGCGAAAGAGACCAGTGCGTGTAATTTCGCCACATGTTCTGTCACTGTACTGCAGACCATCAAGACTACTAAGAAGAGTGTGCAGGAGGCAGAAGGCGACACAAAAGATTTGTAACCGCGTTCTCCGGATGCGGTGCCAACCTCTGTAGTCACAGTGCGCGGATGACACAGTTGAGTCAAGTCGGCCTATATCACACTGCCTGAATATTATGATTAACAGTCCGTATACACGTGGAGATGAGATGATGCATTTACAACAAAGTACACAGCGAGCACAGCGGATCATTTGAATCATGATGGTCGTTGAGTTTGCTCGAACGTTTGGAAGCGAGGCGAGTTGGACCGAAGTCCGTGAACGGTTATTTCCGTACTTTAAAAGCGTATGGCAGATGCTAGGGTCTCTACGTGGTCGTAGAAAGGTACTTCGTCATCGAACATCCTTACCAGAGCGACGTTCCCACCGACACATTGACAAGGAGCCGCCTGTCGGGAAGAATGGCTTCGTCAAATCAAACAACACTATTTCAAGACATCGAGATCTTACAACCACTGTGAGTTCCACTTTGCTGATCACCTTGGTTTGCGGTTGACGTTGCACTTTGTTCTAGTGTTGCAATTAAGTACTGCTGGATCGCAAGCGCTGGTATGTCCGAGGAAATGTTTGAATTGAACTTGACTGAGTCCTTGCGTCCCAGCTATAGTACTCTATGAATATATACTCACACTACCGGAGGAGATGTCCCTTGTTTGGTTCGGCCACCTGACAATTACCAACGTGCTCTTCGTGGCAAACAGATACTTTCTCTTGTCACTGGGATTTGCAAATGCTATAGAATCGTTATATTGGTCCTCTTCGCAAGTAAGATTCCAAGCTTTTCCCGCTTGTGCGTGACTCACACTTTCCAGGGGTAATTCAGTCTGGTGCTGATATACCATATTCATCGCACTAACGATATTACCTAAAGGTGTGAAGCGACAACAATGCTTGCTGACTGCGCAAACGTGGCGGTACAGGTTGTAACAGCAGGTCAGTCGCAAAACGATCGCTCAAACTACAGCGCTCATCGAACTGCTCAAACGAACAGGGCTCTCCGCTTTGCGGGTTTATGCAATTGGTGGCCATCGAATGATACTTCCTACACTTGTCTTAGCATTCGGGTTGGCTCCAGCGATCTGTAACGTCGTCAGTCCACCCTTGATGCCTTTTGTCGTCTGCATTCATCCAGATCTCTAGTACATCATGACGCGCATATCGGGGATGTCCGTGCTCTACATCGTGAATGTTCCACTATGCAACACCAACTCATCGCCATCACAGGCATTGCAAAATCCGTGAGGCATTTCTCATCCCTATGTCCTCAACGTTGAGAGTAATGATATTCTGTCCAGACGTATGTATTGAGAATGTTCACAACCCTGCTTAGTTTGTTGAAGCGATTGAAGTGATCTTTGTGTCCCGTTTGTGTCCAATCACGTCCGACATGATCGTCCTTGTAGTCACCTGGATCAAGACGTACAAATTCGCGAGAGAAGCTCGTTCGACAACATTAGCCTTCTTTCTGCTACGAGATGGTGCGTTTGATGTCTAATATTGCTGCAATATGACTGAAAGATGTCGTAGGCACGCTATACTTTTCGTATGTCAGTCGTAGCGAGCGATAGACACTGATGCTTACTCGCGCTGGGTAGCTCACTTCTCGCTTTGAATATTTTCGAGATAGTCCTTGCCTTGACAATGCAGTTCGAACAGGTATGCGTGTTGTTCATTTCTGGCGTATTGACATCATAACGTAATATAGCAACCTGCGTATAGCTATGTTTCGACATTCTTGGGCCCGTGAGCATGAACTTTTCTAGGATATGATAACGTTGTCATGTTTATCAAACTCGAAGGATATCATCTATCCTACTGACACGCTTTGTGTTGAACTTACGCCGAGCCCATACTACCATTGTCGACTCACAGGAACTCACGCACTCCACCGCCTCCGAGGTGCAGAGCACGGTGTTCACGTCCATAATTGTCGGCAACATGGATGCCGATCTGGATTTCAATCAAGACGCTGACACAGATGTTGTGGACAATGTGGAAGAGGGTTGGGACTGGGAAGCTGTCGAGGATGGCACCCGCGCAGAGGTCCAATAGGATGACAGTGTTGAAATATACAGTCTTGAAGGTCCCGCTGGTGAGTGAACTTTGAATCAATGAATGTTGTTCGGCGCGCCTGATCGGCATTTTCCGTGCTCCTGGATGTCTCCTTGTCCATCTGTCTTCGGTTGCCCTCTCCTACGTAACATAGCTCATCTCATCTCAACCAGCATATTCGTACTTCGAATGTTCGTTTGAAACAGGCACCCTCTGCAACACGCATCGTACGCAATGATTGTGCCGGACGTGAATTAACTCACAGCAGACTCTTCGGAACAGCTGTGTTAGCTGTCAGAGTACCTGTTCCTGCTGCTCATATTATGACTCAGCTCAGAGATAAACGCACTGTCTGCTTCATTCTTGCCAGCGTCTCGACAGAGGTGGCCCGACTTGGAGCTTGATGTTCAGGATCAATCCACGCACATCCGGGATCAGATCTTCACCAACTTTGCGGTATGATCTCAGGACCGTGAAAGAGACCAGTGCGTGTAAATCAGCCGCATGCACTGTCACTGTACTGCCGACCGTCAACACTCCCAGAGAAGAGTGTGCAGAACGCAGAAGGAAACACCAAATTTTGAACCTTGTTCTCCAAATGCGGTGCCGTCCTCTTCGGTCATAGCGCGCGGACGACGCAGTTGAGTCAAGTCAGCCTATATCATAATGTTCGGAAATCGTGATGAACAGTCCGTACACAGGTGGAGATGAGGTGATACAGTTGTCGCAAAGTACACAGCGAGAGAGCGGATCGCAATCATGATGGCCGTTGGCTTTGCTCGAATGTTTGGAAGTGAGGCGAGTTGGATCGAAGCCCGTGAATAGTTATCTCCGTGCCTTAAATGCGTACGGCCGATGCCAGGATCTCTACGTGGTCGTATAAAGGTACTTTGTCACCGAGCGTCCTTACCAGAGCGACTTTCCCACCGACGCATTGACAGGGGCCGCCTAAGGGGGAGAATGGCTTCGCTCAATCAGACAACACTATTCCAAGATATCGAGGTCTTACAACCACTGTGAGTCTGCTGTGCTGACCATCTTGGCATGTGATAGTGATGTTGCATTTTGTTATAGTGTTGCAACTAACTACTGCTTGATCGCAAGCGCTGGTATGTCCTAGACAATCTTTGAAGCGAACTTGACTGAGTCCTTGCGGCGCAGCTATAATATTCTATGAATATATACTCACACTATCCGACGAGGTCTCCCTTGTTTGGTCCGGCCACCTGACAATTACCAACGTGCTCTTCGTGGCAAACAGATATTTTCTCTTGTCACTGGGATTTGCGAATGTTATGGAGTCATTGTACTGGTCCTCCTCGCAAGTAAGATTCCAAGCTATTCTCATTTGCATTTCGCTTACTCTTCCAAGGGGTGATTTATTCTGGTGCTTATATATCATATTCCGAATGGTAGTAACGATATTACCCAAAGGTGTGAAGCGACAACAATGCTTACTCGCTGCGCAAACGTGGCAGTACAAGCTGTAACAGCCGGTCGGTCGTAAACTATCGCTCAGACTACAGCACTCATTGTACTACTGAAATGAACAGGGATTTCTGCTTTGCGAGTCTATGCAATCGGCGGCCATCTGATGATACTTCCTACATTCGTATTAGCATTCGGATTGGTTCCGGCGATCTGTAACATCGTCAGTTCACACTTAATGCCTCTTGTCATTTGTATTCACCCCGATCTCTAGTACCTCATGACGCGCATGTCGGGGATGTTCATCCTCTACATCGTAAATGTTCCATTATGCGCCACTAACGTATTGGCATCACAGACATTGCAAAATCGGTGAGGCATCTCTCATCCTTATGTCCTTAACGCTGAGAGTAATGGTATTGATATTCTGTCTAGACGTATGTATCGAGAATGTTCACAATCCTGCTTAGTTCGTTGAAGCGATTACAGTGATATTTGTGTCCCGTTTGTGTCCACTGGCGTCCGACATGATCGTCCTCGTAGTCACCTGGGTCAACACGTACAAAATCGCCAGACAAGCTCGCGCGGTAAAGGGAACAGCTTCATTGGCCGTCTTTCTGCTACGTGATGGTGTGTTCGATGTCCTTATATTGCCACAATATGATTAATCGGTGTCATAGGCACGCTATACTTTTCGTATGTCAGTCATAGCGAGCGATAGACACTTACACTTACTTGCGCTGAGCAGCTCACTCCTGGCGTTGAATATCCTTGAGATAGTACTCGCCTTGGCTGTTCAAATCGACGAGGTATGCCTTCGTAGTCATTTCTGGCCGCGTACTGACATCGCGTAATGTAGGGAGAGGCGTATGTCTATATATCGACATTCTTGAGTCCGTAAGTGAGGACGTTTCTAGGATATGATAACGTTGCGACGTTGACCACACTCGAAGGATATCATCTATCCTACTGACACGCTTCGTGTTGAACTTACGCCGAGTCCCCACCACCACTGTCGACTCACGGGAAATCACGCACTCCACCGCGTCTCAGGCAGAGAGCATGGTGTTCGCATCCAGAATTGTTGGCAACATGGATGCCGATCTGGACTTCAATCATGATGCCGACACAGATGCTGTGGACAATATGGAAGAGGGTTGGGACTCGGGAGCTGTCGAGGATGGCTCCAGCGCAGAGGTTCAATAGGACAACAGTGTTGAAACATACAATCTTGTAGGTCCCGCCGGTCATAGATGCTGTGGACAATACGGAAGAAGGTTGGGACTCAGGGGCTGTCGAGGATGACTCCCGCGCAGACATCCAACAGCGCGACAGTTTTGAAGCAAACAATAAGGTCTCCGCATAGCTTGCCCACACCATGTCTTCCAACTGTTCCCATCCTTCATAATACCCCCCTTTGCGTGGATTGCATCTATGAACTGTACGTATGCGTAGCATCCCAGGCCGAACCGCTACCACACGTGTCAGTCCATCGTCCTGATACGCGAAGCAGACCTCAGTCCTCGTGCGACCCTCAGCACGCCCCCAACGCCCACATCGTCGCTCACGCGAAAGGTAGCATGGATCACTCACACTCCGGGATGCCGTCAACAGCTCTCACGCAAGGGCTCCGCGTGCTCGTACGCCATCCACTGCGTCGAGTCTAGCCTTTGAGGCACTGCCTCTGCAGATGCGGTGTGTGGGGGAGGGTACGAACCGTCTACTGTCTCCGCTGACGGTCTGCGCACCGGTTTGAGCGGATCTGCGCTAAGGGATCAGTTCAGCAGAATACTCCCTGAAACGCTGAGCTCCGAGTCGGCTCGTATCCTGAAGCGCGGCCCGTATCTTCCGTGCAATTGTTCAAGTTGCACAGGCTGTTTGCTATGGGCTGACCGGGAGACCATGATCCTTGAAGCACGCTTCATGCATACGCCCCCTATGAGATAGCCCAGGTACCTGGCCAGGCATCCGATGGCGTGTTTGGCAGAGGCGTGGACCCCCAAATCGATGAATGCGAGTGATGTGCGAATGACGGCCAAAGCGTGTACAACGGCAGTTGGGCTTGTGCAATACCAGATGCCGTCAGTATGATGAAATACGGCGAGTATCCAATTGAATGACGGTACCTATCGAAGTCTCGCATTTGATACTGCGATGACGAATCGGCCTACTGGTAGATGATAGTAGATGGTTCGCAAACTCGCACACGGACAACTGAGAAGCAGACGTTCACCCGCGATTTTTCAAGACTTGCATAAAATATGATTTATTTATCTGTGTCGGTACAAATGCAGATGGCGGTGATGATGCGAGTGGGATGCCCATGCAAGCGGGAGTACAGACCGTGCGGAGACTTCGATGAACCCTGCTAGAAGAACACTGAGACAACGTGCGACGTCTGTGGGGGAAATGCGATGATGCGATGTATGTGTGTATGTACGGGGTGGACTCATGGCGTGGTTGTGGGATGGGAATGTGGCAAATATAACAGTATGCATGATGCTGATGTGCGGTCCGTGATGCAAACGAGAGAAAACGTACAACCAAAGAGAAACAAACGGTTCATGACCGCGCCCGAAGCGCTTTTCTAAAAGTCAAGTCCTCCGCGCATTGCGAGCTCAATGAGGCTGGCTCCGCTGGAAGAGCGTCGCTTTGATGTCGCGCAGGACGTTGTGGTGCTCGGGCGAGATGATGTCCCGGTGCGAGGTGAAGAAGCCGAGCAGGCGATCCATCATCGCGGACGCGTCCGCGAGACTTGGCACGACTTCGACCTGGGGCGCCGCATATATCATCTCGGGCAGCCGCATGAACGCCTGCGGCGCCGTGCCGGTCGCGACGGGTACGGCTTGGGGGAGCACGACGGGCTCGGCGGAGTTGTAAACCGCCGGCTCGGGAGACGGGTTCCACGTCGTCTGAGGTGCGGACATATCGAGGCTCGCATCGCGCACGCCCTCCTCCGGAGTGACCTCGTGCTCGTGCTCGCCTGCGAGCGCACCCATCTCCTGCGTGGCCGCGTACTCGACCTGCTCGGGCGTGCGCCCGATGGCGCGCTCCTTCGCAGCGAGCAGGCCGTTGCCGTGGTACTGGCCTTTCTTGATTCCGTGCCGGGCCTTGAAGTTCTCCACCCAGCCCGAGCTCGCCTTGAATCGGTCCTCGGTGAGCCCCTGCTGGAGCGCGACTTCGCGGGCCTTGGTACGGATGGCGGCGTCGGTGATCAGGGTCTTGGTCCGGGCACACTCGCGGAGCCAGCCCTGGAGTGCAAGCTCAAGGTTCGGGAACTTGGACGGCCTGTAACACATGAGCGAATATATGCGCATATATAGACAGTAGCATGTACCTGAACTTGGATACCTGCAGCTTCTCGTCATCCTGCACGTTCAACCACCGGTCCTTCTCTTTCAGGATCTTGCTGATGGTGCTCCGCTCGACACCAAACTTGGATGCGATGGTCTCTTGCTTGACGCCAGGGTTCTCGCGGTGGAAGATGCATATCTGCTTGCGATCGGTGCTCCAGAGACGCGTCTTGCGGTGCTTCGGGACACGGTGCAGTTCTTCAGGTTCGGACTCTTGCTGTTGCTGGGGTAAAGTGGAGTAGCGGGCTGCCGAGTTGGACGAAAGAGTGGTGATTGCAGACGATACACTGAGTGCGGGAGAAGTGGAACGCAAATTGGGAGCGGAGCCAGAGACGGAACGCGAATGAGAGGCCATGTATGAAGAAGAATAAGGGAGAGCGGGAGACGTGGTGGCTACAATGCTGTCGTGAATTCCCATTGCAATGTCGGCGCTGGGAGTCTGTGGGCGCGAGCGCTGCTGGACGGCGAAGGCGAGGGAATGTTGTCGTCGTAACTTGGGAAATGAATGCGCGTCATTACGTAGTCATTACGCAGATAAGCAGATACGAACATCGTAATTTTGGGTTGACGCGGTGCTCTGACTTTGGTCGTGGGTCAATGCGAGGGTGCGGGCGCGACGGCGCTGGATAATGTCGCGGGTCGGACCAATGCTGCTCTCCATCTGCTGTGCCGGGAAGGCGATGCCGTGGGCGGACTGGGTGGGATGAAAGTTGGGAGACTGATGGTAGGTGGCATAGCTATCTGGAGAATGACGCGGGACCATACTAGCCGAGGACGAAGAGTAGTCGACGCGGCCGTCCGAAGAGTGGCTCAATGCGGAATAGAGCGAGGAACTCGAGGAGGAGGCGCTGCTGGGCGGAGAGGCGTGGTCGCCGTTCCATGCCATGGGATGGTTGTTGAGGACGGTGAAGGAGCGAGGACGGGCGAGAAGGGTGGAGGAGTAGGAGGGCACGAGGCCGACGCCGACAGAGTACTGCTGCGTGTCCATCTCAAGTTGTCATCTGCTCGCCTGATCCTCTGCTCGACGGTGATGGTAGCAGTTCCAGAGCAGGGTGTCCTGCGAGCATTCGACGCCTTTTGAAGTTTTCCTTCACCCCTAGCAATCAAAACACGGCATGGCCTTGAAGGTGCAAGATCGGCCTGCGATCCGACCTGGCCACGCTCCTGCACGGAACCTCCTATCGTTCATTTTCTCACTGATGCGTCTCGCAGCCGTGCTCGATGCTCATGTGCATTATTCCTGAAATAATTATAATGCACGAACGCAGGTGCTGCTCGCGGGAGCGGGCCACGCGCGCCAACGCGTCAAACACATCCTGATGGCCTTTACGGATCCATCCTTCCAGAAAATGGCAATTCGCAGACATACTCCAGGACAGCCGCAATCGGTGATGTTGTCATAGCAAGTTGTTCTCCTTCACACCCAAACGCCGCATTCGCTGATGGGCACAACCGTACCCGCCGTCGATCCTCCGTAAGCCAATGTCCTCTTCACCCAGACTCGCCGTGAAATGCTTACAGATCTCGAGTGCAAAATTCAATAGGTGAAACCATAAATTCAGATGCTCCTCGTATCATCGGCGGCATTCGAGCCATACCACGGTGCATCGTGCTCAAGGTGAGGCATTGGATCGTTGGGGGTCCTTTGATCCGGCCCCAACGCCGCGCACCTTTTGCTCAGGTTGTCCACCATGAGGCAGCCGTTCGGATTTGCCGAAAGAATTTTCTGATCCATGCTTCGCGCCTTCCAGCAGCCCTCTTCTTGACCTACCATACGCGGCGACGCAGGCCCTATTCGCTCCATACGATCGACCCGCAGTTAGCATTCGCCCGTCAACAGCAGCAGTTCAATCGCCTCAATGACAGGTACATCCGCGAGCTGTGCAGTCGTCTATGGAGCAACTCAAAATGGACTCGGGAACCCGTCCCCCCTTCTTCTTCCATGTCAGGACATCTTGCCATCATGGCTCCCCTCGATTAGAACGCAGCAAGGCATCCGGAATCCACCGGCCTCATTGCTGATACATTGCTGAAGCTCGAATGGGATAGGTCCCCCACGTCGATCAGCCTTCAGGGATCAACACGTTGTACAAATGCAGCCACCATGCGTTCTTCGATGCCGACACTGCTCGAGTGTCTCGACCCGGCTGAGAGATGGCGCTCGGGCGCGCTTTACCAAACTACGTATTGCTGACGATGCGAGGATCATAAGGGATGCAGCTCTTCTCTACCACGTATGGTGCATTTCCGCCGATTCCACTACGCGCAGGCCTCCTATCAGCGAGGGTATGGGCATGTCTCGCAAGCGATCGCCTAGCTCAGTCAAGGGGCCTAATTCATCAGGCTCGTACTATCTAGGTATACAGCAGCCACGCCCTCCACAACTCGCCGGGTAGCTACTGATCCCCGTCCAGCGCTGTCGCCCCTCCCTCGCGCTCCGATATTGCTATCCGCGAGAGGCCGAATCCATCACGGATCAGCCACTCGCAGCTTTCTAGCCTTTGCTTCCCTCCCAGACCGCCTCGTAGACCCGTCCTCGCCTCTTTGCCTTCTATCAATTTTGCTTTCGCGTAGCGTACCCCTACGGCTTAGCGAGCCGGCGGGGCCCGCGCCGCGGCTCGCAACACCGGCAATAGAAAGAGGCTCAACGGAGATGGAACTCTATCCCCACCCCGGAGCAGTGGTGCATTGGTCGCGTACCCAGAAACGCCTCGTGTAATGCATTCGGACGCCCTGCCGTAAGCGTAAATGCCTCCCTGTGACGAGCCCTTGGCGCGACTGAATCATGGAAGCGCACAGAAGTGTTTCCGGCGACTGGGTGCGCGACTAGCTGTGGTTTCTCAATTTGCATCCGCGCGCAGCTCCAGGCCTCTGAGGATTAGAGAGCCCGGGGAGAGGAACATTCGAGAGGAAGGCGAAGCGTATTTCACCGCTACTGATTCCACGGCCGAATTCCCCAAGTGCCCTCGAAACTCTCCATGATCGTCGTAAATGAATCATCCCACCGACTCCGAGCGTTCCCCCAGCAGTACCTCCAGGTACACCAGGGACCAACGAGCGCAATTTGATGTTGGTAGTCTAACTGTAATCGTTATCCGTAGACGTATTGCCAATAAGGTCGTCATGATAGGTTTCATTTCGAGCAGGTTGTGGGTGGCAGTGTAGAAGACAAACCACACCGTTGCAGCCACATCGGTAGGACCTCGTTGTTGGCCGAGTATTTCTTACCCTGCGCTACGCGATTCGGATAAATTTGTATACGCCTATGCGTTCAATGAATATAGTCGATTCTGCACCGATGGCCACGGCAATATCATTCCAGAGTCTGTGTGCGACAGTCTCAAGGCTCTATGTGCCTGCTTAACCATTCAATTCGACTGAGTACGATTGATAGTCGAATTTTGGAGCAGTCCAGTCCATTCCGAGACGAGCAGCACGCATGCTGCACTGAAACGTACGTTTGCAGAACGCGTGGTGGCATCCAGGCCGAAATTGCACGTATAGTGTTCTGCCATCAGCCATGAGGCCTCCTTTAGTCGCAGCATCACGCCATACTGACTGCGTACGATGAGCGGGAAAGACACCAACACGAAGGCCTGCAACTTATCGGAAACGAGAGAACCACCCAATCGATATACACTCCACAGAACAGAAATACACAGCCGAAAAAGAAAGGTCCGTAATTCATTTACATCGACGAAGCGACACCAAGGATCCCAACCACAAGAATGATGGCCTGGCTATCGTCCGCCGCCTACCCCAATTGCAGTACGCATATACGGCCCATTCGCGCCCATCGGGCCATACGGCGTCGGTGGAGGCATTGGGTTAGGCAATGCTCCTGAAAGCGCTGGTGTAGATATTGACCCTCCAAGCCCCATTGCTACCGCCGTGACACTCGCCCCTACTCCTGGGCCCGGCGTCTGCTCTCTCGCGGGCCCTGTCCGGTCCTCGCGCTCCGCCAACGTCGCAGCACTTCCACGCACCGGCTCGGCGAGTCCATTTGTGAGGTTGAACGTCTGCCCAAGGCCGTACAGTTTGTGATTGTACTCGGCGTCGTCGATGTGATCGTTGAAGTAGATTTCGCGCATCTTGAAGAAGGTAGATGCAGTGAGAAGGGAATCAGAGCCGGCCTGATGCGAGGGACCTATTCGCATGACCTAAGAAGATGTTAAAGACGACGGTAAAGGTCATCTAGATCAACGGAAAGAACGCTTACGCCAAGATCGTCTGCGACGTCTTGCAGGCCTCCTTTGAGCACCTTACAAGCTCGCATTACGAACTTGATGTCATATATTGTCGGGAACCATGTCCGCAGCACCTCAAAGAATGTCTCTTCCGTTGTTGGCAATGATTCAGCGGTAAGGAGCTTGACGAAGTAGCCGAAGTCATACCCGCTACGCGAGGGGAGCAGTTAGTACATTCAAACGCGCAGACAGCCCAAGTGAAAATAGTCATCGGTTGACGACGCTGTGAAATTGACGATAGACGCGTACAAGCCCAAGTAGGAGGTTCATAGATGGCGGATGGCCGGCTGGCGAAGATTGCGAGATAAACTCACCTATGAAATGAAACCCATTTGGTGTCTGGTGATAGAACCAACCCCGACGTGATCATGAGCTCAGCAAAGTCATTTGGCTCTATGCCCATCTCTTCATGCCGCTGCAGGTCAATACCCGACTTCTGGAGAAGCTCGATGGATTCTGGCGCATACATGTCTTCGCTGTAAGTTACGTAAGCAAGTGCAGGGATCACAGCTAAGGCATATGCGCACTTGATGCTGAAGTGGAAGTTGAACTGCCATGTAGACACATCCTGAGGGTAGTTGCCCTCCTCGTCCGCCAGCGTTAATCCCACTTGAATGATCTTGAGCAGATCGACGTTACACCGCATGGTTTGGTAGTGATAGTCCGACGACGTCTTGAAGGAGCCTATTGGACGGGCAACCACACCAGGAAACTCGGTGTCCTGCGTGTGGTATCAGCACTAGGAGGCCGGAGACGAGCAAGGTACTAGACGGTGACCATTGCAACGTAAGGATATTTCTCGATGAGTTCACGGATGTTGTTCATCTCCTGCTCGAGATTCGGAGCCCATACGTCTCGTATCCGAGCCATGATTGCAAAAAGGCAAAGTCGAGTTTGTTCGGAGAGCTCGGGTGGCTGAAAGCGTTGCGCATACAGGATGATCGCCGAGAACGGACAGGATGGTGCGAGGTCACTTGACCCAGCTGGTGTACTGCACTGTTGTTGCTTATTTGTCCACCATCACGATCGTGGATCCTGATCTCACTGCTCTCCTTCACCTTCACCTCGCAGTCAAAGTATTCTCGAGAACCATCGCACTTTTTTCTCATGTCCTCGGTGAATGCGCAAAGGTAACTCATGCGGATGGATCCAAAAATCTAGCTGCAATGAACAGTTTGGCTCATGGTAAGGCAGATCTGCTCGACGCATGGATTATCTTGAGAGAGCCGCTTGTGAACAAATATTCTTCTCGCGGAAGGAGGTCATCGCCACCGCGGCGTATTGCAATGCCATTCCGGTAGCCTAGTAACCGGTGACCAAATGACATACAAATTTTTCCTCCCGACATTCTGGGACAGCGTGACGAACGTGTCATATTGTCATGCATACAATTGCCTATAGATGTGTCTGGCAATCAGCGCGTCACCCTGAACATTTGATGTACGAGAACTCCGTCACATCAACCGGAAGGAACCGTTCACATCGAGCAAATGGAGTGTAGCGGGCGGCCGAAACACTATCAAGTGAATGGCACCCTTTCGAGCAGCCTGTCGTCTTTCATCTAAGTCAAGAGTCTGCACTCTGTTTTTGGAGCATCCAAGGATGCTCATATGTGAAACCGCCATGAAATTAGTACGATTAAATACAAGCGGGAAAGCTCACTGCGAAGCGACCGGATTGATAATTCTCCGTACTGACATAGGCAGAACAATCGTACAATACACCCATCCTGTGCGTGTCGGATCATCACCTTCTTTCTTCACAGCTGTCGCACAATTGGTACTTATCATCCATAGGTTATCCGATTACGGCGCTGCAAGCGCCGAGGTGCATATAGCGGATCCGAAACGGACAATGATGCCTCTGCTGAGAGCTGCCTGAGGCACGAGCCGTAGCAAGATAACGAGTACAGAAATACAGCCACAAACCTACATTCCATCCATTCACGACTTCTTCGCTTTAGCATCCTTCGCTGAAGCTCTAAATCCAGGCCCGGACGTTCAACGATCAGAATATCAAGGTAATAATTTAGACTGACCCTTCTAGAGCCACATTCTTCATGATTGTGAGCTTGCCAGAAGACGCAGCAGAAGCGACCTGCTGCTCAATACTCCTGTTGATCTTCGCGCTCAATTCCTGGTTCCATTACATTCGCAATGAGAAGGCATATAGAAGATTGATAATCGAATAAAAGCCCACCTTGTGTAGAACAGCCTGCTTCACGAGGGCAGTTTTCTTTGGGGCTATATAGCGTTTGCCCTTCTTCGGCTGAGCAGCGGCCTTGGCTGCATGGCGGGCGGTTGAGGACTTCTGCTTCTGCAGGCCCTTCACTTTCCCTTGAGCCATTGCTTTAACACTTCAGTAGAGCGGATGAATGTTGGAACACCGTGTCTGTGAGCAGCAGCGGCCTGTGGCGAAAGGCACAGAAACAGTTGAGTGGCCTGAAATGAAGCGCCAACACAGGCGTCTATGTGTACAAGGACACGGTCCCGTGAGCCTCAGGCAGTCCCCGTTCTGCGGCGTTGCTCTATCCTGCCTTTACAGTCGTGCTTGTGGTCAGGAAAGCATCCAGTCGGTACCCATTTGGCCCGCGGGTGTGCAAAACTGCTTACGCAGATCCCTCTCACTGACAGGTATTCAGCCGGGTATCGATGATCAGATAGTTCACGACGTTGCTTAAGCTTTGCGGCGTTGTACAGCAGGCTAGACGCGTGCTATTCATTTACAAAGTGCCGCACTCAACGAGAGCTCGAAACTCTGGTCTACTGTGTTGCTATGGTTTCTAGCGATTCTGCAGCATCTCCCGGCGCAGAACTCCCCTCCGATTTCCCCACCGCGGAGCTAATCCACGCACTCGAAGAGCAATCTTTCGGCATCTCAAGTTACGAGCTCAGGTCGTTTGATGCGCATGAAGCGACTGCGCAGGTCGTGTTTCTCGAAGGACACGTCGTGACAGTGTCGTTGTCCACGACCGGATATAAGGTTCGTGCAAATGTCAGATGTCCACCGGTCATGATTAAAGCCATTTATTCAGGCCACGGAGCATCGTCACGGAAATGATGGAGATCCGTGCTCGACAGACAGGTCATTTGAGAGCATCGAAGAACTCATGGAGCATATCAGCCCACGCTATGTCGAAAAGAGGCGCGAGGCTATCATGGCCAGGCTACAAGCGCTATCCGAGCAGGACGACAGATAGTCATCGCGCAAACGTGGGAATCCTGTGCGCATATATCGAGTGCAAGGTCTACATCAATTGCATAGAAACCAGGGACTAGTCGAAAACAATTGGTACTCGTTTGCTGCGCGATATAACGGTCGTAAAAATGTCCGAATCAAGAATCAACGAGTTAAGCAATTCTAGCCCACTCGGCATGTGGGCACGAACACATTATCAATTCAACTGCCATTCAATAATACGCTTGCTATGTGAGTCTTGATCGATCAATTGTCAGCGCCCTGTTCTACTGCTGAAACGGGAAGTTTCTAACATCTGTAGGCTAGAAGCACCCTTAACAGCTTCGTGGGCGCACGCCGGGAAGATGTTCATGAATCGTCATGATGATCATCGTGCACATGCTAGAAGGAACAAGATCACATTGCGAAGCCAACGGTACATTATGACCCGCAATTGGCCAAGATACCACCACAGAGGCGCTCTTTATCCTGTTAGAGTGCGTTATATCCTTTCAAATTGAGGAATGCCCTTTCCAGTCCTGACACGCTTTATCATGGAGCAGGTTCTCCTTCACGCGCAACGGTATAGACAAACTAGCTGATGGAATAATTTTCACAACAGGAGTAACGTCGTTGAGAGTTCGATGACATGGCAGATTCGACGTCATACCTTTACGGTAAATCATATTTCATCACAACCCCGGTCACAACTATACTAAGGGGTAAGTTATAGAGCTCTGTCATTTATCAATTCTTCATTACCTCACAGCGATAGAGTCAGTTGTTCGTCTTGAAATCTCAAGATCTTCGGTTGACTTTGTGCCAATTTTATCACTTTTCATGGACTTGTGACTTCCGAAGCCAGGAAAGACGAGGGGTAAAGAGCACTCTATATGCCCCCACACAAATAACCTTGAGGCAATGCGCTATTATTCATTGACGCCGTATGCGCTGTAGCCGCCATGTTAATATGCTATCAATGTTTTAAATCGCCATGTCTGTGCCACAGCTCCTTGAAGCTTTCTTCTACGTGCCGGACGAAGGATCGAGCAAAACCGTTTGCAACCGCAAAGGCTGTTGTCTCCGCGATCGCTGTGAGTGTGACCAGATTCCGAACCAGAAATTGGGTGTACAGGCGCAGCACATGCAGAATGACTACGCGTAGTCATTCTGCATGTGGTGTCACAGATATCGTCTTGGCATGTCTTCGATGTCTGGGTATGACTGTCGATTCAAGGATACCTGCCCGCTAGACATGACGATTGTTTGTGAGCTGAGGTCATGATAGAATGATTTGCGCGACATTTATACGTAAGATCATGTTCAAGCCCGTATATCTGTGCTCCGTTCACGTAGGTACTCGGTGAGCTCAGATATCACAATATATGCGCCCCTATAATCTCGAATCGGTTACTCACCAACGTCAAAATGATCATCTCGTAGGAGTCGCGTACTACGTAGCCGTTGGCTCGTTTCCCAAACCGAAGTCGAAGCTATCCAAGGACATGGGAGTGACACATACATGGTGCGCCTTGTTTTCAATCTCAGTGTTACAGGCCTGATCGGAGCCGGACTCTGGTAGACGAGTAGGAATCCGTTTCCGCAATTGTCGGGACGCATATTATGCATGCAATGGGTCCGATCACCGTGGTTACTCTGTCAGGCGCATCCACCGCACTACCTTGCTTGACGCCACAATTCAGCTTTCCGTACGTTTCCGCTATATATATAAGCTGGTGACATGACCCTAGAACATTTTGTGTTAAGGCTGCATTCATGGTCGTGATACGGGTGCGATTGCGCATGACAGCGGATGAACCCTACCAATGTGCATTCCCCACTATTCCCCTTGCCGATCAGGATCTTCACTCCGATGGTCCGGATGCACGATCTTGCCATCAGTTCTGACTCTTCCTCAGCCACCGAGCGTTATGCACTAGGCGAGCTGACGATGGCTGGAGAAGTTCGTGATATCCTGGAGCAGACCATGCTATGTCGACATGCAGAGGATGCCTGCTCTCGAGGTTAAGCTGGCGGAATTGTTGGCCTGCATTATGCTTGGTTGTCGTCTATATTTCTGAACATGTTTATCGAGGCAGCGCCGACGAACCATCACAGATTGGGGTTCAAAAAATGCACTTGGAAAGGTGTCCGGGATTCATACTCTAACTGGGAAGTTTCCATTATCTTTTCTTCCGGCGAACCTGTTGGAACTTGGTAGCAAGTTCATCATCCCAGCAAACATTCCAAAACTCCTGAGATTGCTACCCACAGAAGTTGCCTGTATGGATTTACGGCAACGCAGGACATACTAGCGCGTCAAATTTCCCGCTGCCGACCGGACCGCCAGTCGTTGAATCAATGTATCTTCTCACGGTTTTTATCGCGCCTGATGACAATTCCAAGACTGCTCGGACTCTAGACATGATCGACGCCGCTGTCGTACACTGCCCACCGCCGACGGCTGATCCTCGGTGAGATCTTCGCATCGCATGTTGCTTGATGGTGCAAATGCTGCCTTTCGTCAAATCAATGGGGATGGAGCATGATCTTCTAGGGTTGCTGATGTACTGCCCACATGGCCGCCGCTATGATGATTCTGTAGTAGGGATCCCTTTGACATCGAAACTGATGTGAACAAGTCTGAACCTCTAACCGTTCACACAATGCCTCGCCGACCTGACTGGAGCCACCCAACGCGCCACACGGACCAGATGTGAATAAGCTTTCGGTCACACGGATTGCTCCATGCGTATGATGATCAACGTCATTTCCGCCAGGTGCTGATGGTCCGAATCACACGAACAGTAGACGCGGAACAATCATAGAAAAGGATGCGTCGAAGGAGTGTAACTCAGGCTGCGAAACCCATATGCAAACACGACTGTCACTTCGACTGCCAAGCCAGCAACCTCGCCGGTGCTCACCCTTGCATCAATGCGTCTCCGTAAGCAATACAAACGTCGTCGAAAGTGTATAATATCTGATCAGGTATGTTACTAGACGTCCCGGGCTTTGTAGTCCAGCTCCCACGTTGAGTGCCATCATGCTGATGCGATAAGTTTTGGTTCACCAGCTGACCAGTTTGTCATTGCTTCCTCCATTGCCGACATGCTGCTCATTGGCACTTTGACGTTCTTCCGACGGGTTTCACGTTGTTGATCCCGTCAAGAACATGGGGTGATATCACCACGACCAACGAAGTTGATGGAACATCTTCTATCTTTCTATGATCCGCAGCTGAATCTTTCACACGAGCTGTATTATAAGTACTCACCCCCGAAGCCGCTGTGGTGGTGTCTTTGACAACATGGTGGATTCAGAATCATACCCGGATTTCGCCAAGCTGTATCTCATTGGTATATGGATTACGACTGTACTATGGGGTCAGTAGATCTGCATATTATCAACGATTTACTTACATCCACACAGCAATCAAGTAAGCGGCTTTCAAGTACCCGGAAATCCGAGGGTTAACGCTTGGCTAGCCTTATAATCTTCATTGCTGGAATGTGGTTACTCAGGTCGGGAAGAAATGCGAGGCACAGAGCATTGTGAGTTGCCTTACTGTCTCGCGTTGACTTGCGTTGAAGCGTGAATTTTTGGTTAATGTAGGCTGGTTCGCATTGTTGCCGTTGTACTGTTCTCACTATCAACTGTCCATATCGCCGCCTCTTTGCAACAACTTCTTGATGCGTTCATATACGTACCGGATAATGCAACTCGCCTATATGCTACCCTATACTTCGAAGATACAGCGAAGTCCCTGGCGGTCACCAAGACTGTAATTTTCTCCACTGCTGTGAGCCTACATCGACTCACTCTGGGCTATGACTCTGACCCATATCTGTGCAGGCCATGCTGCAGAATGTAGTCCTTGTATGTCTTCTTTTCACGCCTCTAGAGAACTTGCGCTGACATGCATCTGCTAGACATGGCGATTATACATCGTTTGGGAGCATAGCTGGAAGATCTGCGTGATCCCTGTATGTCGCACCATGACTGTCTGATTCGCTGTAGCTTATGCATGTGCAGATATTGATCGAGGTTGTACACAATGGTACGCATTGATCGTTGCTACCAACTATGGCACATCGACACAGTCATATTCAGGCGCTGCCTTCGCGGCTGTCGGTCTATCATCCAAACCGGACCCGGATATATACTCATCGAGTCTGAAAGGCACAGCGTTGACCGCTTACAGTATGGGCCTTATATTCAACCTCAGCGCAACGAGCATGATTGCAGTGCGCCTATGGTGGATGGGCAGGAAAGTTGTTCCGTTGACCTCATCAATTACTGCCGGGATGATTGGTGCAAATCCGTTCATGATGTCCATCATCGCTGTCGTCGAGTCGCACGCATTATATGCAATAGCCATTGTCATCATGCTCGCCCTTTATGTGTCAAGCGCGCCGGTGGTGCTGCCTTGGTTCGACATCACAGCTCAACTTGCAGTACGTCCCAATACGAGAGGTTTACAATTTATCACTCACTTGAAGAGCCTGACAGGTAATGACACCGCTCATGGTCGTCATCCGTGTTCGGTTGGGCATCGCTAGCGAGGCATCGGCTCAAGCTCGCTTGTCCACGTTTCGTGCAAGTGGAGCTGAGCAGGATCGTAGTTCATTTACAAATTCTGTCATACAAATCCGCGATGTTACCTCCGACTCTCTCTGTGCTATTGCACTAGAGGAGCTCAAGGCTGCAGGAGATGACCGTGTTATCACGGAGCGAATCAGAATACCCAGGCAGAGAGAGGATGTTTGATGTCTAGCGATCAAAAAGAAGTTATGTGAACCATACGATATATTTCGATCAATGCATATGCAGAAACTATAATTGGTTTATAATCGGACGAAGATCTGCAGTGCGCCTTCGGCAACGTTTGCCCTCGGTCGTATCGCACATCCAATGCGCTCTTGGCAACCATCCCGATTCATTACCTGAACGTGAGATCAGCCAACACTGGATAGAACAGACTCGGTAACATCATATACGGGATTGTATGTGACGGCATTCAAGCCTATCCACCTTTTCTTTCAGGCTGAGACCGTGAATTTGTACAGGTCCCTGAATTCTTGATACACGCAGTGGAACATAGAGGTCGTCTATGATCGTGCAAGGAAACACAGCAAACAAAGTTGGTAAGTGTTTCCGCCTCATCAAGGCATGGCCGTCGCAGTCATCCATCGCAATAGCACGGACCCCATTTCGAGCGAAATCGCACCGGGCTAGTTAGACCGCGGTAATGCGAGACACAACTGACAACGACAATTCCTTGATGACGTGGAATGCATATCCCCGCACGGCCGAGAAGTCAATACTGCAGTAAAAGCACTACACACCAATCACGCGAATGTGTTGCACTATGGAAGGGCAACATATGTAGCGAAGTTGCTGGACATCGGTTAGGCGATCATGGCCCTCTGGCCATCCTACGAGATGGCGATCACCGAAGGACAAAGGCCGGGTGGGCAGGTTGAGTGTACAATGTAAGAGGCGGCGGTGGTCAGTGGTACAGCTGCGACTCTTGGGTGCTCCTTATATCGTCGCTGGAACACCTTGCTGATACGTCAGCTGGCTTCCGAAAACGCCGCTTCATGAATGGACAGGCTAATTGACACATACCTCTCACACTCGTCGAATCCCAAATAAGCTCCCTCTATGCGGAAATCGACGTATGATTAATCACCGCTCAACGCGTGTCGTCTCCACAGAATGGAAATACTGTAATCAGAGAATGGGACTTAGTCACTTATCTCATCCCGTTAAGACAGACACGATGCAGTACATGTGCAGTTGGTGTGGGCATCCATTTCCGCCGACAGCAGGTAATGAGAGGTCAGCAATCGGAGGACTATGAACTAGGACAAGAAAGCTTGAGCCATCGACGTCCTTCAACGCGATGAGTTTGCCGTCTTTACTCACCGATCATAGGCAAATTCTCCATCACGATGTCAATCAGCTCATCCCAACGACCTAGCTTTCTCACTGCAGTGGGAGATGCACATGGTGAACTTTCATAGCGTGAAGGGATTTCTACCACAAGACTACAATTGTCGCTATCGCAGATCGTAACGCCCTCTGATAGGCCACGGAAAGCTTGCTCAGTCGCCATGTCCCAAGCAGCTAGAAGATGTGATCGCGGGATGGTACCTTCCCACCGAACTCGTATCGCACGTGGGTGGCTTTACAGATGACAGAGAATAATCACAGCAGCATACGAGCTTTTCAAACGCTGGTCCGTGGTATAATATGCAACATTGATGAGATACAGCCTGTATTCGCGGTCTAAAACTCATTGCACGAGTTCAACCTAGTTTCACGAACAACGTCAACGTCTGTGTGAGCAAGCCTGGCGCGGGTAACTTACGTAGTTACTTGGGAAGATACCCTTCCTACCGGTTGCATCGACTCCTGTGAATCGGAGTGTGTCAGGACACCGTATCCAGCGCTTGAGGATGATCGATGCGACAGACCTTCCCACCAGCCATCCGCGTATCTTGTTCCTCCAGTGGGACCACTCGTCAGCTCGATCAGCCCACCTTCCTGAACGCTCAACTCATCCGGACCTTGGGATTGGTACGGATACATGCCTTTTACTAAGGTGCACACGGTCGTAATTGGACCACCATGGGATACGATGGAGGACGTACCATACTGCCCTGAGTTCTGAAGGCTTGGTCTTGTTGATGACGGCGGTACTGGTATCGGTACAGAAGCACCTATCATCTCCACGTATGTAGCAGGCACGAGGCCCTTGCCTCCAGAGCCGTCCGCAACCTTCACCCATCCTGAGCCATCGTCCTCTTCCAGCACCTGGACAGTCGCTCCCACTGCGAATAGATCAAACCAAAATTTAGATATTCCATAGTACGTGGGACTGAGCTAGAAGCTCACCGGATACTCCCAGCTCAAACGGCGACGTAGGGGAGAAGTTAAATAGAACTCGGGCACGAGGGCCGGCTTCTTCCGTGGCAGACACCTGGGAGATGAAAGACGACGGCGTTGGTGTCCGCAGAGACGGCGTCGAAGCTGTGAAGAAAGCAACGTGAGCAATTGCAAGGGGCCGCATTGACCGGTTTTCGGCTTGGCAGACCTTGTGACGAGATAGTCGAAGACCGAGACATGGTTGAGCCGGTGCCAGCGGCGAAGTTGGTGCGACTGCTACCTCGAGAACCCGAGCATTCAGCAGGAACCTGATGGGACGTGTGAGCATGGACAGACGACTATGAAACAGCCTCTGGTTAGATGTACCTTCAGTTCACATTTGCTGTGAACCGAGATTCCACACGCCTTGCACGTCTTTCCTTGCTTACTGAGGCCCCAAATATTGGACTGAACGAACTCAGCACCGTTGTATGGCAGGGCATGACAAGTGAACGCGAACCTTGCAATAGGCACACGTGGTCGGGATGGAGAAGGTCGAGCTCTTGAACGTGTGCGGCCGTTGCTCACCTTCGTCACCTGAACCACGCACGTTGTTAGTGAACGGCCGTAGAATATTGACCAGGAATACATACCGCCCAGAGCGGTCGAAATGGTCTCGACCTCGGCAGACAGGACACATTCGGAACATGTGAAGAATGTCAGCTGGTGTTGTGCTTCTAGATAACTCTAGAGAGGGGGGAAAAGCACGCCGTGAGGAAACTATCTTTCCGATGAAGTGTAGCGGACTTACGTCAGATGCTTCATCTGCATTGCCGAGGCTGCTGTTCTTGGTATATGCATCCATCAACTTGGAAAACTGCTCGACATCCCTGCCTTTTTTTCACAGGTGGGCGAGGGAATCATTGAAAACGTTGGTTGATCACTTAGCGCAGAAATATCCACAAAGAGCGATAACATACGTTTTCCATCGATGACGGGCCTCAATTCACTAAGTTTAGCTCTGCTTTTGGTAAGTCTGTTTTGAAGATAGACCTTGGGTGCAGGTTCAACACTCATGTCACCCTGTATCAGCATAGATCAACCTTAGTCTACAAACCTACTTCAAATGTAATGAACATACCGTATCGTAATGCGTCGAACACGGCTCGAAGCTCCAGTCAGTGGGCACCATGAATGTTCTGAGGTTGTGCTCGATGAAAAGGTTCTGATCTGCCTGAGGTTTCATCGCCTTCAGCTTCTCCTCCGTTGTAGATAATTGGTCTTTGAGCGTCTCGAGGTGGGACTTCTGCAGAGCTTGGGCTTGTAAGTTGATGGTAGCGAATCTTGTCAGCAGTTGTGTATGGAGCAGCTCTATTTGTGGTTTATATTAGTTCGGCATGTAGCCAGGGCTGGATGACGCATACATACGGAATTGCTAAAATCGTATATACAGGTTCAGCAGGAAAAAATAATTTCAACACAATTGACCATGCGTACATTCTCCAGTGCAGGCAAGTCCTCATTGTAGAATTTGGCCTTCGCGGCATTAGCAGCCGCAATGGATACCAAGTAGACGCTGGGATGAGTGCAGTTATATCAGCAACGAAGTTTATCACAATTTCTTGGAGCGCACTTCTTGCCATTCAGCATGTCCACTTGTTGTTGCTCGTATTGCTTAGCTGCCCGGTCCGCGTGCCGATCGTCGTTGGCGCGTTCCTGTAGGTGTATCAATGTGATGCAGTGGTCTGTAACCATGCCATTCCACAAACCTGCTTCTGACGATAGGTCTCTACTTCGTTGCATTCATCATCGTACTGTTAAAAAGAGTCAACTAGCCGCTGACATGTCATTGGCAGCGACACTCGCCTTCTGCTTGCTCTACTCATGCGGTATGAGATAATAAGCGACTCATCAAGTGCATGTAGAAGGAAAAGCAAGACCTTGACGCGTTCAGAGTACACGCGGTCTCGTTCAGCTAATAATTTCGCAAAATGTTGCTCCTGCTTCTTCTTTGCTTCTTCATGCCTACGTTCGGAACCCTTCAATGCGTCAATCACCTGCGAGGTTAGTTGGTCTGATAGGCTGACGTGCGCCTGCGCAGACTCTAGCATGGCAGAGATAATCTGCCCATATGCATTGTTCAGGGTGCTGAGAGGGATTTATCAGACCTTACCTAGCAGAGAAAACAAGAAGTGCACCTCAGCTGAAGGGTGTCCTCACCCCAAGATTTTGTGGGCTCGTTACCGACGACCAGAATGGCTTCCTTCTTGCTCTTCTTATCGGCAGCTTTCTTTGCGAGCGCCTGTAGCTTTCCTGCATATTCACGCTCCAGAACTACGCGTTCTTTGTATAATTCTCGCACCTATATCATGAGCGTCCATGAGGCATAGTCCGGGCAATCCACGCTGTCCAGAGGACTTACATCGGCGAGAAGTTCCAACTGAGCGTCGGAGAGACTGACAAGCCGGTCCACTTGGTCCTACCTCAGACAGTCAGTACCTCATATGGATACGGGGATTGGGCCACTTCACGGCAAGCTCTTTGCCATAGGTCTGGCCACCTTCCATGTCGTGCTTCCGTTTCTAGGCGCAGCTGCCACGGCAGCAGATGTTGAGGAGGAGGTCTCCATGTAAGCGCTGGGTGATCTACATACCTTGTATTTCCTGAAAGGTCTCGCTGCTCTTGCTATCATTAAACCGTTACAACTTGGACAATGCATTATCAGACATGCTTACATTTTGTGTGCAAAGCCGATCGAACGCAGACTTGGGTATCAGGAGCGATTGTTACGAGCACCTGTGCCTCGGACCGCTTGACAACTGTCTAGATCTCCTCTTGCGTTGTCAACCAAGACCTTCGGCGGTGGCTGCACGGTACACTGCCGCGTGTGCTGTGCCACCTCGCAGTCGGCTGCGATACGCGTCACGTGGACGCGCTTTATGGGCGTCGAAGATTGCGTCGAAGTCCGTCCTTGCCCTTTTTGCAGCACGCGTTCACCCATGAAACGCTCTCGATGTCATCTCGATAATGCCTCGTACGCTTAATCGAGGTCACGGCGGTCTTACTCCGTTTCGGAGGGTCACTCGAGAACATCGGTGCGAATTTGAGGAAGAACAGAGATCTCGCTTCTCTATAAGCTTTGGGGCTCTTCGGATTTGTTCATCCATTAAGTTTTTTTAACGTTCAATTTCATGTTTCTGCTGTCATGCGATGCTGTCTTTTCCTTGATTCGCATCATCATTCGAATTATGTGATCTGACTGAGCACAAAGAAGTTAAGATTGTGTTCTCAAGGCGATGAATACCATTCGAAGACCAAGCTCCTACCCGTGCGCATACTCCATTGCAAGCTTCTCTCCCATTCTCTCTGGCAGGCTGCCATCATTAATGACGACATACTATTCACCGTCTCTCGTGTCGTCAGCAGTTCTTATTGCCTGATCCTTCTTCCTGACGAGGAGGCGATCATATATTTGCAGTTTTTTCAAGCCCAAACAATTCTCGTTACGACATTCGTGGTTGGTGAGGCTTAATCCCGTGCTATTCATACAGCCTCACCGATGGAAGTTATCATCATCGTCGCGGCGGAGGAAATACATTAGGTCGGACTCTTCCATCGGCAGCCGAAGGGCGGCGTCTCGACGGGGCGAACGATGTATGCAGGCTCATATAATTATCATTCTTCCACAATGTCTACCGGGTTGCATACTTTGCCGCCGATGAGGCTTACGATAACGTGCGTTGTTCACTTATCAGCCGGTCTCTCCTTCATCATTTCGGCATGGCTATGCCTTCGTCTTCTGGATCTTGGTGGCCAGGCTTTCGCTCGAGCAGTCTCGCGTACTGAAAACGCATGTGCCTCAATTTACGGGCAAGTGACATCAAGGGCCTCTGCGAACCCAAGCGAGTAGGCAGCAGGGGCTTGCAATAGAGCGCCTTGAAGCTGTGTTGACAGTTCTCTTGCTGCTCCTCTGCGTAAAATCTCCGTGTGGGTGGACGTATTAACAGTGGTGCCTTCTGGAATGGACGGTCCAGAGCAATCGCCAACGTGCGTTTCCCTCTCTAGATTCTTCTTCCCCATCTAACGAGCCCTGCATTGGCTTGCCCTCTTGCAATTTTCAGATCCCTACAAGGCATGCACATGCAGGGCCCTGTGGTCAATTCCGAATCATTGGGCGTTCAGAATTGGGGTCGAGCATATGTACCCAACGGGCCCGGTGTGTGTGTGGGGGCCAGAGGGGCCATGCATTCACCGTGGCGGTACGACACCCGATCTCTATTCAGCATGAATAACATTGCGTTGACTATATGCGGCAATGTCCCACATTCCTATTCGTTCAATGCACCTTCGCATTGACCAGAGATTGTTCCACAAAGTTGTTGGACCTCGTCTCACATTGGCGGGCGCTTTGTTACGTAATCATGGATGGGTCGCGAACCGGTAAGCCGATCGACGCTGGCCGGTCGATCGCCCTCGTTCCAGGATCAAGAAATGGTGAGCAACCCCCATTTTCTTTCAGGTGCGGTTTTTTGAGGACCGTGTGGCAGCTACAGCGCTCATTCCCCGCAGGCACGCAGGGTACCTCAGCTGTCTTGGACGAGGAATTTGTCGCCTTTGTTTCGACAATCGTTTTTCCTTCTTTTGAGGGTTGTGGTCGATGCGAAACACAAAGACTCTCGCGAGTCTCGACCTCCGGATATGGAATTGAGGACGCCGAAGCCTTGTGTAGGATCTATGTATAAAAGGCCGCTGTTCACCGTCGAGAAAACCCAACGAGTCCGCCTCGTCTCACATCGTACAGTCTCTCGCTCGCATTCTTGCGAATTCCGTCCTTACCTCTTCAGTGCTCTGCATCTCTCTGTCCTTCAAAATGGTCCGTTTTGCTACACTCAGTGCCGTCGTCTGCGCCTTCGTCGCCGCCGTCTCTGCTAGCCCCGTTGCCAGCGAGACTCTTGAGCGTCGCCAGTCATATACCGGCCGCGTAAGTCGAAGTCATCGGTGTCTTCGTGGCGATGTATACTGATATACCCATCTCGCAGGGAACCTACTTCGAGGTTGGCCTTGGTGCATGCGGTTACACGGACGTGGACACGGATTCCATCATCGCCATCTCGCACGACATCTACAACGGTGGCGAGTACTGCAACCGAGTACGTCCGCTCTTGATACATTTTCATGTTTGCTTTTCTGACGTTCCTTTGCAGTACGTCGAGATCAAAGACGACTCGACCGGAATCACGCAGTACGCACGTGTGCGCGATGAGTGCATGGGATGCGATGCGGACGCGATCGGTGAGTATCTTTCCGCATTGTGAACCCTCGAGGTTTGACTGTTCCTCCGCAGATATGAGCCCCAGCCTGTTCCAGTCGTTCAACGAGGACCTCTCGGTCGGTGTGCTCACCGTCACCTGGGAGTTCATGAGCGAAGGCTGGAGCCCGTGATCCTAAATGCTCGGTGCATGAGCCCCTCCCCGCTCCTAGCGAGCCTCTCCTTTGGTATCCATCCATTCTTTCTTGTCTCCGTTCCCAGTGCTGTGTTACTATGCTATGCAACGCTATCGGCTCGCGTTGACCGTGACCGTGGCGTTGCCGTACGTATTGAAAAGTCTGTTCGACGACCGCGCGGTGTAGAAGAATAAACATCCTGTAGCCCTGGTCCACCTTGTAGCATATCCTCGTGTACCATGCCCTTCTTCCGCACCACTTTCATTCCTTCCGGCTCCTCACCGCTTGGTCTCGAGCCTCCACATTACTATAATCACCTGCCGTCTTTCAGAGCGCGCATATAGTTGTAGAGGAAGCAGATAGAATAGAATAAATATAGGCATTACCAAATACGTGTGAATACTCGAAATCTTAGAGTTGTGATGCAGCTGATGCAGCGTACCCTGAAACGCAGCTCGGCTGCTGAAGCGCTGAGGGCTAAGAGGTGTGCCGTGGCCTCCGAGGTCCGTTCAAATGTTCATGCACATGTCTCGGCTCCTCCGCATTGTCGTCGACGCATCTCTCAATGCCTACGCACATGACTACGCGTCTGGCTAGTAAATTGTACCACGAGCCGCATTACTCAACTCGTGCGACGCGAAACGCGTCGAACCCAACGCCACTATGCAGTTTGAACAGCATACGCCACCGCCACAAACGCGTCTCCAGGCACGCGCCCCGGCCGAATCCGGCAAAAGCCCCTTATTTCGGTGCGCAAACCGACTTTCAAGGTACCTCAGTTTAAACTGCCCTCCGGACGTCGTCGAGAGTCCGCAATATGCAATATGCAGCTCGTTCTCTAAGCCAGATGCCTGCTCCGGTACCTGGGCAAGAGAGGGCCGACGTAGTCGAAAAGTTCGAGAAAGTGGAGGTATCTAATGATAGTAGTAGTACATGACAAGAACGTGAACAATTGTAGCTATTTAATGGGTCAAATGTGGCGTATACACAGCCTGCACAGATTTATTTTTCCACGGGAAACCTGATGGAAAAATGGTGAAAATATCTTAAGTCTGGATATGGAAATAGTTTGGAAATCGGGTGGAGACAATTGAATTATGTTACAATTGCTTCACCGAAACATATCAGTATCACATATTTTTGGACTGAAATATCTTCCTTTGGGAAATAGTTTCACTATTGCTGATATGTTTCAGTAAAACAATCGTAACATAATTTAATTGTCTCCGCCCAATTTCCAAACTATTTCCATATCCAGACATAAGATATTTTCACCATTTTTGCATCAGGTTTCCCGTGGAAAAATAAATCTATGCAGACTGTGATAGTAGTGTGTCATTACAACTCGTAGTGCGTTCGAGCAAGCGGCAGATCGCGATGGGTATCGCCAGCGGAAGACCCGAGTCCAAGAAGAGAAAACGTGCGCAGCCGCCGGGCCGCCACTCCCACCGCTGGCGTCTCGTGGCGTCATCCCCCCTCACTCACTCAACCTCGACTTCAATGCAGTCCTACCCCTCGAGCTCTTTAATAATGATTCCGCCTCAATCTAGAGCATAAAGATGGCCGCCACGACGAGCGCAGCTGACACCGGTTGTTTTCCTGCCGATTCTCTCCAGGACCACGCATCACTAGTGCTCGTACTCGAGGTTGCGGCGGCAGTGGTAGTGGTCACGGTCGACGAGGACGCTGGATCGGAATTCGATCCCGATCCGGTTTGCGGCGTATCTGTCGAGCTAGGAGGGTCGGCTGTCGACGTGGCATCGCTGGCGCTAATCACCGTAGCGGTCGACTGGACAGGCTCCGACGTTGATGTGGGTTGCGCGGGCGCAGATGACGACGGCGGGTCCCCGGCCCCAGTCGAGGAAATGTAGTGAGTTGAGCCGGGTACGGTCACTACTGCCACAGACGTCACGATCTCTGTCGTAACCACCACAGTGACCGAATCGGACTCGGTGTCGGTCGGAGTTGAGACGGAGCTGGAGTTTGACGGGAGCGCAAGGAGGCCGGAGGAGGACGCAGCAGAGGATGCGGCAGATGGCGATGAAGAAGAAGATGTGCCGATGATGGTGAACTCTGGGCTGATGTTGCCCGAGTCTCCGAACACTGCGTTTCGTCCCGCTGAGATGCGTAACCCGTCGCAGCATCACTGACCACACTCACGGGCAACGATGTAGTTGTTCCCCGTTGGGACTGAGGGGACTACGAACGAGACCTGGCCTGCGGTGATAGGGAATTCCGACGCCAGCGGGCTGTCTACACCGGTGAGTGAAAGATCAGCCACATGCACCGCTGCGCAGCACAGTTATCTTTGAGGCTCACTAATGTTCAGGTTCTCGCTGTCCGATGTCAAGTAGCCCAGGACGACCTTGCCTTGGCTGTTCGTGACGGACGAGGGTATCGATGAGGTATTCCTGGACGTTACATACGGCGAGTACGGCGAGTGAGTCTTGGTGGTGAGTTTCGGTGGTGAGTTGCGTGCAGCCTAGCGACACACCATGTTACTGTTACATTCTCCCCGGCCGTCCACACTGTGTTGGCGTCCGGGCTAGTTATTGGCGGGTCTGCGACGTCGCGCGGCTTGAGTGGTATAGCAGATGCGTGGATAAGCAAGCAAGACAGGACATAAATCATTAGGTAGGTCATGACGGATGGCGTTGCAGGGTACAAGCTCAACGAACTGAGACGACTGAGCTTGCACTGGGAGGAGAAAGAAAGAGCCTCGCGCAGGCAGTGCCGGCCTGCGAGCCCTCTTCACCCATTAGCCAAGCGTTCGTGCTTTACCCGCGAAGGAAATCTCGCCGTCAAGAGCCACGTGCGGCCGATTAAAGGAGTCGCAGCCGCGCGAGAAGGGCGCCACGGCAAGCGGTGTTCCGCCGCCGTCGAGAGTGGCGCACCGTAGCTCCTCTCGCGCAGTCCTACTAGCTGTGCGCTTAGTACAGCTGATTGAGGCAGGTTTGTGGTCAGGTTATACGCTGCGGGGTAATTGGCCTGTTCTATTTGTATTTAAGAGGGGGTTGGGCGCAGCGAAGATCAGCCACGTTGCAGAGTCATCAACAGATAGCCACCAGCCTTCGGATCTCCATGGCCGCGTTTCACTTGACTCCTTATGGCTAAACCGGGGAATTATCAAGGCAGGAGTGAGTGCTGTCGGTGATCGTAATGCTTGCTCCGGGACGCCCTGACACCCCCTGGTCGAGCAAGCAAGCTCGAGGAGGCCTGTGTGTTAGCTCGTATGTGTTCACGGAGTTGTGTCTGAGCGTAGTGATCTAACTACACGGCTTAGATCAATTGTAGCACATACGGGCGTAAGGTTGAGAAGAACAACGTTCACCGGCATATGTGCGCACCTAGCATAGCTTTCTCGTCTGCCGTGAGCCTCGCAGCATGCCGTCCATACAACCGCAGTGGTCATCATGAGTAATATGGACTCCGGTCTTTCTTTTTAACGGGACAGACTTTTGAAGGCTTAGATCTTAGATGCAGAGCTAGGCATCGACGTTCACTTGAGCGCTCGATATGCAAATAGCGATCTTACTTCGTGCGACGTAAAAGTCGGCCGATGGAGCTCATGGAGCCTCCCACACCATGGCAACGACAGCCACAGACGCGCCGGGCCACCGACGCGTCAGGATCACGTGCGACGTGATCCCCTCTGCAGACCGACAAGTCAATTGCGACGATGCTGGTGTCCGCGCCGCTACATTTAACAGTCCGTGGCTCTCTCACGGGCACATTTGAATTCTCTACTCGACAGAAACTCTATCGTAAGAGGTGATCACAATTATTCGCACTGGACCTCCATTATCTCGAAGCCTCCATGACTTCTGGGTCGTCCTTTTGTGGGAGCTTTTTCTATTCCCAAGGCCTTCCATTTCTTCTTCCATGTCTGATCCCTGGTGGAGGTTAGACTCGGAGATAATGAGAATCCGTTCACCCGCGGTGATCCAATTAAATCAAATCCGAGGGGCTCGATGGAAGCCGCGGGAGTTTCTGGCGCCTTGGTCGAAATCTGTCTGATATAAGATGAAGCGCTTGATGAGGATGGATGCGAGGCTGTCAGGAGTTCATGAGTTCGCGCTGTCCCACGATGTAACCGCCGATCGCTCGCTCACGGTACAAGGAAACCAGAGACATAATTGGCCCCATTCTACACATTAGTCATTGAATATCGACGTAGTCCAGGTAGTACGAAGTGGGACAAACCTCTGAGTCCTCGGTGATGACAAGAAGGTCGACGATAATTTCGAGAACGTTCATAGCCAGCAGTGACCTACTCGGCATGCCACATCAGGCTGCTCCACATTGATTCCAGAATGTATGTGAATCGCTCACAGAAAGCAGACTGTACCTGCACACAAATACAAGCCATCAGCACATCTGTCAAAGACTAGTACGATTACGCTGACCGTCTCGTATGAGGAAGCCCCCCAGCGAGGAAGTCGTCTGAGCCTCCCTTGCTTTCAGGACGATACCATATGTGTGACGCCATATAACAATGAAGACAATCCAATAAGATAGAACAGGAAAGACGCGTGACACGATGACCACTGCCAACATCATGATCACTCATGAGCACTACAACAGGCGAAGTGACACTGTATTTCACTAACCTCTAGATGCTTTTTAGGTGACACCAATGCAATGACTCAGCTGGTAACGACATACTTTTTTCCTGTGGCCGGTGACACGTACGAATGCCAGTTGCACACTGGCTGTGGGCCAACATACCGTACATATGCATATGAGTTTCTCGTCCAATTATACTACCACTCTTGTAAGCTCAAAGATTGCTCTGCGAGGCAATAGCGGCACACTTACAATGTTCGTAATGACAGGAGCCATACCCAGAAAAAACGTCAAAGTAGCAGTCGTCCACTTGTAATCGGTGACGGCGTAGGCACGAAAAGCAGAGAAGCCTGAGCAGACACATGTCCGCGTACACCGTCAGCACTTTTACCATTTGGATGATGAGTGACGGGGTGCCCCGCTGACCTGCAATTGTCGATTCCAGCGCCAGAGCCACGGCAACCTTGAAAATGTCAGTGAATTCGCAGCTACAAATAGCATTAATGAGGCCAGGAAGGGATTGGGATGAATAGCAGGGGCACACATCTGGCATGGATACGTCAACACACAATAAGATGTCGCATGATACGATGACTAACTGTTGGATGAGCAGTGATCCAGAAGATGTTAAGCGCACCCGTGATGCTCAAGATCAGCAACAAGTATCGGTTCAAGAGGAAGGCCAGAGTAACGAGGGAGAATTTTTTTCCCCAGATGAACTCGGCTTCCTGCGACAGAGTTATGAAATATTCAAACAATATGAAGCCTGAAAGTTCAGCAATGAGGTGCCGATTTTGTTGATCGATCTCTTTTGAAAGGACGGACACATGATGGAGGTGTAGCAATAGTTATAGGCATTGCTATCGGAACATATGGCTTCAGCACGATGTCCTGCGACGACCGTGGAACGAAACTCACGAATGTTTCATGAGGCTGATTTCCTGGCTTAGAATTGTTTGTCCAGATTCCAACGACATTGAAAAAGTATAGACTTGCTGTGACACGGTCGAGGGATATGGGAGGAGTAACCAACGCCAGACTGAGACCGAGCTCTTTATGTGAGCCTGTGACAGGGCTGTACTGCCAGACTGTTCGGCTGCTTCAATTGAAGTAAGACATGGACTCCCGTTCCCAGCTAACAGCACGCAATTATCGAAGGGCCATCAGAATTTGGATAGCTTTTGCTGGCTATCTTTTCCAGCAATCGGATAATTAAACAGTCTCGGATCGATTGTGGACCCATGCACATCCCTACTTCGGAGTCGTCTGCCCATCCGCTGTTTGATTACATGTCAAGCGTGAACGTTACGTCCGCACCACGCAATAGCAATTGCGACGATCATGCCATGTGGTATACGTGTGGTAGTGATTGAGATTGACAAGCTGTCTCTGGTGCCAATGCGAGGTCAACTGCTCCGTAATCAGAGAGAGCATCACATTGTGTCACAGAAAGATGAGAGTGTAGCCTGAAGGAGACACATGGCTTTCATACCTGTGCCGATAGTTAAAGTGAACGAACTTACAGAATATCCCCTTGGCGGCCCGTGATAGCTTGCTATTTCGTTCACGGTTCACTTCCTACTTCAACCTGCGACAATAGATTGGAACGTCTTTATACATATTGTGGCCATGTGCTATAGCGACTCGCGAGACGTTACGCTTGCAGTCTCTTGCAGAAGAGGACCATCGAAGCCCGAGGAGGAGCGATTGACAGTATGTTTCCTAATATTCCCACCCTAGCAATTTCGGAGTTACTACGCGTTTTCATCTCCGAAACGCGTCGATTGGATCCCGGATGACACGTCGGTGGCTGAGATGTTGTACATTGTACATAGCATATACCCACTGAACAAGCCCTCCTTTCTCATGCAACCTACTTGTACTTCTATTTCGAATCTCATATAAATGTCTACTACTGAGACTCAGATCGCGCAGACTCAATTGTACGCGTTCATCCATTGGACTTAGGCGTTGCAGGCCCACCTGATGGGATCCGGGAGAAGCCAGCGGCACGTCACCGGCATTATTCGGCGTGTCTCTGCATTTCCATAACGGGGCGACACGGGTTCGAAAGGGCTTTGAATTTTCCCTCGAACAAGTTGATGCACATTGCTTGCGAATGCGTTGACATTGCTCCATCTGTCATTCTGGCAATTTTCCTGCAGTCATGCGCTTCATCCTCACGGACGTCTTTACGGTTTACACTTTCTGTATGACCGAAGCATCGTGGCTAGATGCATCGGAGTAGACTGCGGGTCTGTGCCTACGGAAACCGATGTGGCGTCCTCACTAGTTCACGGAGGTCTTGTCTCTCCCGGCTCGACGTTAAGCACTTTACTGTCGTTGCCACCCTAGGGTCACCGTCTTCTTGTGTCCTGGGAAGCCTCTGAAGCAGAATCTTGCGAACTATCCCCAAGTGCTCATCATTGAGCTTGAATACTCCAAAGAGGGGACCGCTCTGGCCCAACACCTTCGAGGAGTGGATGCAATAGTCAGCGTGGCAAGCGGGCCTGGAATATTAGCGCAGTATTGGATACTGAATGCCGCAACCGAGGCTGGTCAGTCAGCATAGTTTTAGATATATTCATCCTCTGCATGACTATGGCGCAGACGTTCGACGTGTCTACCCATCCGAATACGGCTTTCATCAAGCGCATAGGGCACCAGGAGACCCCGGAGCGCGCATCATCCCCATAAGTCTCGAAGTGCGACACCGGTTTATTCGCTATAATCAATCTCTGTGCAGCTTTGGGATGAGAAAGAGCGCTTTGCAGAGCACCTGAAGCTCCACCCTGCAGTAGAAGCGGGCAATTTGGAGTATACATTCATTGGTGCTGGTGATCTCTATGATCAGATTCGTCTGCTGTACCACCAGCGGCCATACAGTGTACTGACGTTCTCTGTGAAGCCGATCGAGCTTTTCTGGTTCCTTGGACTTCTGACTGCGAGTTTTATGAAGTCCCAGTCGTCGGAAACCGTAATGCTCGCGCCGATTGGTCCTGCACGCGCGATGTCGCGTGCTACGTCGTCGTGACGCCCATCAAGCCCGCCATCTCCGCCAATGCCTACCTAAACTTCCCGTCCGAGATGCTCTCTCAGCACGCTATGGTCGAGCTATTCCGCAAATACGCGCGCAGGCGCAAGGTCGACGTGCGCCACTTTTCGATGGACGAAGCGCATCGGTTCATCGCGCAGCCGCAGGGGGCACCCCAGCAGATTGCGATGAACTCGAGCATCCCGGTGGACTTCTATTTCGTTCAGGCACGTCCCCAAACCCGGGGGATGTGTTGGCGAGAGTAAAACCCGAGCCCAGTACCAGTATGGACTCTGCCGACACCTCTAGTTACATGTCGTATTCTGGTTTGCGCATCATCTCATATCGATAGTTCAACTGCAAACCCGTTTAACGGCCGTCGTCTACGAATATAAAGGTCACCTGAATGGTAAATGCACGGATCTTCCGCCAATATCAACATCCTCATGGAACAATCCGCAGCATGTACGTCAAATTAGATAGTGTGATAACCGCAATGCTGATGAGCTGCCAGGACGAAGCCTGACAAATTTGTAAACATCGAGCAAAGGGCAGCGGCTCCGCGCTATACCAGGTACAGCACAAGGTCAGTCGGACATCAAAAGTAACAATGCGATGCGTGTCGGAGGTAGTGCTAGTCATGGAAGAATGCCACCTTCTTCCTCACGTCATCCAGGAACTCGTTCCTGATTGACGGGATTGCACAGCCGCTTGATCATCCAACGGGATGGTGCAGTTCTCTGCCGTGCAACATATTCATAGCCTTTGCCGAGTCTTCCTTGTTGTCGAGTGACCTTCACTCCATGGCTTTGCGTCCTTGCCGGATTTGCTCTTCTTCACCGACGCGTAGACGGTAGCCCAGACCAGGCCACCGTTCCCACCCGGAAGGCATGGCGGTGTTCGTGGGAATCGTAGTCGAGAAGCTAAGAAGCTTCCTCCCATTCGCTTTTGTATTATGAAACGAGGCCGTGTATCGCCATACGGCTCGGATGTGCCAAGACTATTGAGGCTGACATTAGTATTCAGCTCCAGCTTCGACATCAATTACAGAACCATACTGTGATCTACTGTGATGCGGTCGCGTTTCATGATCATGATCTCTGCAATGGAAGCCGGCTGAGTGGCAAAATCATGGCGTGTGAAGGGATGTAGCTGCGAGACACTCTGGCGTATAAGAGCAGTGTCGAACAGGTGAATGTATTCTCAAGTTTCCTGGCCCATCAGGCTCACCTTAAAAAAGCTTCGAGTAATGGCTGATAATATGTTGAACGAGACTGCGATCATAGAGGAGGAGTTCGCAGTGCTTCGACTGAGGTGAGGGTCTTCTGATCGCACCGGGTTTTGCAATGACTTGATCTATCGCTCAGCTATGTCTACTCATACTGCGCCGTTGCGATAGCTGGTACTTAGCATGATCTATTCGGCGCGCCAGGATGCCACTCATTCGATCAACTTACAGCTCTCATCTTCTTCGATTACGCCGCGACTGTACCCCAAGAAGCGATCCTCGTGTGGTTCAAGCCAGTCCACAAATTCTCCTTCCCCTCGATTTTGTTTCTTCTCAATCGTTATCTGCTTCTGTTCATGGGTGTCTCGTTAATCCTAGTAACGTTCTGGTGGAATACCTCTCCGGTAAGTGGAGAAACCCGTCCATGACTGCCTTTGTGTGAGTCTTGATTGACTTTTTCCAGGAGTACGTCGTTTACTCTTCAATGCAAACATCATCAATAACAAGAGGGTCCTTTGACTAGGTGTGCAGCTACTAACAAGTTGCAAACCATGACCATCGCATTGTTAGAACTGGTGATAGCAAGTATGTGTCTCCTTGGCCACCTTCGCCGCGTTCAACAGCTTATACCCCCAGTCTCATCCGCTTTGCGTGTCTATGCGTTCAACGAGAGGAGATGGATACCTGCGCTCTTGACAGCTCTGCTTGGGGTTGTTCCAGCATGCATGGACATTGTGAGAATAATGGCTGTACCGCACAGGACTGGCAGGTGCTGACTTGTCACTGTCAGTATACCGAGATGGCCGCGGTGCATTACTCCGTCCTTTATGTGGGCAAGTATCCCGAGTGTTACAGCAACGAGTCTATCTCCCTTGCTCTAGAACAAAGGTGAGTATCAGATAGGATTGATCTGCGGCCTTCGCTCACACTGATCGTCTATAGACGTACGTTTTTCTCGACTCCCGCGACATGCATGTACAAACCTTCCACAGTTATCTCAGCGGGTCGAATCTGTTCGGTCGCATCTGAGCTTATTGTTCTAGTCAGCACTTGGTATAAGACGTTCTTCTGCTTCGGAGGAGGACTTCGGACCAGAATTGAAATCGGGCCATTGGCAAAGCTGTTACTTCGAGATGGTAAGCCTTAACAAGACGTGATCTAGTTGTACTGTTATGACGTTTGTCATTCATCGCAGGAACCATATACTTCTTGTACGCCAAGTTGCCTCAACTATTGAGATTACAGCACTGACCACAATACCGTGCAGATCGCTCTTCGTCTTGAATATTTTAGAGGTTGTTATCTCCGCCCGTTTCGAAAATACGGAGGTTAGTTCAGTAACCTGTTAGAAACCAGAGTCGCTCACGTCTAGCTGACATAGATATACGCAAGCGACATATCACTCTTCATCATTCCGTGGGTTGATCAAGGTGTCCATGCGCTCTAATGTCTCTGACGGTTCTGTACAGAATCGAGTCTATCATCATGTCTCACCTCCTTCTGAGCATTCGTCAGACCTTTGAAGATAGCTCTGCTGGATTGCCTTTATTTGCAAATATCCTCGGATCGAGCGACATTGAAGGTGGCAGTATCAAATTTGCGTCTCGCTTGGTCGGAAATATGGGTGAGGATCTCGACTTCGACTCTTTCGATAGGTTTGTGGACGAAGACGGAATCAATGAAATGGACAGTCCAGTGAATGGAGAAGCTGATGAGGATGCTGTGGATACATCGAGAGGCTCAGGCAGTACATTGTCCAGTGATCATGAATTTGTAGAGGAATCCGTAGTACCATGAATGTCGAAGCCAAAGTTGTACTTCAGCCGAAGGAGGAGCTTTTTTCTATCCTCCTCTTCTTCGGCTAAGTCTGGCTCATATTATTTTGATTAGAGTTGCATGACGAACACCAGATCATTGTCAGATTCTGCCATTAATTTTTCCTCCGAGTAAACGAGCTTCTTGTAGCCGACGGTGCGCTGGGGGGTTGGTGATTTCGGGAGACGCCGATTTCCAGTGGCTGAGATTGAGCTGTCCAGATTATATAGGCTGCATCCATTCCATTACTTTGTTCAAGAGACCAAGCGTTCTGTCGTTTCAGGCGCAAAAGACAGCACATATATAAGACTTATGGCGCTGTCAGCGGACTGCAAGATTCTGGTGCTCTCCCCGCGTGCAGAGCAAGCTCAAGAACTCGTCCAACGTACGTCCTCCCATCAGTCCACGTCTCACCACCTTGCACGACCGACCTCTCAGGTGTGCAGGCACTCAATTCTCCGACTAGCCTCAATCAGCGACCTGAAGGTACGGACAACATCACCCCATGGACGATTGTGAACAAGTACTACACCGCCGACGTCCACTTTGAGACTCGAGCATTGCATGAGTTCAGAGCGATCCATGCTACAGGAGTACCAGCGGTGATCTACGTTTGGAAGCATGGAGAGGTACGGGCAGCTTCTCAAAGGGGTAACGATAACATATGTTCTGAATGCGTTCCCAGCCCTACAGAGAGCACATTATGGACATCGCCAGCAGCCTCAGAGACCAAGACCCGGAGGTATCTCTCGCAGTCAGGTTCGGAGATGCATCCACCGTGTCTGCTGAGGAGGAAGAGGGAATGGATGAGTTTTTGTCATCCCATGGATTCGAGTACGTAGAAGGTGGGCGGGACTATCGTGAAACGACGGAAGATGAGGGGTGGCGTTCTAAAGACGAGGATGCAGGTACGTTATACTCGGACCAGAACTCATACATGATCTTGCTAATTTGCCATAGGTATTCCTGGCTTGCCCAGGGTAGTCGATGCACTAAGCACAATTATGTGGCCCTCCCTCGTCCAGTCCGAGTCCACTCGCAACCGTAAGTCCCGAGCCAGGGAACTCCTCGATTGGGCACGAGAAGAAGAGAAGGACGATGGCCTGCGTGCGCTCATCTCTTCCGAACATGACCACGACCACGACCACGACCATCCTGCACCCGCCGGTGGCTCAAGCGTGGCGCGGAAGAGCCGCATGCAGCGGGAGATGGAGGAGCTCGAGCGCTGGCTCGAGGAGGAGGACGGGCGGCAAGAGCATGAGGAGGCACGCGCGTGGACAACCGTAGACGTGAATGACATGGACTGGCAGGACATGATGCCCACGCCAACGATCAAGACGCCGGTGGGCGAGCCCCAGGAGCGTGTCTTGGGCTTCGACGACAACTTCTCCGAATTCGTGTCTGCGTCCTCGCCGCGCGCGGTAGGCGGCTTAGGCGCTGATCACCTTGTGCCGATGCATACGGGTGCATCGTACCGCTCATTGGCTTCCGTGTCTGACTATGCTGGCGAGGGCGAGCTGTTCATAAGCATGCCAGAAGATGAGGATGTCCTCAACGAGGAGAACGATCCCGATCTTCCTTCGCGCGCGGAGATCCTGGAGACCTCTCGCCGTATCTTTAGCTCCGCTCCACCCATTTCTGTTGCGGAGGGGCAATCTAGCTCTTCTCACACCGAGCAACCGGAAGAGCACGTATTCGAGCACCTCGACGATGACGATGACTTCGAGATGTCAGCGTTCGACCTCTCGCGTGTGTTCAGTGCGCTGCAGGGGATGAAGGAGGAGATTAGTGGCATGGAGGATGAGGGCGAGCGCAGGAAGGCGGCGGCACGCGTTGCGTTGGGCCTTGTTTATGGATTGCAGGCGGACAGGAACGAGCACTAGAGCAACCTACGTGAGCGTTGGGTGGTTCGTAGCGATTGCGATGGAGAATACTGAATACTCCATGTCACGACTCAGGTCGATTATCGTTTTCTCTGTAGTCGATTAGTTTGGATCGAATTTTACAGCTGGTACTGGATGCCGTTGTACTGGACAAGTAATATCTAGATTGTACAATAGTCGATTTTACGCAAGAATGTCCTTCCTCGATCTGCGCGGCGATGTAAATCGACATTATGCATACGAGTGTGAATGTCCTCTCCATCGTGCAATCTGACGATTTTGCTTCAAATGTCGCGTTTACGCCAATGCTGCTGCCTAGAAACTCGATGAGTGAACGAGAACTGTTTCCATGTTGTCTGGTTACCAGACGCGCACCTGCAGTTGTAGCATCAGCTTCTCCGGAGGCGTTACGTTGGCCCGATACAGTTGAACAACGGAGTCGCCCGAGCTCGCTGCGCCCAGGACTGTCGTCATACAAGAGACGTACGCCTTGTTCAACACAACGTGGATGATTGATTGCCTATGGGGATAGTGTTTCAACATAGGACCAGGAAGAGCTTAAAAGACGAAGGTACTGACAGAACAGATGGCTGCGTGAGCAAGAAATACTAATTAACAATTGGGAAATCTGGATTATAAGCATTCAAGCGTACCGAATGAACAAAATATGCGGCATTAGCCAGCATTGCGAAATGCAGGAGGGAGCTGTTCCGGTTAAATACTATGTAGCATTCAGTAGAGCATCTCGCCTTGAAGCGATGCAAGACTTGCCATTGCAAATATTCCAACATTGCGATCCTTCCACAATATGTGATCCACGTAGCCTGAAGGGCTGTCAGAGCAAATAATCGCGGTGAGAAATGCCAGCGATGCATGCCAAAAGCTACGCGAACCTCGGGAGTCCATAGTAGTGAAGTGATCGCCAACACAGTCGTTATGCCACATAAGCTCGCCAGAATGCACAACGAGCCCTGTGGCTCCACATATCTGGACAAGGAGAATGCCAATGCGACTACTACATTGATAACTAGATTGCGGAGGTGAGCGGACACATTCTGCGTATCGCGAAGTCGGTGACTGACCTAGACGCAGCCCTTCGTGGAACCGCATAAGCTGGAACAATCTCGACTGAGAGGGCGCGATGATGATGCGTAGCGAAGTTTCAAGGGAGACATGCAGTAGCGTCCCGACGATGGTCTAGGATCGCAGTCAGGAAAGGGAGGAAGCTTTAGGTGGAGGGAAGGACAGACCTCGGATGCTATGCCTGGACATTCGTATGATGGCTCAGCGAAGGATCAAATAATGTGAGACGCTCTACGTACAGGCTAGAAAGTCTAAAATGGATTTCAGAGAAGTGAGATAGGGAAAATGAGTGGAAATCTTACATTTCGCGCTGTGGAGGAAGCGCTCTTCCGAGAGGAAGTCTAAGTGATTTGTTAGGCTTTGCCGTATCATAAGCATTTGATGGAAGCAAGCTTACCAGAAGGATATGATGAAAACGAGTGTGAGGCATCGCAGGTCCATATAATGAATAGGGACTCAAATGCGAACGCAGACAGCCATACGACTAACAGCGACAGCGGCTTGAGTGGCGAACCGGTCAATGATCACGATGAGTAAAGCATATAGATGAGTAAATGATGAGTAAAGCATATAGCGCACATACGATTGCAAAATGCAACGGACGGGGCTTATCATCTCTAGAAGGATGCGAGCGGTGAGGACGCGAATTCAATCAACGCCACGAGATTGCTCACCTGGCAAAAAGGTTATCGAAGTGCACAATGGCTCTGCAACCGACTACGGCTGTCCACACGAGATTCGACAAGATCCCGAGTAACAGTAGATTGCTATGATTGCGCTTAGAAGCCGGTATCAGTTGCGACCGCTCGTAAGTATAGCTCACCCGCTGGGGCTGGCCGCTGTTGAGGCTGTCATGTCATGGGTTGGTGCAGATTCGAAGGCCATGACCACAAAAGAATGACTGGAAAAGAGGAGGCCGGAGGCACTATGAGTAGGGCTGACAATGGAGTATCGACCACAACGCGGAATGCACTGCCTCACACAGCCCGCAGGTATTAATATCGCAAGCACGGCCAGCTTCTGCACCCGATACCTTGCTCCAATGATCCGAACATAATACAGTCCAGGGAGCGAACACAGCAGCGAAGCGCGCGAGGCGACTTCTATGTAGCCACCAGCGTTACGGCCCTCCGCCTGCCACATTGACCAGCGCGATTCCCTAAAGTATGCATGCGTGAGAGTCTCAACGCGCAAACACTCATCAGTGCCTCGGGGCGCGTTCGGCTCGCATGCAAACCGAGGCATGGAGCGAACTGCGGCGGGCTTGATATGGGAGCGGCCGTTCCGATCGCTGCCTTGCGACGGCTCGAGGTCGTTGCGGCGCGGATGAGGTGTCAATATCGGTGGAAGGTCAAGTGCTATGGACGCCTTGAACAGCTTCCTATCGGATGGAAGAGACGGATTCGAAATAACACTGCACGCAGGGAAGAACGTTAGGTAATATAAGGCGAACACGCGCAGTTCCTGAGAATTCCTAGCAGCGGTACACTCGATGACGATTCAGCAAAGGACGACAAGAAAAGGTCTCAGAGCCTAGCTAAGCTCAGATTCTGGAGATGGAACAGCCTCTATCAGCCGTCATAGACCAAAATCATAAAGGAGCTTGTGAAAATGAAAATCACGAACCAGTACGTTATAACGAATGACAGGACGAGAAGCCGCCGGGGTTATGTCTTTGATCACCGTGCTTGCCGTCGCGGCGCAACGCCAACTTCCTGGCATCTGGGCCGCGTGCCCAGCAAAAAGGAATGCACATACGTAAATCGGCGCAATCGTCCTGGCCATGCCTTCGGGTGTTCGCCTCGTATGTGATGACGATGGACTACCATGAATCCGATTTGAGATAGCACAATATCAAACTTGATTGCAATGAGTTGATATCTGCAGCAAAACAGTACCCAGCAATAAAAGACTGCAACAGAAGGATCCTACCAAGCACACGAGAACTAAGGGCCCTCCATTCACCCCTGCTCCGCTGTCTCCGCCAATGTCTCATCCGCCTCCGCCTCCTCTTCCTCTTCGTCATCCTCACCGTCCATCTGCTTCGCCTTCCCCGTCTCATCCCTGACCCCGCCCTCCGAGAAGTTCAAAATGCCCGCCACGTCCAACAGCTTCACGACCTCCTCCGCCTCGTTCACCTTCATCCCGCCAAGCACCTTGTTCACCTCGTCGAGGCTGTTCTTCTTGAGCGCCTTTTGCAGTGGCACAGGGAAGCCTTGGAACACGTCCCAGCGTAGTTGTAACATGCGGCGCACGTCCTCAATGTTAATGTTCTCCAGACCTTCACCTTCAACGGTGAGGTGCTCCGGCGGCGGACCATCCGGCACGTTGAACGAAATTGTGTGCGACGGATCCTCAGGTACGAGCTGGATCTGCTCCGTTCCGGGCCCGAACGCAGCCTGCTCCGCCTTGGAGATCCGCACACGCTCGACGAGGTGTGCGTACGTATCTGCGACGTCCTTTTCGAACACGGCCGTCGCACGAGGGTCTCGGTCGACCATCCTAGATTGAGACTTTGAATATGCACAATACATAGGTGTAAGAAGAGGATAGACTCACTTTCTGAAGAACACCCGCACACCATCACCACCCAGCTTCTCGCAGTACTGGAGTAACAGGCTTTGATGCACGCACTGCTGCGCGTACTTCGGCTTGCCCTCACTCTGCGCCGTGAACGCCGCGACAAGCAACGCGTCCGATGCTCCGGGGACCACGACGTCTCTGTGCTGCTTGATGAACTCCCACGACTCCTCGTAGCCTCGTAAAGAGAGGCGGGAGAACGCCTCTAACGAAGGTGTCATCTCGGGCAGCTCGTCCTCGGGCTCGGTCTCCTCTTCTGACGCGGCGACTGCAGCTGGTGCGGCGGATGGTTTGCTGGATGGTTCTGCTGCTTGCGCAGCCGCGACGCCTCCGGAATTGAGCACCTCGAACTCGGTAGTAGTCGTTTTCTTCTTTCTTCTTTCCGAATCGATATGTGCACCCTTGACCGGCGGCGGTGCGGGCATGGGCGGAACGTACTACAAAACATGTGAGTGGGGGAAAGACTGAGAGCACAACAGCGTACATGCGAATCCCAGCCAACATGCAAGTCATCGCTCGTGATCTTCTTATGCGCCTCTTCCTCCAGCGTCGCAAGCTCTGTCTTGAGCTTCTCTTGGTGCTCACCCATCTGCACGATGTGTTTCTTGAGCCCTTGCACGAGCACTTCCCCGAGCCGCGGGTCATCCTTCTCAACGCCCTGCTCCTTCGCCTCCTCCCAGATTTGCAGCATGAGCGAAAGCAGCATCGCATCGTACGTCTTCTGCTCGGGCGCGTTCGTGGGCGGCTTGTCCGGCGACGGGTTCGTCTTGAAGCGTTCAACGAGTGCAGAGAAGCGTGGTGCGCCCTGCGCCGCGACCTCGTCTGTGATGGTCTGCAGGCGCGGCTGGAGGACATCATTGCAGGCAACGTCTGCGCTCAGCTGCGCGATGCGCTGCCGCCGGATCTCCCGCTTCTCATGAATATCGCGCTGTTTCCATCTGTCGGCGACGCGGATGTTAGTAACACTGCATGGTCATCATATGGTGCTGACGCACCGTACCAGAGACTTCTTGTCGACATTCGGATGTCCCTCGATGTCGGAATCGTCAGAGAGCTGTTCGATCAAAACGCGTCAGCATACCGACATCGGCAAGAACCTAACGAGGAACAAAGCTGACCTCGAGCGCGTCCCATTTTGAGTAATTGAGAGGCATGTCTGTCCTATTGCGAGCACACCAGAATGTCGTTGGGCAATGAGTGGCGTGGCGGCAAGTGGAGGGATGGTATAGACACCGTGTTTTTGAAGAAGGGTATACAAATAACTTATTGTGAACGTTCTCGAACGAACTAGAGACTACTACTTAGTAATACAACCATCTTCCAGCCACCTTCTGATTGTTATGGTCCTTGTATAGATATCGGAGTGAATATGGTCTCGTCTGTGCAGCATGTTCGCCGCATGATGTTCAAGGGCTCTCGGCTCATCCACCTCTCACTCTTGAAGATGTCTCGCTCGGTCGTCTTGTCATCTTTCAACAAATCAAGCTTCGATGCTATATCAATCTCATTCAAGTCAACGTTCAATACTCAATACTTGTAGATCCAACTTCCGTGGATCTAGAGAGCTGTGCAGCCTCGACGTTATGTCTAAAGTTCATGGTCCATTCACTGTGCGATCGCATTCGATCCCGTCGACTCCTCTCCTCTCCGTTGGAGCTCGGTTTGACTTGATATAGCTGAATATGCCTTTGACATTTGCATTATAAGTACATTGCTATTCAAGTGGCCGCTTGCAATCAAGCAAAGTCAGCAACGTATGCGTTCCTCATTCTGTCTCTTTCGCCATTTCCAGCCTGCATATCCGCTAGCACCTCTAATCTACCATGTCCGGTCACCATCGATGCACTCGGTATGTAGTGAATAAATGTCACGAGGTCCATCTCTCTTCCTGGTACGAAAGGCAAATCCATGGGCCTGGCCTGACCCCTACAGCCACAAGCAGCTATCATGTTGAACCTACAACCTGCGATGCGCTCCGGTGGACGCTGTTTGCACTTTC